CGCACCTCCACAGATCTCCAGTATCAGCTCTCGATACTGGTAATGGCTCAAAAGGGCCACCACTTACGGGCTATTCATGCCCGTGCCACCTTTTGGATGGCTTAATCTTCATCAATCAATCAATCAATCACAGGAAGGTATTTGTTGGAAACTCTGCCTTCAAGTTGATTCCTAATGAACTCTAATAATAAATTCGTTTAATAAACGAGTATTTAGGGTCAAGCAACAGATGAACATTATAAGATAACGGTGTTTTAGCTTGCAGCTTCGTTAGACAGAATCCCTTGTCTTAATTTTAAAAATAAAGAACTAGAAAGCGTATTTTATTGCTAACTTTTCGAGAAATAAATCCCAGTCTCATATTTTCGAACATTTATGCATTGATTTTTTGGCATAAGTTCTTATCATAATCCCTTTTGCAATCTTAACACCAACTGGCTTGTATCTTGTAACTATCTTCGTTACTTAGCCTCAAAACCTTACATTTGTCTTACATATCCTCAACAGTAGATATAAAAAAGGTATACATACAAACATACACCAATTTATTACCATTCATCCATTATTAATTTCAAATGTAATGTATACTGTCTAGTTTATTCCTCTCGCTATTACTTGGTGCAATATTTGAAGGTTGTCTATTTATTTATCGATCTATCTATTATCTTGTATTTATATTTACAAGTTTCTGTGCTTGGAAGAAAACTCTGCATTGAATTGGGGCTTATTAAATATTATTAGTATTAATTAATATTTACAATTATTATTAATTACAATTATTTATAGCTTAGTTACTTTCATGTAACTCGCACTCGTACATTCTTCCCGATGATTGATTAACACATTTGTCAATCACACTGCACACATTTGTGAAGTGTGAATTTAATCCTTAAGTAAACAATAATCATAGTCTTAGTTAATTATGGGTTAAATGAGTCACAGAAGTTAACTAAGCTATGTATATATATTTTTTTTGTTTGCAGGGATATTCCTGCGCGGGCCCTAAGCCTCTGGCTGGCTCACTAAGTGTTGCTTGTTTCTGTTTTTTGGCGGAGTATGAGTATTTATGACTCGTAAGGTCGCTTCAGTAAGATTTTGCCATATGTGTTTAACAACTTCTTCTGCTCTGTTGAATCTAAGTTGAAATCTTAATGGGTTTGTAACTGTGCACTGTGTTAGATAATGTTCCAGTGGTCTGTCTGGCATTTCTCCACAGTGCTGACATTTCCTCTCATCTTCCGGAACCTGTAAGCCTATTTCCCATGCACATGGGTATCCAAGCGTGATGCGATGTAAGTGTACTTCTGTTGCTCTACTGCTCCCTTTCATCAAACTAAGTGGTTCGTAGTTGGTTGGATTCTTGTACCAACCCGCAGATCCTGATGTTGCAACTGCTGTGTTGTGGTCACTGTACATCTTTTGCATTGCTCTGTTTCTAATTACTTTCTTAATCTGTGATAGACTCTGTGGTATGTAAATGTCTACATTTCTTTTCTTGCCAGGACACCTGGCAGGACAAGGTGACAAACAACAACGTCTTGGGGAGAGCAAGAATCACCAGCATGTACACAATGCTGAAACAGAGACGAATGCGCTGGCTCGGGCACGTTGTGCGAATGGGCGACGGCAGGATCCCCAAGGATCTCCTGTATGGAGAGCTGAGGCAGGGAAAGCGTCCAGTAGGCAAGCCCCAGCTACGGTACAAAGACGTATGCAAAAGGGACCTGAAAGCCATGGACGTCGATCTTGCTATATGGGAGACACTGGCTGCAGACCGTTCAGCCTGGAGGCAGTCTGTTCAACGAGGTCTCTCCAAGTTCGAGGAGTCACTTGCCAAGGAATCGGAGGCAAAGAGACAGAGAAGGAAAGCCGGTAACCAGGAAGACAGACCAGAATCGGACTTCGTTTGTGCTCGGTGTGGGATGGACTGCCACTCTCGGATTGGCCTCATCAGTCACACCAGACGCTGCACCAGGATTGACAACTAGGGCGCAACTCCATAGTCTCCCGAGACTGAAGGATGCCTACTACATTTCTTTTCTTAGTTGCAAGTTTTGCAGCTTCGTCTGCAATGTCATTTCCTATTATTCCCACATGACTTGGCACCCAGTTGATAAGTACCCGTCGGCCTTGTCGTTTGAGTGTTTGCATTAATGATGCAACATTTGTGATCAGATGTATGTTATCACATATGTGTTCTTGTAAGGTTTCAATGGCGGTTCTCGAATCTGTATGTATGATAACATGTTGTCGGTGTTCAGCAAGAGCATGTTCCAAAGCCTTTTGAATGGCTAGCATCTCTGTTTGTCAAGTCGAACACCCATTTGAGAGCTTCCAACTATTTACAGAGTTTCCTACTTTAACTGCAGCTCCGGTTTCTTGTCCCTGCTGGTCTACTGATCCATCTGTGAAGTAAGTGAAGCTGTAGGTTGCCAAGTTTGCTTCTATATGCATCTGTGCAATATTACGCAGCAGATGAGGATTTGTCTGGTTCTTTTTTCCTTCAATAACCATTATCTTAAAGTCTGCTGGCACAGATTCCCAAGGGGCTTGCATAACAAATTCTGCATGTATTTCGTCGACACCCCTCTCAGTGACTGTGTTTGTTATATCGAATGTATAACAGTCACTATACATCTATAGTGAGTCACACGCGACCCATCCTCCGAATTGACAGTACGATTTAATACTAAGTGTATTAAGTACATTATCTTACTGTCATGAACAGTGCAGAATTGCACTTATGGGGCTGTTACATTTACCCAACCCCCTCCCCCGATTTAATTCGTCTCATTTTCTGTTAAGACACTCAGAACTTATAGATGAAGTTTTCAAATTTAATTAGCATGTCACACGTTTTAAATATCAGAAATTTCTCTTTCAGGTTTATTAAACAATATAGATTTTATACAAAATTTTAAAATATCCTAAGTTACTTTACAATTTATTGATATATTTTAGTTTTGTTTTATTAGTTTTATAAAACTGTAATATCAATATAGCTATAGGTTAAGTACTAATTGTAATTAAGAAGCAATAAAATTATTATCTTCAAAAACTAAGACGGTTAGGTGAGGTTGTGGTTTTCTATTCAGTTTTTCAGGTAAACTCAAATATTCACAATATATTTGACACTACGATTTCATACTAAGTGAAAATAAGTACAATTCCTAACTGCAATGAATAGTACATAATTGCACTTATTTGTCTTCTTACATTTACCACCCCATTTTTGGAGGACGGGTTGCACAGTTACTAGTCTTGCTGCACACCCACCCAACTGGGCGGCAGCTTTACAGTCATGTGCATGCATTACCTACAGTAAGCAAATTTTGGATTCTTCGCTAAGATTTCGGGCAGCACATCATTATGAATTAAGTACTTGCACATTTCTTGGACACTATTGATGGTGTTATCTCTAAATTCCGCGATTTTTTCACATTCCATTATATAAAGACGCAAAGTATGCGAATAGTTCTGCTGACAGAGTTTACATTTAGTCAAATCTACATCAGTAGATGCTACAAACACCCAGAGGTACTTGTAGCCGAGCCTAAGCCTAGCAGTGGTAACATCTAGAAGTCTGCTAACATTATTGGATGACCCATAGACGTGGAAATAGATGCATTAGGTGATAGGGAACGAATTATCATTTACAGCTTCGTCAGGAAGGTGGTTCCATGGTTTCCATGAATTTACTCGAGGGTGGCCCTCGGGCAAATTCAGGTATCTCTCTCTCTAGTGGTCTCGACGAGGACAAGAAGATTGTCTGGCTTGTCGAAGGCCCCTCCCATTTGTTTTGGGGATCTTATCGAGCAATGTTTTGGCATTTAATTACGACTTCGGCGGGTATGCGTTTCCACAACTTCATAATTCTATGGGTGAACACAAATATTTTCCATCCTTCAGTGTGACTTGTTGAGCTCGAAATCGTTGCTCCTTGTTCGTCTTACATCTTCTAGCCTTTTGAAGAAGTGTTCTCGATTAATATCTCCCAAATTGTTCAGTAATTTAAGTTTTGCTCAGAGCAGACTGTCATGTCTGCATGGTCCCTGTGGCCCTCAACCGTTCTTGGCACAGGAGCGGGGCTGTAACTGCTTATTTGTTGATTGATTGATTGATGAAGATTAAGCCACCCAAAAGGTGGCACGGGCATGAATAGCCCATAAGTGGTGGCCCTTTTGAGCCATTACCAGTATCAATAGATGATACTGGAGATCTGTGGAGGTGCGATTGCACCCTGCGTGTGCTTATTTGTGATTGATTGATGAAGATTAAGCCACCCAAAGAGGTGGCACGGGCATGAATAGCCCGTAAGTGGAAGATTTTTTTTGGAGTGACTGTGATCTTTGTGGTCGTGAAAGGATATACTCTGCGTGCTGTGCTCGCATTTAAATCATCAGTCTGTGGCTGCTATCGCGGGGTGCTTGTTTGTGTTGCATCTGATCCTAAATAATCATAATTGAGTTTCTTAACATTAATAGCCCAAATCAGCACATCTTGCTTTTAAATTAGCCCAAAAAGTAGCAAGTAGCGAATTAAAAAATTTGGGAGCGCGGGGCTCTCAAAAGTAGCCCAATTCGCTATTTGTAGCCCAATCTGGCAATACTGCTGGCAACAAGTCATTCCAGAGCCACGTCATCTCTCCTATCACGAACGGTTGAATGCATCTCCGTTTAGATGACCAAACCACACAAAAAAGAGGAAGAAAGGACGACGTTTCAATTTAGACCATTATCAAGTCGTATGGTCCAGGGAAGGAGCGAAATGTAGTCGTTTCTTCATCTTCAGATGAAGTAGAAGAAATTGAAATTGAAATTGAAATAAGTTTATTGAGGTAAAATACACACAAGTAGAAGAAGAAACTTCATTTTTCTTCATATCTTCAGCCACGTTCTTGTGACTCATCGTCTGCATCTCAGTTTCCTATTATGGCACCATTTTCTAAATAAAATGACTCAATTACAAACTTCAAAATGTGTGCAATCACCCTTAATTACGCTCAGAAATAGCACTCAAGCACCATATTTTAAATATCCATCGTCGTTTTGCAACTGCATGTCAACTTTGGGGACAAAATATGACAAACTATATCTGAGGCCAGTGTGGCGAGCCCCAGACTACACCTGGTGGCCGCGACGCCCACTCCCGGACCATATAGCTGCTGCTGGTCTGCTTGTCTGCCTGCTGGTGTCCTCTGCTGCTGGAGACAGAAGACTAAGTGTGCATGTTAGGAGTCTGCTGTATGAGGCGGTCGTTCCCCCAGTGCTGTCTGCCCCTTCCTGGGACGCTGCCACCTTGTCTTTGGCAAGTATAGGGTCTCTGCCAGTCACTGGTAATGACAGATAGCTCTATGAGCCCCTCCCACTCACCCTATCTCTTCCTGGGAGTTAACATTTCATGTCACATATTGTCCCGGAAGCTGTTGACGAGCAACTTCAATTTACCTGAGAGCCACAAACATTAGTGTCATCGATGAGGACAGTAAGCCGGCGACTTGTCGATGGTTCCCTCCCCTCCCCTCTCCATTTGCCATTTCTTTCTCTGGGGAACTCCAATTTCTTTAGTTTACCCCCCTGTTTATTGTCCTTCTACTTGCCAATGAGTACTTTCCTATCAATGATTACAGGGAAATGAGGTTTAGTTAATATGCCTTGCCTTGTTGTGTTGAGCTAGGTTAGATTAGGTAGATTTAACAAATCTGTTGGAGAATCAACTTGTGTACAATGTGTCTTGTATTCCCCAAATAAATAGGTACTCGCTTCATCCAGCTTGAATCCAAGCTTGCTTCTCCATTCCTGTTTTGTAATACTGTACAGTGCTGCATTTAGCCCCAAAATTTTAGTTATTTACAAATAGGGATGAGTTAGGAATGGTTTGATCTGGATTTTTGAGGTGCCAATGTCATTATCAGAGTGTGAATTCTAAAATAATGATTGAAACATCACTACTAGAGACTAATAATATGGTATGTGTTACAGGTTGATTTTGAAAGTTGTCCTTTTAATAGCCATGGAACCGGTGGTAGTTGGAGAGCAAACCACATCTTTACCACCTTATCCACACCATGAAGATGTTGCCAAGCTTGCTGCCAGTCAGAACAACTTTACACGTGATTTATACTTGGTGAGTGATTTGTCTCAATAAGGGGTATATTATTTACTCGTATAGCTAGACTAGGACATTCCAGTTGGGATACTTTTTGCCTTTCGCAGGCCTAATAGGTATTATGTTAGAAATATGATTTTTAGATTTTTTTAATATGAAGTTTGTGTGTGTGTGTGTAATTACTAATTACCTAAGTTACCTAAGTGTAGTTACAGGATGAGAGCTACGCTCGTGATGTCCCGTCTTCCCAGCACTCTTTGTCATATAACGCTTTGAAACTACTGACGGTCTTGGCCTCCACCACCTTCTCCCCTAACTTGTCCCAACTGTCTACCACTCTGTTTGCGAAAGTGAATTTTCTTATATTTCTTCGGCATCTGTGTTTAGCTAGTTTATATCTATGACCTCTTGTTCTTAAAGTTCCAGGTCTCAGGAAATCTTCCCTATTGATTTTATCAATTCCTGTTACTATTTTGTATGTAGTGATCATATCACCTCTTTTTCTCCTGTCTTCTAGTTTTGGCATATTTAATGCCTCTAACCTCTCCTCGTAGCTCTTGCCCTTCAGTTCTGGGAGCCACTTAGTAGCATGTCTTTGCACCTTTTCCAGTTTGTTGATGTGCTTCTTAAGATATGGGCACCACATATTTGTCTCAATAAGGTGTGTGTGTGCGCGTGCGTGCAATATCTAAAGGTCTTCATGTGTCGGCTGGAATTTTTTTAAATAATGACGCAAAGATCCTCATTGTTATTGGATTAAGTTGCTTATAAATTGTCAATTTTAGAAACGTTTTAATGCAGTTAGTGGGAGTTGGAGGAGACTTCCAACAGAGTAATACAGTATTTTGAAAATAGTAGCTATTCCTCCACCTCGGCCCTCTCCCCTCTTGTAATATTATTGCTGTGTCAACACATGCTTCCCAGAGGAGCAGTTGTTTGGGCAAATTTTGTAGAATTGCAAAGGACTAAGAAGGAATTAAAGCAGAAAAAACATTTGTTTTCAATTGAACACTGGTAAGATTTCCATTATTAGGTACAGTAATTATGTAAGGCCATTATTTGAGAAGTGCTCTCACTTCTGTTTTTAAATGTATACATGGTATTATACTAAATTATATACAGTAATTTGGTAAGCTGTTCCACATACAGTATTTACCTTATGATTGAGGAAATTAAGTTTAAGTTTATGATTAAGTTTGCTTGTAGTCTTTGCTGCTCTATTGGCATTGTAGTTTTAAGAGTAGTAATATCTGTTTGGTTCTTTCCCACATTGTGCCTGAAATGCTCTGCGTGTTAGTTGCTTCAGGCATTGTACTTTCCCTACCCATGAATCTTACAATCTTGAATCCTATATACAGTATGTACTTTTGCTCAAGTAAAAATTATATTGTTATACTTTGCTTCTTGGGTAAGTGTCATCTGTAAATTTTTATATTGTACAGCATCATCCATTACTGATGTCATATACTGAAATAATGAAACCAATACCAACACTGGCCTCTGTAGTACAAAACTTAAAATATCCATCCAAGCTGATGCATTTTCATTTAGAACATCTATAATTTGTCCAGATAGAACATTTTCATGCCAACCGTAAGATATGACTGTCTTATCCATGTGCTTATATTTGTAAGCCTTTTTAGAGATGCATAATTAAATGCTCTACGAAAATTCAAATGCATACATTGTTATTGTTTTAAACTTATTAAAAGATGGTATAAAGAAGTTTCATCAAATGCAAATGGAACAGAGAACACCTGGGACACCCACCATTGAGCGGGGGTTAACTTAACCACACAAGGGACAAGGGTCAAACTAAGCTGTGATGACCGAAAAGAGCTAATGGGTAGAAGGCTAATTAAAGCCCCCCCCCAATGCTAAAGAGGTGGGAGTTGAAAACCTCCCATACTGCAAGCCTTAAGACACTACTCAGAAGCCCCTTGCATAATGAATCATAAAGCTGGCAAAACTCGCTAGGTGTCTACCCACAGTGCGTCAAAGTTGAATTACAAAATGGCTGGCATGAAGTACCAAGCCGATCTGATCCCTTCACCAATGAGGCATAGGGCCGCTGAGCAAGAGTGGAATGCGGAGGCATCACTATGGCCCGAGAACCTGGCACCTCCAGATGGCTTCTCAGAACAGAAAAAAGCAGGTTTGGAACTCTGGAAGACCACCCCAGGGCAGCAGGGACAAAACCCTGCTGCATAACATGCAACTGAGTGGCCACAGCCAACAAAACAGCAGTCAGGAAGAAGAGAAAGTGGAGTGCTTACCAGAGAAAGGGACCGAGCCAAATCTAAAATGCATTTCTTAAAAAAAAAATTGTCATTAATGTCAATATTATCACTTGTTAACAAACAAAGAATTAAAATTCTTTTTTTTTTTCAACAGAAACTGGCCAAGACAAATTCTGGAAATATTTTCATCTCTCCCTTCAGCATCATGACTGCATTGGGAATGACACATTCTGGAACTGCTGGTAACACTGAGAAAGAGGTCCAGTCTGTTATGCACCTTTCTCAAGACAAAGAAGCAATTCATAATGCCTTTCAAGATATTATAACAGATCTGAAGGTAGGAAATGTTATTAGGTATACAGTACCCTGAATAATTCTAGTTTTCCAAGTTTCTACCCTGCAAATACACAACGTAACTGTACCTATTTTATGCTTATTACAACTTGTAATAAAGGTGCTACAGCTTGTTATAACTTTTTATGATGTAGTAGAACATTGTTACAACTTGCTATATTGGTTGTTATAACTTGTTAGATGTTAAAACCTGTTAAAAAATGTACAATGTTAAAAAAACGTCATAGTTTTATTGTGTTTCGCAGGTATTCAGTCTCTAAGACAGTGTTTATCGACTTTAAAATTTGTAATACTGTACATGTGTAGGAATTATAAATGACAAATAAGCTTAAGGACCAGTACTTAAGGTAAGCTAGGTATGGACATCCTGTTTGGTATCCCTGGTGGTTCAGGTTTTGCTGACTTGACTGTATAATCTGGCTGGCTTGTGTTGTAGAAGCTGGGCCAACATCCTCTGCAACAGAATGTATGATGGATTGAATGGGATTGGTCGTTATTATTTCATTCGCCAAGTTGCTGTACTGGAGTTCATCAAATGAGGACCACTAACATTAATGGTCTCGACGAGGACAGGAAGCCAGCAGCTTGTCAGAGGTCTCCCCCCCCCCCCCCATTTACCTTGTACAAGACAGAATGTAGTCCCACACGTAACATGGACTGAAACATCACTTTCATTGGATTGGATTATTTGAACAGGTTCTATTCTTGTTTTTATTGTGTAGTAAATATTAATTAGTCAAGAATCAGGAAGAATATTTTTCTCAATTTGTATGTCTTTACAGGATGAATCAACTGACTATGAGCTCAGGACATCAAACATGGCTTATGTATCTGACAAAATGACTGTATTGAGTGACTTCAGCAACACCCTAAGAGAGAAGTACCTTAGCTCCTCGAACACTGTAAATTTTGCAGACAGTGAACGGGTACGGAAGGAGATTAATACTGCTGTGGAGAAGGAAACAAACTCCCGCATTAAGGATCTTATTCCTTCAGGTATTGACACATTCATGTTATAAATGGACATAATATGCAGTAATATTGAATATTTTGTAACCTGCATGGCTTTGTCATGTAAACATATAAACTTAGAATTAATGTGGTAAAAGAAAAGGTTAGTTTTTTTTTTTTATAAAGACCATAGAAAAGACGGTGGATTGAAGGACTGTTTTAATAAAGGTACACTAATAATTTTATGCTAAAATCTTGTAAATATTAGTGCTTTGGTGGTTTTTGTATATTCCCGCTAAGTAGAACAGTGACTTAAGTGTTACAAAAAATTAATACTGTACTAAGTTAATAATTTTAACTGTCCTGAGCTAGTTAGCCATATACAATAAATGTGCACTAATGTTAAAGCATGAAAGCTTTTGAATATGCGGTGGATTAGGTATAGTTCATTGTCCTTCCAGTTCAGTGCACAGTATTATTTTACACGTTTGTTCCTTTTAATTCACTTTAAAACTGTATTAAAAGATTTTCATTCTGCCACTTCCATAGGAATACAGTTCATTGTGAGTAAAATATCAGTCTGGCAGGATTGACCTATGACAAAGGTTCCACAATATTTTCCTTGTCCTTGCAAGGCCATAAAAGATTCTTGGGAGTCACTGGAGGTAGTATTAAGCTAATCTCAAATAACATTACAGAGCTGCCCTTGATATCACTCGTATAACTGCCAGTGATAGACCGTACTCGACCAATAACCTTGCATGTTGGCCTTTTAACACCCAACACCAGGTAGCAATACTGCTTCCAACCCCAGCATCATGCAACCAATTCACCCTCACACTTCCTAATTGTCTATGGTAGCCAGATAGGTGAAGATAACGTTAAATATTTTTAGCGTACTTTTTTTGCACTTGGTTTAGACCTTGGTATCCTTCAAGTGCAAGATGATTGGGTATAAGATGAGGTCAGAAGACTAATAATGTGTGGTGGCTACAGGTGGTTGGTAACAAGTTGTGACTTTATTTCAAGTTTATTCTACTTGGTTCATGGCTTCATTTGTCCCTTCTGTTGAGGGCCTTTTATGAAAGTTGTATTTATAAACAGCCTACCTCCTACTTTTTGTGACCAGGAACCAATGGAAAATAACTCATTGAAGCTTTCAAATCCTCCCAAAGACCGAGCTAGAATGGCAATATATGGGAAAGAGGAGGCAGGAGTAGGCTTTAGCACTCCAAACAACGGCCCCACAAGGGTAAAACTGAGATGGAAGGCTTGTGAGCCCCATCTGGGAAATTGAAGCCTCTTAACAAGCAGAGTAAGCTGAAAGGGGGAAGTGTGTTGTAAGCATGAGAGGATGAAGTCTTTGGCCTGATCAAAACAAGGTATGGAACAAAGAGCAGGAATTTGCCTCAAATTCCTTTTCAAAACAGGAGATCTCGGGGCCCTCTCAGGCTAGGCAAACAAGGCTGCAACAGAAAAAAATGAAGCACAAAAACTGCAGCCCAAGGTGACTCCCTATTATGGAAGCCCACTCTACAGAGAAGAGTATGTAGTGTATGCACATAAAGCCTCGGTCTTGATACAATGGGGAAGGACAAGGATAGCCATGGAATAAATATATAAAATGTAATGCAAGTTGTGTTGCTACTCCTTGTGCAAACATCTAGCTGAGATGGCCGGCATGTAATCTTTCCGAGACTACATGCACAAACTGGAAGTGTGTAACTAGACTCGATCACCAAAGCACCAGCGAGTTGAAGCCTTGGGTACCAAACAGCCTCAAAGGAGATAACTGTTAGTTGTTGGTCCTTGCAATTGGCATGTTGGAATGGAAACACTGAAACACTTTGAAATGGATTGCAAAGTCCAAAGGTGCACAAAGTGACTAGGCATTATTCTGTGAAGTGTATAGCATGCATATAGCACGGACTGTCTCGGGAATAACAAAACTTGATCTACATCAAGGCTGCATACTTGAAACAAATGCTGGCACAATGTGAGGGGTAGCTAGTTTCTTCAGAGATGCTCTGTTTAGTTTGGAGGATATGGTGATTGGATGTGGATTTTTTCTTTAGCTTTCTTTTTTTAATACTACTTTCCTATGTTTCATGAGGTAACAATATAATGTTTTATTTTCTCATTTCAGGAATGTTGAATGATTTGACAAAAATGGTGCTAGTAAATGCAGTGTACTTTAAAGGCTTATGGGAACATCAGTTTGAGGAATCTGATACATATGATCAGGAGTTTTGGTTATCGGAGAGCAAGAGCACCAATGTGCCAATGATGCACATTACAAAGCAGTTTCGCATACAGCACAACAAAGATCTTGGAGCAATGCTTCTTGCAATGGACTATAAGGCTAGTAATATCCAACATTTGCATTTATTTGTACGTAGGCAGTAGTGGTTAACGAAAAGCATAGCTCTGACAACAGTGTAAACAACGGTACAAAAGTTGAGAGTAGACTTTAAAAGAGAAAAGGTGAGGCCAGAAAAATGAGGGACTATGCATGTCACAGTTCATATTTTTATAGTATCTATAGCAAGTGGGGTTACATTACTTAATTTTCTTAAGTGTTACTGGTTGATGGCTGCAGATTCTCTGTACTTTCTTTTAACCCATAGACAGTGGCTATAGAAAATTAATCATACCTGCCTATGTTTTGCCTATGTGCAAAAAAAAAAAAAAAATACAAACAATAATTGTTTCATTATAAAATTATAAATCTGTATGAAAATGTAAGAAATGCAAAAATAAGTGAATATTTATAGTTTCACTGGGTAGAGGCACTCTGGAAGGGTGTGTTGTGGGTGGGTGGTGCCCGTCAACACCCGGTGCCCAACTCTGCTGATGCTCTCTGTGTTATCCTCGGATGTTTCACCGATAGTTTATCAATTACAAGTGTGTTGAATAACTTGATAAATCACAATTCACATAAAACAATTATTTCAATAACACATGTAGTTTCAATTGATGATTGGGTTACCTGGTATACTCCATTACAACCAGAGAGTGGTGAGAAGGATATGAACATAATATACCATGGTGTTGGGCTTAGGGTGATGACACATGGCCTAATTGGTACCATATGAGGGAGAGTATAGTGTGAAAGAAAGGAAGGAAGGAATTAATTATCAGAGAAAAGCGCCAAGTCATTATGACTATAGCACTGGGAACGGATCAGGATAAGGATTTGGGATGGGACGGGGGGAAGGAATGGTGCTCAACCACTAGGACGGTCAGGGATTGAACACCGACCTTTATGAAGTGAGACCGTCGATATACTGTCCAGTCCAAGTGGTGAAAGCCATATGCCACCAGTGTGGTGAGCACAAATGACAGCAAGCTCCTAGTACATGTAACCATGAAATGGTAGGATTTTTTTCATGGGTCCAGTTAAACTCCATTGCATCCACAGAGCTATTATATTCATATTTCCATCATGCATGTAAAACCCAGACATAATTGTTTAAATCGTCATATGATAACTGCATTACCCCATGAATCAACCAATGACAATAACCACTGTCTAACGGTTAATGTTTTTTTCTTTTTGAATATGATTTTAACATCTTTAAAATCTGAGATATTGTTCCTGGTTTGTGTGTGGGGCTCAAGCATCATTGGTGTTAACTCGACATGGATAATTATATTCATAAATCTTTGCATTCAAGTTTGGATGTTTCTCCTATTTATACATTGTCACAATAACTACAAGGTGTTGTGTACTTTTTCTAGTTCTGCTTCTGATGTGTTGAGTGTAGCACTTGTTTGTTTTGTGGACAACTACCAATATGGGATTTTATGCACTTGCTGTTGATTTGGTTGCTGTTTGTCTTTGGGAGAAAAAAGTCATCATTCTGGTATAAATTTGTTGGTGTTACTGTGGATCATCTTTGCTCACATCTTGCATTCCCTAATGAAATGTGTAGAGCACTTTTGGTTTATGAAGGAACAGGCGATACATGGGCACTTGTGTTCAAGAAACTGTTGTCCAACCACTTGGACTGGACATTAGAGCGATGGTCTTGCTTCTTGCACGTTGGCATTCAATCCCCGACCTTCCAAGAGGTTGGACACCATTCTTTCCCCCATCCCATCCAAAATCCTTATCCTAATCCCCTCCAAGTGCTATAATTGCAATAGCTTGTGGGAATGGATCCAATTGCTATGCATTTTTGGGGACCAAGACAAACGGTTTGCTTTTTGCTTGTCGGTGTCTTTGTTGTGTTCATGGGTTCTCGGTTGGTGCTCAGATGTACTCGCCTAGTTGTACTCGCCTAGTTGTGCTTGCGGGGGTTAAATTCTGGCTCTTTGGTCCCGCCTCTCGACTGTAAATGCATTATGTGGATGTAGTGTGGGAGCAGAGGTCTTGGGCTTTTGTGTTGTCCCTGGTTGGGGTGTTTAGCTCGGAGCTCTCCCGGTCTTGTTCTCTTTGCCTCATGGGGGTATGTTGTGGAATTTTAGTGGATCTTCCCAGTTTTCTGGCCTTCCTGTGGGCTCGTATTCTTTCCTTCCCTCTTGAATGGGGGGAGAGGGAGTTGTGCCCAGTGTTCCCAGTGTTTTCTCTAGGAGGATGCTTGGTACCTTTTGTCTGGTCATGAATTGGTAAACAACTTGCCAACTTAAAAAGTTCTCAATCATACCTTAAAATTTTGGTTTTAGTAGTGCACATTCTTGATCTATTGTTATCCACTTTCATGGGATGGGGAGGTATCAACTTACAAGAAACAGAATAAAAAATAGGAAAGGAAGAATAAAGATATGAAAAAGACCACATCTATTAGCCATATTTTCTACACTACATAGGCTACTGCAGCATCAGATACAGCCAGCAACATCACTCCAACAATACATCCACAGCAGCACCCCACTGCTTCACAGTCGGATGTAAAGGGCTTTCTGCCAATTGTCACTTGAAAATGTTCAACATTCAATCTTAACAACTTGACCCTATACAGCCTTATTCAAACCCATTCTCTTGGACTGTTTACTTTTTCGTCTTTACTTCCTCACACTTGGACCATTTAGCAGTCTCCGTAGTGTAGTGGTAAGACACTCGCCTGGCGTTCCGCGAGCGCTATGTCATGGGTTCGTATCCTGGCCGGGGAGGATTTACTGGGTGCAATTCCTTAACTGTAGCCTCTGTTTAACGCAACAGTAAAATGTGTACTTGGATGAAAAAACGATTCTTTGCGGCAGGGGATCGTATTCCAGGGACCATAGGATTAAGGACTTGCCCGAAACGCTACGCGTACTAGTGGCTGTACAAGAATGTAACAACTCTTGTATATATCTCCAAAAAAAAAAAAAAAAAAATTTCTGTCCATCTCGTGTAGTTACAAATTCACATTTGCATAAATTAAAGGTTTTCTACTTGTATTTCTATATATTATTTATAATGACCATGAAATATTATGAATTAACAATCACCACTGCTGCCTGTCTGCCTGTGTATGTGTCTATCTCCTAACAGGTCTGGTTTGTTTTATCAGAGTGTCACTTTGTTGTTAAATCTTCTACAATTCTTCCTGCTGTACCATGAGAAAATATTGAAGCTATTCTATACCATACTTCCACAATTTTGGACAAATATATTTTAAATCTAATTGCTAAACAAAAATATCAATTTTTTTTTAATGAAGTGTCTTTCTAGGGATCTAGGATAAGTATGGTGTTTGTGTTGCCGGATAAGCGTGATGGACTAGTAGAGGTAGAGGCAAAGCTGGCAACCACAGATCTCAATAATATTGACAAGAAGTTGCAGAGGGTTAAGGTGGAAGTCTGCATACCTAAATTCAAGCTGGAAGAATCTCTTGATTTGGTTGACCATCTGAAGGAGGTAAATTTTTTAGTTACTGTTTGTAGTTAGTACTAGTTCAAAATATGTATACGTCATCTTCCAAAATCCTCCATATGAGGAATTCAGTAATTTTAAATAATGGGTAACTACTTCTATTGGATAACGAATCCAAAATTTTTATTAAGCGATTCATTATCATTATTGCAATTAAATGTGTGTGGGGGGGGGGTGTGATATTTTATTACTGTAGTAATTTCCAGTCGATCACATTTTTTCCTTAATTTTTGCTATTTTTCAGCTTTTTAGTAGTAAATATAAAAAAATAAATTATAAATGTTTTAATTGTGCTTTTACTGTACCATAAATTATATAGTTGTTTTCATTCATAGACATACTGTTAGTGCACATCTACTAATCATGTTTTTTCTGAGTAGGGTGGCCTTACCTTAATATCACTACATGTTCTCCAGTGCAACAGTCTGGAATCATCCCAGCTTTGACACTTGTATACACACTAACTAGGCCTATCTTGAGGTTACCTTGCGATGATTTCGGGGCTCAACGTCCCCACGGCCCAGTCCTCGACCAGGCCTCGTTGCTGGACTGGTCAACCAGCCTGTTGGATATGGCTGCTTGCAGCCTGACGTATGAATCACAGCCTGGTTGATCAGGTATCAGTTCTGTAGTAAAGGCCACTAAAGTAAAGGAAGGAAGGGAGGGAATAAGTTAAGGCAGGCAGGCCACTAACAATTCATGAATGCCTTTCTGGGGACTAGGACATGATATGGCCTACTCGGAAGCTTTGCGGAGCCTAGGAATCGGTGAACACAACAGAAACTAGGGATAAGACCACTATAATGGTACAGTGCTCTGAAACAATGACTGTATAGACAAGTTTGTAAATTGGACTTTTACTCCATAAACTCTCATTACTATTGCAGAATCACTGCCTTAAACACATACATGCCACTAGGTGGCTCCCCGAATGGTGTAAGAGATGGATTAGATATCACTTCATAAAGGTATTTATTAGATATCAACTCGCTCAATGACAAAGTTAAGCACAGTTGAAACTTGCTTTGCTCCCCCTACGGGCTGAGACTGACCGTTATGTTAAAATACAAGACGTGTACAGTATAGGTAAACAGGGAAGGGAAATAAATATAAATAAAAATTGGACTTAATTACAGAAGGATGGATATATACTTTAACTGGGCCCCAAGCATGCTATTCTGGTGTGGAAATATTGACTATACTGTATAATGAGTACACACACATAATGAATTAGCAGAAATGAGGCAAATATGCATTGTAGTAGTCACTTAACACTGGCCTGGCCTTGGACAGGTGTATATAATAATCAAAATAAAATGGTACCAACAGATGCAATATAACAGGAAGAAGCACAAGAATCTCTCCTCTTCATAGGGAGGGTAGATAATGCTTAGATGAGCATACGAACTTGAGTAGAATCTAATAAAGGAACCTCCCATAACACGACATGTACACCTGTACATGTTGCTTGTATGGGTTCCTATATATACAGTACTCGGTCACTGTTTTAGTCAATTAGGTATACATAAGCAGGTAATCTATACTTTAACTAAAGTGAAACAGAGAACATAAAATCCATCTAACTTGAATATTGCAGCCTTATCTGTATGGCGAGTTTACAAAATTGTCACCAAGAATTCATGAACTCTGACCCCCTCATCTAGCTTCCTCTCGATATGAATGAAACAAAGACGACGATTTATTTATTTTTTTATTTTTCCTTATGATAGTTGCACACCAAGGGTAAACAGCCTGCACAACTTAATATTTAGAGCCAGGCAGAAGCTTAGAGGCCATGCAGGAACATCCCTAAAAAATTATATAATTTAAGATTGCTTAGATAAAATTTATTTGATAAGATTTAGGGATAACTTTAAAAAGTTTAATAGTTAAATGTCTTATTTTTTTCCAGATGGGAATGAGAGACTTGTTTGATATCAAAAGTTGCAACTTGTCTGGGATCACAGGCAGCAATGATTTGTTTGTTTCTAATGTGGTTCACAAAGCGTTCCTGGAGGTCAATGAGCAAGGCTGTGAAGCTGCTGCAGCTACAGGTTAGTCCTTGTATATAGTCTGTATTTAGTCTTCCTCTCACTCCTACAGTAAACTTTTATTGCTGATGGCTTGTTAATACCTGTACAGTATTTAATTACAAATGGCTACAAACCTTTAAAATTTAGTTATCAAAATCTAGCTTACATGCTGTATTTCTAAAAAAAATGAATTTGTATGAAAAAAGCTACATTGGAAATAGCTATATGCTTTTTATTCCAATTCCAACATGATTTCTTACACACATGGCATCATAAACCTTACAAGGCTGCATTTCTAATATTTGCCTTATTTGACAGCTTGGACAGTACTTTGAAACCCTGATGTACTTGTAGGCTGGTTGAACAAAGTGTTAATAAGTAGATGTTTCTCTTATCATTATTAAGAATAGATTTATTTTGGGTCATGTTTTGTCTATAAAAGTTACCATTGTACCTTGACCCTGACTAAGGTTGCAACCAAAGGGATCATGATCATGCTCATGAAGATCTTTATTCTTAAGTTCTGTTTATCGTTAATTTTCTCGACAAACTATGTATCAGCTACAGTGTTATGTTTTTAGTTGAAGCAATTCATACAGTGTTGAAACATTATTTAATGGCCTTTACATACAGGAATTATAAGCTTTGTATAAAATTGAACATATGTAACTTATCCATTAAAATTTACCATGAAATTAATATCCAAGCTTATAGAGCAAACTCTTAAATAAAGTGATTTTTTTTTTTTTATTTAAGCTGGTTGATTTAATGTACTGTTAATGATCATATCAAAATATTAAATAATTGTTTATTTTTCCCCATTTAGGTATGGTAATAATGAAAAGAAGTCTGCCAATGCCTCCTCCACGCTTCATTGCTGATCATCCCTTCTTGTTCTTTATTAGAGATCAACAAACAGGATTAATTTTGTTCAGTGGCAGATTTGTTCTCCCTGAACACATGCCATCTAAAGATGAACTTTAATCATTATTAATTTTTAATTGTTCTGGGAATTGTTTATTTACAATGTAACTAAAGCTATGACAACTGGAATGCTAGTTTTTTTTTATCTTTTAAAGCTCCGTATTTATAAACCTTGGAGGTTTTAACTCCTGAAGTGCAGCTGTGAAAGATGCCTCCCCCCCCCCCCCCCCAAAAAAAAAAATTAATAAACACGAATGTAAGTATTTTTTGTGCATTTTGAGAAGAGACAGAGGGTAATTTAGTCTGTGGACTCGTACGACGCAGTACAGTATTGCCACCTTGCCATTTCATGGAGAGAGCCACGATGACTGTTTGATGGTTTATATGTTTGCCATATCACTTTTGTTTACACAATGTGGAATAACTTTATTTTAGTGGGTGTTGTAACCCACTCTTTTGCTGCTGCTTTGTCTGGTAATGTCATTCAGAAATATATTTAAACATTGGCAGGAAGGACTAAATTGTGATTTGACAAACATGATCTAATGTTACACAATAATTTTATTGCATAGTAAGCCATTAAAAACAACAAATCTTTTCATGGGTCTAGGTTAACATCATTACATCCATATAAGTGTATTATGTCCATACGACCATATGACCAAACTTCATTTGTGTAAAAACCTGGTGACGAGCTAAAATCGGTGATAACTGCGTTCCCTTTGAATTCGATTCTTAACAGTGCGGTTATCATATGTTAACTTACATTTCCCTCGTTTAAATATTAACACTTATCACATCCAAGTAACGGTATTGCCGTCCTAAAATCAATAAACGTAGTTTGCGGGAAAACGGCAATGCTGTCCAAAATTTAAATATTTTGAAACATTCCATTTGTTAAATTATTATGGGGCTGGTTTTAAAATGTGCAGCAACATATTCCCATTCTCTGTGGCTATACATAATTTTGTTATACAAGTACTACACAATGATAAAAAAAAAAAAAAAAAAAAAAAAAAAAATCCTCCAGTTCCATGAAGTAGTCATTTGGTCACTAGTGTACTTTAAGTATTGACCTCTCAAAAATGACATCAAACATGCTGGTGATGAACATGATGGTTCTACTAGGTCCAGGTGTGAGGTAACCACTCTTCTTTACTTTATCTTATGAGAACTGTTATCAATACCATGTGTGTTCTTATATGTAGATAAGTTTGATACCAAATTGAACGATGTAGCACGAAAAGTGAGGTAAGAAAGCTGAAAGAGTATGGACATTGGAGTGTGGCGGTGAGCTGATGGACAACGTTCGGCCTACCTTGGGGTTGCGCAATGGCCCGCCCGCCCACCCTGGCACTGAAAGTGTCTAGTGTTACAGGACATAGGGGATTTTGTGTTGTAGGTGAGTGCATTACATTACCCAATAAACATTGCCTCAGACCCACTGCTCTCATCTTTGTTAGACTTCTAGTATGGATTAACATTTTCCCATCATCCTTCCTGTGCATTCTAACATCCAGGAGAACCTCTTGTGTGGGAACTATCTTGTCATTTTAGGTTCAGATAGATGCAGTCTTTGCAACAGTCTCATGATTGTAGAATCTGTTGTCAAAACTACACTATTTCAGGAAACAAGGGCTGATAGAAAAGCAATCACTGATACTCAAAAGGGCAGAAAGCACTAGTATAAAATTGTGTTTAGAACAGAAAACTATGCACAAAAGATCCACTAGACAGTATGACATTATAATTGACATAATTTGGCTGGGATATCAATATTTACAGCAGGTGGGTGCAGGTAAATACCCCAATGGTGAGCATTCTAATTGTAAGTTATGTGAACAAGAGCCAGGACACACTCCCGCACTAGAAGTGTGACTACAGTATTACCAATGACTTCAGACCAAATGGTACAAGATGCTTAAGTTCTCTTAACTACTTCCTACATTCATAAATATTGGAGATAATGATGTGCTGTACCCAGAGTTTGCTGGTACAGACTAATAGACTAGACTTTTATCTCATTTTCTCCCAATTCCATATATGACTAACCATCCTGTGAAATGGGGATATTAGATAAATTTATAACTAGCTCTAGATTTATACTGTAAACTTTCATATTACCTGGTTGATGGGGTTCTGGGAGTTCTTCTACTCCCCAAGCCCGGCCCGAGGCCAGGCTTGACTTGTGAGAGTTTGGTCCACCAGGCTGTTGCTTGGAGCGGCCCGCAGGCCCACATACCCACCACTTGCATATTGTATAGGGAAGCTGCACATTCCTGTATATATCTAAGTTTCTTAATAAAAAAAAACTACCTCTATTATAAAAACTGAGTAGATCTGTTACATATGATCGAAGTTAAAAAATCATACAGACTTACGTAACAGATACATTCGATGCATTTAACCTAGTGATGTAACAACCATGCTTGTCACAGATTCTAGTCTGCAATTTAATAGATTTTGTCACTTATTAAAATATGGAAAATGGCAAACATAGAACCATGTCTGCAAGGTGTCCCACTTGTAAAGATTTCTATATTAAGTGGGTTGCTTAGTTCATAAGCACTGTCAATATAGAGTGAAATTCCATCTGGCCCAACTCCCTTGTTTCTATCTACATCCAAGAAGTTTTATTTATATCATCTTGACACTTTCATTGAAGCCTGTGCACTATATTCTATAATCTACAGTGTGGGGTGTGCTGTGAAAACCTGTTGTTCTACTATATTCTATAATCTACAGTGTGGGGTGTGCTGTGAAAACCTGTACACTTCGAACCCGTTACCTGGAGAGGGTTCCGAGAGTTGTTCTACTCCCCGAGCCCAGCCTGAGGCCAGGCTTGACTTGCGAAACATGTATTTGTTCATTTAGAATTTTGCATATTTCCTAGTCTTTTTAAATCTGTTATCTATTCCTATCCTAGCTTTTATCATCCACATGAAGTTTATTTTATAGAATAGGGTGGGTTCTGTTTTGCATATGTGCTGTTACTCTTTTCAAAATTCTTTTCTACCGTTCTCCTCACTATTGTGTAGTGAATGCAATTGTTTGTATTACTTGGTTTTGGAATGAATCTTTGGGGGTTACCTTTAGTTAAAAATTTTGCATATCTGTATAGGAAATCCAGGAAGCAGTCTAAATGAAGTAACTAATTATCTCTCATAAGAGAGAGTTAACAGATTTGCAGCAAACCGTGCAACCAACTCGAAAAGAAAATACCCAAGACAATATTTTTAGAAACGATGATTTGGTAAAAAGCACACAGGTTGTAAATCTGCTCAACATGTATTTGTAACCAAACTTGTGCAGCTGGTCTGAAATTAAAAAAGGAGGATTCAGTATATTAAACATTAATACCGAGCTGATTAACTAGGAACTAATAAAGTAAATCCTTACAGAAATAAGCTCGGACGAACAGCTAGATAATGCAAACATAAATTAGTGCCTGAGAGATTAGGCACAGTAGCACAAAAAAAAAAATGCTTCTCATACCACTAAGAAAAAGGGGCAAATTGCAGAGTTTAATATCCCACTCTATACCAAGAATGAGAAGGAAGGCTATGTAGAGAGAGAGATAGAAACAATCAAGCTTGAAGCTACAAGGAATTATATAAAATCCAGAAGAGGCAAAGGTAGCAAAAGGGTATCAGTCAAAGAGGAATCTAAAATATTTCTATGCAAAAGCTAAAACAAAAACTACACCTGGCATTGGGCCCTAACACAAGGGAGACAACTTTCACTGACAAGATAAGGTGGCAGTACAATTGTTTTCAGTGAACCCTTAGCATTTTCAGTGCTATGAACTTATAGCAATCAAGGAACAAATCTTAAACTAAAGTATCCTTTTCAGTTAGCACTGCAATGAACAAGTCAAAATTATGAAATTTTACCCACAGGCATTAGTAAATACAAGGCACTCACCGGGCATAACAACCAGTACCTAGATGCAGATAATTTAGCCATACTAGAGGTGATAAATTAGTAACTAAATGTCAAAGGCACATTATTAACAATGCTTCATACAACATGTATTATTCAATCCCACAATGTGTGAAACTCGCAGTTTGGTCCTCGGGACCAAAGAGTCAAAGCTCAACCCCCACAAGCACAAAGAGGCAAGTTCAGTTGAAGTTAATACACTGTACACCTGGTAACAATACACCGAGGGAAAATTACATTACAGTATATAAGGAACTTTTTTTGTATTTATTTATTGCATATTTATGCTCTTTGACTACATACAACTCTGTGCTAAAAAATATTTTAAAAAGGTCAAAATACATACCAAATAATAACTTGGTGCCGAGATATATGGCTTACTTGACATATTAAAACTGTAGTCATTTTGAACAGAAATGATAAACAGAAGAAAAAATCATAGAATGAAAATAAGCACATATTTAGTAATGTGATGAACAAGGATGAGCAAATGTTTGGTAATGTGGTGTACAAGGATGAGCACATGTTTGGTAATGTTGTGAAGAAGGATGAGCACATGCTGGGTAATGTGAACAAGGATGAGCACATGCTGGGTAATGTGAACAAGGATGAGCACATGCTGGGTAATGTAGTGAACAAGAAGGATGAGTATATGTTTACATGAAAGGGAATTAAATTCAACAAAAAGAGATGAACTACAAAAATTAGTGTGTGCTCTTAGAAACACTGTACTGTACATTGATGACTAAAACATGTTTGTCATGCTGCCTGGCAGACTGCTCGTCACAGTACTCGGCATACTGCTAGCCATACTGCTCGTTGTGACTCCAGACATACTGGGTGGAGAGGCAGGACTTGGGGGATTAGAAGAACCTGAACTAAGGTTTTCCTCTTGTATAAACTTATCTAGTTTATCCAGCTTATCTTTATGTTCATGTTTATGTTTCTTGTGCTTCTTATGCTTCTTATCCTTCTTCTTCTTCTTGCTCTTGTGTGATTTGCCATGAGAGTCTGCACTACCTGTGCGGAACATGTCCGATTCGAAACCTGAGGACAAACAAGCGTGTTGTAAAATATGGCCACCTAAAGTAAAAAGAAAAATATTAAATAAAGTAAGAAAACTTTTAAAGATACGAGAGAAATTTGCATACAAGCAATACAATATTTTTACAAAGAAAATGAAGCACAAACACGCTAAATAGGAATTTCATGATCAGAATGCCTATTAGGAAAATATGTAATGTCTTAACATTTAATATAAAACAATAACGCAGTTTTGATGAATAAGAAAAATAATATAAACAGTACATAAATTTCAGAATAATGCTCAGCTCAGATTTAAGTGGGTGAAAGTTATCCTAGATAAAACAAAGCTCAGATATAGAATGAAACCTCAATTTGGCGAACTATACGGGACCAGCAACGATTCGTTGCATCTGCAGACTTGTTGAAACTAGAGATGCTTTTAGGTGGCATTTTTGTTGCAATTATTTTTTAAATACAAGAAAAATACATTGAATAATATTATACTATGCTATAATGATGAATCATTTTTATTTACCTAGTAAATAAAAAGGCATATTGTATATTTGCTTGAATCCTCTCAAGTTGTCATTTGACATTATTAATGCTACTTGTGAGACTGGTTCTTGAGGTGAGGTGGGAGACTCAACAAACACTGCCATCCCTATTACACTGAACACCCACTTGAGTAAGGAGAAAGTGAGAGTGAGTGAGTGAGTGTTGCTGTGGTGATCAGCTGATAATCCAGCCCATCCTCTCTAGTGCTAGGTTAGATCAACTAGGTTAATCCTTGCAACTGATGCTAGGGAAGGTAGAGATATGAAAGAAAGTTAAAGTGGATTAGGAGAACAGAAGCACACAGGTAGTGGGAGTACCATGCCATAAAGTGAACCTTTAAGCATGGAAGATGTCCCCCTCACTAAAACTGAAAACAATCCTACTTAGGAAAACCACACTGCACTTTCATCACAGCAGAGGGGAGTTATGACAGGCACTATTCACAGAGTGAGGTGACCTACCTTTCCCAGCCATGTTATTTTCTAGTGTTGCCACTTGGAGGTAGTAGAGTTAGTCAGCTGTTACGACAGTTCAGAGTAATTCTTGCCAATATAAGAGTCTCCAAGAACCCTGATTTGAAGGGTTTGTGAAAAAGCAAGCTCTTTTCTATGTTATGGATTTAGGTATGCTCTCCATCGAGTAAAATACAGTATTCATGGCAAGGACAAGACCATTTGCAAAGATATGTTCCTTCCTTCGGCTTCCTTGAGATGGTTCTAGAAATCAATGTTCCACACAGCCCAGTCTCCTTCTAGGCCTCCTGGTTGGTGGTCTGGTTAATCAGGCTGTTAGATGCTGCCGCTCACAGTCTTATGTATGACTTATAGCTCAGTTGATCAGGTATAAAATGTAAATGTTTATCAAGACCTCTTTTGATAAAGAGGTCTTCTTTGAGACAATTCTTGAGACAAAAATTTTCTCAAATGGTATCTGTTGCACCTCTGCTTTTCAATAGGACTATTTTGGATTTCCTGCTATGCCTCCTGGTCTCTTAGCATAGTTGCTGTCTTGATGGATCCGGTGCATAAGGCAAGGATTCAGCTCATACTAAGGGGGCCATGTTCAGAAATGTTCATAAAGTATAAGGATGGTAACAACACTACAATCATTTACATTATTAAAAAGGGAATAAGATACTTGAAACATTAATTATTGAAAATTGAAGAATTATGAAATAAGTAAATGCTGTATAGAATTATGAAATAAATAAATGCTGTATAGAATTATTATGGACAATTGTTAAAAACTAATTTATGATAAAAATACAAGGTTTTGGAGATATAAATACAGCAAATATAAAGGACTGAATAAATTTTAAAACTTTACATGCAAACCATTTAAGTAGAACTCAAAGTAAAAAATACACTGATTATTGGTTTAAGAAGTTCTGTCAAATGACAATTATATATTAAAAAATTTATACAAGTAAAAAAAATTCATGTCGAGGCTATTTATGTAACATGTACTTTACAGAGTACAGTAATGGTTTTTACATATATACTGTAGATAATGGTTTAGAAGCAAGCCTGGAGCTTTTACAGGCAATGGGTAAGCAGATGTGAGGTCGGTAAACAGGGGTTCCTAAAGCTGATGGGGAGTCAGGTGTTGAGATCAGCCAAGCATGATGCACGAACTTACAAATTCTATCCAATGACAAGTATTTAAATGCTTTTAAAGTCCACCTCATTGTTCATAATGGGAATATTATTTGCATAGTATTCATAATTAGGAAATGACAGCCAAAAAGTAGCTCAAGGAAGCTGACAGCTTACGTACACTTGCTGACCATGAGATGACTGGCTGGTTTTGCTGAAATTTCAAATTATAATATATTATAAAGTCTCAATAAATTTAACTTAAGTGCTAATTGTTCAAAACAGGATCCCAATTCATTTCTTACAAAAGAAAATCTTCAAGATTCTGCAAGTCTAGATGATGCCATGAATTTTGGCCCAGTGACCATGATGGGGATAAAACCTTTTTTCTTCATATGATACTATCATGGATGAGTTTAATCATGCACAAAAAGGGAAAGTCTGGAAAGAAAGTCATTATAGTACAGTTTATGGAAGTTAATGTCAAATGAACACAAAAATATTTGAAGAAAATAAAACAAAGTTAGGTTACTGTACAATTGGGGAAGACAGGTGAGGGAAAGTTCATTCTCTCACATACTTAAATTGCACTAGCAAACTGCCTCAAAGTAACAAGAGTGTGTACATGGATACTCCAGGCTACTGTATAATTTACTTGGTATTCCTGGAAGGTTAAAATAGATTCTGGAACCTAGGCAATGACCTGGCTGAAGTGTGAGGACTCGTCCCATTATGAAATTAGTGCATTTAACACAGGTACTGAATAGTAAATATATATTCATCCAAAGTCAGATTATCTGATAAGCCAATCCAGCATATAATCACTGCCAGATTATACTGTATGGCTTAGGTATCCAAATTAAGAACCAACCTTCACTAATCTAATTTTATCTTTGTGTAAAAAAAAAAAAAAGTCACGCACTGAGCGTAATGAAATGCCTCTTTCTGGTGGGCAAAAGGGAGCCATTCATCCTAGCAATTAGCACTTGGAGAGAGCACCACTGGAACAGACTGGTCCAATCAACTGTTAGATCAGAGAAACTGATTTAACACTTTTGCTGCCTAATGCCCCATATTTTGTCATAAAATCAAAGTATGGAGTATGCTGGATGACGCAAACAGCGTCAATAATTAAACAATTTGTAATAATTCCATTTATTGTCTGAACACTATGGGACTTGTTTTAAAATGAGTGGCAATTTCTTCCCTTTCTCTGTATATCCCATCTGGCATCCTGACCCCACCATGTGGGTGCTCACCCACGCTGGAGGCGAACTGTTCTCGTGACAGCCACAGCCTTCCCTAGAGTCAAAAAGTTTCCCCATTCTGGTTATTTTATCTCACGTATTTGTTGTTACTGGCTTTATAAACACTGCAAATTGACTTCCAGATGGATACTGATGAAGAACAGACCCAATCCATGATGAAAGCATCGAAAGAAACACGTACGAGGGAAAAGTTACTAAGTTTTCATTGAAAGTACAGTATAGAAAAGCAAGACTTGTATGTTCTTATATGCAAATATCCCTTTACAGCATTCTATTGCAAACAATTTGATACTAAATTGAGGTCAGAAACCTGAAAAGAGTATAAACATTTTTGTGTGTGGTGAGCTCTTGGTCTACCTTGCAGTGCGCGGCAGGTCTAAAGTATAGGAAAGCGAGACTTATATGTTCTTATAAGCACATATTCCTCTAGAGCATTCTATTGCGAACAATTTGATACTAAATTGAACGATGTAGCATGAAAATTTGGGTCAGAAAGTAAAAAGAGTACAGTATAAACATTTGTGGGTGGTGGTGAGTTCACACACACCACTTGGACTACCTTGAAGTGCATGGCGGGTCACCCGCCGGGGTAATGAAAGTGTTAAGAAATAAGATATGAAGCACCCAGTGTGCAAGCTTGAATTATCATCATGGGTTCTAATGATTTTCTCAGATGTGAAGTAAACAAGCAACTATCAAATGATACCAAGCTAGGAAGACTATGTAGCTAACACTAAAGCATGGGATCACACAGATTTAGATTAAGTCACTAGGATAACTAATCTGATTTTATGTTCTGATTTATGCAGATTCTCATTACCATCAGGGTGGATGCTTGGCAGGAAAATGAGGGTAGCCACCTCATCCGACCCCTTTGCTGTCACTTAGTGGCAGTCAATGCTGTTGCCTAGTCGGTGCTAGATAGTTCAGTGTGATTCATGGCCATTTTTTAGTTGCCAAATATTGTTTTGAGTAGTTTTGGGGGTTTGAGTGTGTATACGGAACAGTTTACCCATGAGTGGATCGATGTTTGTTCTCCAGTGTCCTCCTCTCCTCTTTTTAGAGGGACAAGACAAATGGAAAATGTACTTATCCATCTAGGGCTCTGCATAATATCAGTGTGCAAGGTATTGAGAGGACTGAAATTCTCTTTTCTGATCAGCTCCTCAGTGGCTCCTGAATCAGTTGCCAGGGTTCACACAGGATGATTCCTAGACACCAAGCTGGCATCAACCTTAGTCCCATCTTGCCAAGGAACTTTGCAAATGATAATGCAACATGATAATTACCTTCAATCTTGGTCTCACACAAACCTAGGACCTCAACCATTATTTTTGTTTAACTTTCACTACTTCATCTTTGTTTTCTACAAATTTATTTCTCTCACATCCACACAGTCTTACAACTATGTTTGCATTTTGTTTCCTGGGCAAAAAAAAAAAGGCCCCAGATCCGAGGCCATTTTTTTCCTATAGGAAGAAGAAAATTTAAGAAGATAGGTTCCATGTCCCCTTTCCCCCCCTTCTGTAATGTAAGAATTTATAATCTAATTGTAGTACAGAGTGGTGGACAATGAGATCACAACAATCCTAAACTAATTAATAACTGCAATGTAAAGGATATTAAAGCCTTAATAATAAAAGCACAGATATTCTGTTATGAAGGTTACCTGTAGGGGCTCCAAGTGTATCCTGGCTATCACAAGGAAGTGACGTGGTAGATTCAGACATGTCACCTTCGACACTGGGTGTCACACTTGGCGCTGCATACTGCTCAACATTTTCCTCACACACTTCAACATCCTCCTGTCCATAAAAAGGAGTCTTATTTACTTATTATATAAGGAGTTACTTTTAACATACTGGACTATTCCATAAGAGTTCATTTAATCTTATATGAAAGCAGGCACAAACATTAACAGAAATTCATTGAAAATGCAACTCGCCTTTATTCTTGTTTTGTTGTCCTCTGTAAAAATAACTTCAACAGGCATTTCTACAATTTCTGTTTTTACTTCAGCTTTAGGTTCCGATACATCATCACCAGGTGCTTCTCGTTTCATAGGTTGTGAAGTATTATTGTCTTCCTCTTTTAACTGAAAATAAAAGATACTGTATTATCATTTAAAAAATTATTTGTTTTACTAATATCAAAATACTAGTGTGGGTGCATAATAAATTAACTAAATCAAATATGATGATTACATGTGCTGTATGGCTAGCCTGATTTATTAAGTAAAAACTTATTTTAAAAATACAAATACTGTAAATATAAACAAAGTTGTATGAAGTTTTGGGCCAGCCAACAAGAGTATGCTTTGTCAGGGCTTTATTGCCAGAGAGAGTTCCCCAGAGAAGTCATCACTGCCTGATGTTATAATGGAAGGGGACTTCTCTTCCAAACAGTAACACCTCTCCTCCCCCCCCCCCCCCCCCCTCCTCACTGTCTTCCATACGCAAACAGGATTCATCAGTAAAGGCAAGTAATAATTTGTACATACTTTTGTATTGAAGATTTGGGTGAATTTGGTATAAAATTTACTTTTGAAGTTAATTTTTGGGGGAATCTGGAACTGATTAATTCATTTTCCATTATTTCTTATGGGGAAATTTGTTTCGGTTTACAAATTTTCGGGTCAAGAGCCATCTCTGGGAATGGATTAAATTTGTAAACTGAGGTACCCCTGTATAGGAAAAATGAGGCATCTTATTATAAACCCCAGCACTCAACTGCAGATGGATGGTAATGTGCCAATAAGAATTCCATAGATCCAGGAAAATAGCCCAGAATCCACTTGGTACCACCTGTTGGACCAAGGCCACAGTCATTCAGAATGAAAGGATAAAGTCCCATCCCTAAGCAAGACCCCTAGAAACAATGTGCAGCCCACAGGCATTTTGGGTCCATGCTTGCCAGAAGGCACCCAAGCATCCCCTGGGGTGGTTGAATATCCTGCCACTTTGTAAGAGGCCACCACCAGCCCTTGCATATACCATTGGAGCATTACGATAACTACCTCATTCATGAGCCTGAGATGACTTGTCTCTAGAATGTAACCCCTGTTATGCAAATATATAAAATATGAGGTTTAAATTTGTATAAAGAAAAAAAATCTGATTTACTATTATCACTGTATTCTGGATGGGAGGATGTGGTGGTTTACGGAGGTTGAGCACAAGAGCGGGCTCAGATGCAGGGATGCAAGCTGGTCTGCGCCGTCCATACATGGCGTAGTAGAGGTCCATTACTGCACACCGAACTCGGGAATCACAATGCTGTCCAGAGCTAGGAAAGATAGCAAGCAATAGATAAGTTATTATATATACCCATACATATAGATAAATAAATTTGTGTCAGCGTCTATCTGACTGACTGACTTGTATATCTTAATATAATCTAGCATTGGCCCATACATTTTTGGCCAAGTAATCGACATGACATGACTGACTACCTGTGACATAACACTGGATCCTACTGTAGATGAATATTATACCCCACATTTAACAGTGTTTGGGGAAAGATGACAATTTGCTTTTTGGAATAACCTATGTAAATCATAAAAGTCAAACGATAATCAAAGATGCTTGTTAATTTTTTGTCTAGTTCTGTAATCTACACCAAGTTCTACCTTGATTCTCATTATCGGTTTAAAAAAATCTGGTAGCATGCTCACCTCACACCTTGTAAGGAATTACGGCTGGGGTCCACCACGGGATAGGGAGGGTCTACTAGGTACGGTTCCTTAACTGTTCACCCAGCAGTAATTGGAAACTTAGTTATAAATCAATTGGTAAGTCATGTTCCAGGGGAAACTAAGATGAAGAAGTGGTACAGCACTTTCAGCCAGTCCCAACTCAACATAAAACTCATGACCTCCATATCACTGGGCAGTGGAGGTCCCTCTGATACAGCAAGGACAATCATGGGAGATGGAGTTTGTTCAAAGAGTCCCATATCAAACCTAATTATATCAACCACTGGAAAGGCATCAACAAGGACTGTTTTGCTAGTTGATGAGAAAGCCGAAATTCATAAACTGGGAATGCACAATACACCATGAAAGCACACATGTAGAACGTTTGGGAGCCCAAATCAACTAGTCAACATTACCCTATATATGGCCAAATATTTATTAGAATGATTATGTACAGATGAACAAAAGTCACAATTTATTCAATGATCACAGTATTACTGATACACTATATACATTTTGCCTTTATCTACTGTTAAAGAGTTCCAAAAAAACTAGTGTAATTCCCGTACAATTTAATTTTTGTGCATTTTTCACAGTGCATTTTAATTTGCATATTCCTCTTACTAATGACTTGCTTAATCACACTGACATCAATTAAAAAATTTACAGCACAAAACAAATTTGTCCTCATAGATCACAGATCAAGATATCAAGGCTCATGAGAAATAATGTTGCATAAAATTTGAATCCTACTGTATATAAAAAACTGAGTTCTACAGATAATTTTTACTTACTTCATTATATTCCACAAACGTTCAACTAAGTGCTCATTGTCAAGTTTATGACTTTGACCCATAATGAATGGAGGATTCTGAGCTAACGCTACAAGAGTTAAGTATCGAATTCTTGGGACTGGGTCTGTTTCAGCCAAAGTCAGCAGAAAGTCAATGTCATCACGCTGGCCATCACGCGCTAGGAAGTCCACAATCTGTTCCACTGCTGCAACCCGAACATCTGAAAATAAATGATAACTAAATATAAAATAACAAGATTCAATCTTAACACTTTAAAGATTTAAAAAATATTCCATTTTCAATAATAACTTGCACAGAAATTTCAAACCCTGTATGAATTTATTATAGTAACTAGGAATTGTTGCAAACTTTCCTTAGCCTACAGTGGTGCCTTCTTCTGATAATTACTTACCTCTAAGCCTACAAAGGATAAGCAAAATTATGCATTCTAGTGAATAAACATCAGGAGCCAGAGTAAATTATAGAGGAATTATTTCATGTTATATAACTACAGTATTACAATTCCATTTTTCTCACCAATGTATTGAGGGTATGCAGCATATGCTTTGAAGATATCTGACTTAGGTGGTATGTGACCATTTCTTTGCAGAACACGAATAGCATGAAGGCAGGATACTGTCACTGTGTACTTGTAGCAGGGTAGCAGCTTCTCCAAATTTAGATACCGAGTGATCTACCAAGGCAGTAAAAAATTAAATAAGGTTTAAATTCACTATCACATATTATTAACACTAGTCATTATAAAACATTCTATAATTCACAAAAATAGAGCAGTGATTATAATGAAATGTCCCTTAGTAGCTTCCCTTAGCTAAATTAACTGACACCAGGACACTGAAAATGCCAAGATTCTGGTTGGCCTTCACTGCCCATAGGGACCAGTATCCTTGCTAACTGTCTTGTTCTCTGCAAATGGGTGGGAACTACGTACAGATCACATATCAAGACAATATCAATCAAAACTATCCGCTATGACACATGTACACTTCATAAATGCTCAAGCTCCGTCCAAATGATCCTTGGCAACACTAAATTGCCACAACCCCTCTTCTGGAAACCCTCCTGAAGCCCTAGAAGCTCTTCTCAATACAGATAGGGGAATGACCAATATAGGCACCCATCTCCAAACCTGAACGTGTGGTATGGTTAAGGAGAGGGAGTGCCAACTGTAGAGGCTTGTGACTCTACAACAGAACATGCAGACAATGAGTTCTAGATAAATGAGGTGAAATGGCTAAGGAAGGAAGGAGTACACTCTGTAGCTTTAGTTAACTTCACCAAAGAGACAACACTCAAGGCCTCTGCATTCAACACTACCTCTGGTGGTTCCTCGAGTGTAGGTTATTTCAGCACTCTGATCAATGGTGGGGCTGGAAAGCTGCGCAAAAAGTGGTCATTCAAGAAGTTAGACCTCCAGTCAAATCAGGAAAATTTGCATAGGAAGGCTTGGTCTAGTTGCAAGCAGCAAGAACCAATTCTTTGAAGTCCTCTTCATACAACAAAGCAGAATCCCATGCTTTCATTCCCAGTGATGTCAGGGACTGCAAAAGCCTGAAGCATGAAGTGTGGGTTTGCAAACTATCCACAGCCTGGTAGAATGCTGCTCAAGAGAATAATATGACCAACACAGAGGGCCAACGATGAAACACATTACGCACTCGAAAGCGAAAAAACCCTGAACCCAACAGATTGAGTGGAACCAGGAATGACCAGTGGAATAAAAAAAGAATTACGTCCCAGAAGGCTAAAGCAGCAAACTAGTTTTGAGCTTACCAGCTCGGGGAGCCACTACCTTAAAAAAAAAAAAAAAAAAAAAAAAAAAAAATGACAATTATAAAAGTATAATTACAATAATATCTCAAAACCTATATGTACACAAAATTGCCAAAACAGATGTTGAAATGTGCCCAAGACACAGATGGTCATTCTATGTTTTGGAATACCTGAGCTGTTTCGTTGGATGGCCGGCTGACATTTACAATGTTGCTGTTAAATATCCTATTATTTTAACTGCACTATATTTTGCATTTTTATTAACAAGATGTCTTACATTAGCCATTATGACACTATAGGTTTATAAAGGGAAGAGAGGGCAAGGTGTATCTGGCAGTAAGGCAAGAATGGCAAGGGATTACATCAATATATATATATATATATATTTTCCTTTAATTGCTTTACCAAGTGGAGAAGCCATACTTTTTCCTTGACTTTGTAAAATGGTTGTGTATGGTAGGTGCACAAGACAAGCATTAAGGTCAAATACTGGTAAAAGTAATGGAAACTGGTAAAACATACCAGTTTACCACATAATATACTGGTAAAATATATGCGAAGCATGAGAGACATTTGATCTTTCTAACATAGCTACCAAATTTTATGGAGTGTAAACTTAACATCTAGTGGAGAGGAAACATGATATATGCAAGAAAACTTTCAACAATATCCAATATGCAAATAAACAAACTGGTTACATTACTTGCGCATGACATACATACCTCATTTAAAACCCTGCGTATATCCTCGGACAAGGAATCCGAAGTGATGGTAGCAGGGTCATGTTGCACTAGAGCTGGAGAAATTGCTGCAGCAAGTGCATCTACTAAGGCTGCCCTGTAGTAGTTATCAGAGTAGCGATTCTTGGAGTTATCACTGTATTTGAAGAGGTCCATCAAGAACCCCAAAACTTCTGGAGGACATGTCTTGTGAGTGTTACGAAGACCAGCCATAGCAACTGGCAGAGTCTGCAACACAACAACCTTTGATAATACAGTACAGCATCCTTAAAATAAACCCTTTTAATGGTAATCTTGTCATGTTTGAAAACATTGCAAAAATCTGTGTAAGTTCAATTTACTTTTTCTATATAAATGTTATTAAAAGATAAAATTTACATAAATAACACAAAAAAAATAGAGCATTAAGTGTAATCAAACGCTCCTTTCTGGGAGCCCTTTGGTGGCTCCCATGTAGCTTCTGTACCACAATCTTACAGCTCACTGGAAGCAAAGACTAGAATCCTGCTCCCTCACAGATACAAGGAGCTGTGGGTGTTAGACTATCTCATTGAAGAAAAATCCTGCAAAAATAGGCTTCGAGTTTTGTTTGGAACTGATTTGTACCTAACATTTCTCAAAAAGTAAAAGTTTTTGTAACCCATTTAGGCTATGGAGCAGGAATTTTCCTCAGTGTGTAGTAGTTCAATGACACTCGGGGGTACCTGTTGAAGGCAATAAAAGAACCAAGGCAAATACTGTAACAGCAATATAAAATTTAAGTACCAGTATTGCAGAGGAAGTAGTTTAAAATTTAAACATATATGGGGGTATAATGATATTATTATTGTGCCTACAATTTAATACCAATGAGAAAAGACTTATCTAAGCTTATAATTCATCATACAAATATGAGTAAATCTGCACATTAAACATTATACATTTTTTAATCATAAAAAAATGAGTGCCGCTAAACAGGTAAAAATATGAACAAAAATACAAAAAAATAAATCATTATCACCAATACTCCATTGCCAACTGTAGATGAGGAGGTAGAAGCAAGCCTGGAGAAGATAGAGGGGAGTAGTATAGGAAGAAAAGAATAAACATACAGTATTAACAAACTACAACTGTCCATTTCAGAAACTTAATAGATATGATCAAACCTTAAGTATATAGTAATTCTGGAGGCTGGTGAAGTCGTGTTGCCTAATGATGTTTGGGCATGAGAATGAACCAAACATCTTGCGAAAAATCTGCATCATGGCTGGTGGACCATTCCAATTGGCTACCATGGCATTAGCCACTCGAGTGAGACAGTGAGCAGCTCTACATCGTATCTGGGAAGATGAATATTATTCACGATAATTTATAAATGTGACTATCATCTGTATTACATTACCAGGTAAATGGAGAGCGAGACATATGAATCAAACTTCCAAAATAGAAATAACTGAAATGCAGTGCAATTCAAACATTCAATATAGATACTGTAATCAATAATAAAGCATGTTGGAAGTTTCATGTTGATCTTCATTCTTATCAATTTGGTTGTCACATACTTTCATTTACATTTACTCTATCAATATCAAGTGCAATTCTCACTGATACCATTTAGTTAAACTCTTTAAAACCAATGTTATGTACTCTCACAAACCTATTGTACCTTCTTGTATATAAATATATAAAATAAATAAATAAGTTATTGTCAACATACAATACTGTTTACATAATTGTTTGCATAATATCTATGTAAAATGTACATTATAACTAACCTTATAAAAGCACTGCTCATTTTCTAACACAGCATTCAGTGTATTTCGCATTTCAGTCGTAACAGCACCTGTAAAAACATTCATGAGGTGAAAAACTAAATATACAACACTTACATATCACCCATGAAAACTTGTATGTATATGGGTTGAATTTCTAAGAAATTTTATTTAATCAGCAGAACCTGGCTAGTTCCCTCTTAAATTATTTAATTTCATATTACCAATACTGAGATACCTTTAATGTGATAGATATTCTACCTATAGTAATGTTGTAAGACATGCAGGTGTATGGGAATGTTTTACATCACCCAGGTACCCAGGAGTTAGTCAGCTTGCTATGGGGTTGCATACTGAGGAGGGTAAATAATTCGACCTTGAAGAGAACCTTAATATAACCTGAACATGTACAGTACAGTATATACATTGGTTGCGTATCCCCAACACAATGAATTAATATTACTATCATATTAATATGATGGTTGGCGCTGCTGAGCGTGTACGAAAAACTGTCAAGTGGAACAAGAATTTGTTTCCACTTTGTTGACATAATCATGCTAAACAGTTGCAATATGTCTATGGTGAAATCAGGCTGTAGACCAACTAAGCGTGTGTTTAGTCTTGCATTTTGACACATTTACTAACAAAGGTCGGAAAAGGCATTCATGTTATAACTGGAAGCATTCTCAGCCCAACAATGCCTCAAACTGTTCCAGACAGACTGAATTTTAATGAGAGCTTTCAGCTACACAAAACAGAATATATACCAGCTACTTGAGTGTGTTTTTAGTAAGAACCCAAAGGAGATCAAAAGGTTGAAAAGCAGTGAACATCGTGCAAAGAATGTTGTGTGAACTGCTTCAGTGAGTATCACACCTTCCATAATTTGTGAGTGTTTCCTAATGGAGCATAAATATGTTGACACTAATGGAGTGTATACAGTGATATAAAAGCAAGAATAGTGTTGAAATTTACTGTAAAATAAAAGTTTGGTGAGCAAATTAGTGACATGCATATATGTGTGTGTATCAGCATTCTCCATATTTTATTACATTATAATATGTGAAACAATGGTGAACACATCGGTGAAAAAGCAATTAGATATCGAGTTGGTGACACTGAAATTAGATCATGACCATTATATTCACAGCAACTCCCAGCAACTGAATGGCATGTGTAACCTCTCCAGGACACTTGCTGCAGGAGCAAGTATGAACTGACTTCATCACAAGATTTCTTTGCTCCACTACAGCCATCATAAAGCATATTCCCCCTCCCCCCCCCACACCATGATGAGAGATCACATTTTAATAATATTAGATGCAAAAAAGTGTTCAGATTTTTTTATGTGCACAGAGCAGTTGTCATGGAAAGTAGCGTGTGCAGTGCAGGGATTACATAAGTCAGTTTGACTTACCTTGCCTGGCCAAACGATGAAGAGCATTGATAGCTTCTGTCTGAGCTGTCACATCCCGCTCGTGTCTCAGCTGATATTGCCACTGGTTATCAGGTTGCTCTACTTCCACTGCCCGCATCATCGTCATGTCTGGGTCCAAACGCAACCACAGTACTGGGGAATCCGCACTGAAGAATGAAGCAAGATTTTATTAGAGCATAAAGTACTATAATGTAAATTATCCAAATGGATCCTCTAATATGCAGGGATCACCTTATCAATGGGAAATGTTAAATGACAATTACAATACAGTACTGCATTATCATTGTAAATATCCTCTTTCCTATTTTTATACAGGTATTGTAGGAAGGCATCAGCCCAGAAGAAACTGATGCAAGAAATAAATATGATAAAGACATAAAAAAATACATCACCACCTCCATTTGCTGCCATATCTTCCAGAGATATGGCAGCAAATGGCAGATATGGCAGAGATATGGGATATCAATTAACACACACACACTAAATCTTTGTGAGTTGCTGAACAATGGTAACCTTTCACATGAGCCATCAACAACAAAAACCTAGTGACCCTAGAAATTTCTGTTGTATTATCAGGTGACCAAGAGATCATATTCAATTGGAGGGCATGAAAACCACAGATAATGAGGTACTGATGTGAAATTCAACAATTCCAATTAAAATTTTAAGAAAAACAAAATCAGTTTTGATTATTCAAGATATTTTCATCCACAAAAATCTTTATCAACACAGTAAGCATAAGGAATTGAAAGGGTTAATATTACAATCAATCATACTTACTCTAAATGGCTGAGATCCATGTCCACTTCTTCACCAGTACAAAGAGGAATCTTCTTTTTCTTGTTTCGACGAGACTTTGAATGGCAAACAATTTCCTTTTTGGACACCTATAAGGAGACCTATACATGAATGACTCTGGAAATGCAGACGAGAAGTCACAATAATGTGGCTGAAGATGAAGCTCACAACACTCCTATATATATGCCCATAAAAATAATTATGTTGAGAAACACCAAGAGTAAATTATTGGTAGAAAACATTTTGCCTGGAAGTCTAGCTTCCTAGAACACTTATCTAGCAGAGAAGCACAGGAGTAGTGCTTATAAAAGGTAAAAATGAGGGAGGGATGAGGTCAGCAACGTGAGCATGAAATAAATGAGTGATTATATGTTACAATTTATATTAATGAAGCATTAATTGAGAAAGGGGTAAAGCAATGTTAAATTTTCCTTCATTCTGTTCGACTGTGTTGTAGTGTTTAATGCTTACCAACTGCTTACTGTCTAATTTTTTTCTTTGATAATGAGTTAACATTTGTAATGTTCATAAGGTGATTATTGTGGTTCATGCATATGACATGTTATTGAAGTTAGACACAAAAGCAGAATTATTATTTGCAAATCATTGCATCTAGGTTTCAAGACGTTTCACCTACATATACTTTATCACAATTTTTAAAGATTATAGCATACACCCATGCTGTGGTGCTCTTTTGTTTTTAGTTCTGCTTCTGACGAGTATAGTCAGAATCAGATTATGGCAGATGTTTTGAGCAGAATCCCTATACTGGCATTATTGCAGGTGTTGGTTATATCTGACTGACTGTCCATTTGAGAGAACGGGTTGTTGCTCTGTTTTCCCACAGAAGTAATGATATAAATGTTACCAGACCACTAAAACCCAGCATATAAAACCTAAAATTTAGGAAAGTAAATATAAACTTCAACTTATTTACATGGAATGAGAAATTTGTCCTGCTTGTCAGACTTTATAATATTTAAAGAATGAAGAGGTCTGGTTGCTATTGGTGGCAGCATTTCATTATCTCAAACTCTTTTCTAAAGTAATAACTCGACTCTTCCATAGAACATGTAAACCCCTCCAACACTCACATTTTTCTTATTAACCACTATTAAGGTTATTTTCATAATAAAAAAGTTGCAATAGTTCACGGAATGAACAGCAGGTCTCCACTGGGCATGAGAGCATTGCCAACTGGGCAACATGGGTTTCTCTTCCCGTCCAAGATACCAAAGTTTCACCATCATATGTAAGGGCTGGGAGTATTATACTATCAAAACTTTCTGCATTTTCATACTAAAATTCCTGACTTTCATTATACTATTAATCCATTATCTGCAAGAACACCACATCTGTAAACAAACAATGCATTAACCATAATTTACCCCTATCACAAAACAACTTCCTCTACTACTTAAAATGTTCTTGCTTTTAACTCCCCAACTAGACATCTACAGAATATTAATTTAAGAAGCCATAGACACGTAACATAGTCATGGCTTAGGCCCACTTGAAATTAAATTCCTCTCCTTTTTTTCCTTAATGTCACATACATTCTGCTATTCATGTATTGTAAAAGGATTTGATATATTTCAAGATCAACCTCTCTCAACTCTCAATTTGCACCCTTGCATACACTCTTCATGGAATATTATGAAAACTAATTCTGTAATTATTTCTTTCTATCCTTTTCCTTCTGTAAAAGGGACCATAATGGCATTAGTTCAATCGTCTGGCACCTCACCCTCCTGCCAGGCCAAAATATATTACAGCTATCATTACCTCATCCTCATACCTGAACATAACCAGTTATAACATTCATACCACAAATCTTCCCCATACACAGATTTTAGTTTTCTTCAAAATCTGTTAATTCCAAAACATGTTATTATCACTTTTTCTTCACCGTTTCAAACCATTCACAACACCCACTGGAACATTAAGCTCCTTACACAGGAAAAGTTCAAAACACTATAAATAAATGAGTTTTTTCAGTAATTAAGTGTTACAGACTTAACAGTAATTGTGAATTTCAGTGATGATGATGGTAACACGATTCTTCTCTAATGAAGAAGAATAATGAAAAGCTTTTCTGAAAATACAAATATTAAACAATATTCAGAGGTAATCACCAATATGATAATTATTGTATCCAGATTTCTAAAATATATTATGTACAAGAACATTTAAATTACCTGATGTTCAATTTGCAATGTGTGTTTAAATGTTCCATCCAATTCTTGTATCCACACCACTAATGGCCCAACATAGCGACGAATTCCCAGTTCACCAATATAGCCTTGTTCAATGGTCATTTCCACAATGTTTCTGGTAAAAAACATTAATTATAACACGTTGTAGCACAAGTTATAGCTAGGAAAATACATAAACCAAAGGCAGATGACTCACTCACTCACTCTCTCTGTATGCATGTGTAATTACCTCAGTAATTACTCAAGTGTAGTATAGGAAAAGAGCTATACTCATAGTGCTCTGTCTACCCAGTACTCTGTCATCTGATGCTTTTAAACTACTAACTTTTTTGGCTTCCCACTTGTTCCAACAATCTACCACACTGCAAAGGAAAACTTTCTAATATTTGTTGGGACCTTTGTTTCCTTGGCTTGAAGCTATGACCTCTTATTCTTGAAGTTGCAGGTTTCAAGAATTCCTATGCCAATTTTTATAGATTCCTTTTACTATTTGGTATATATAGTGATCATATCGTCTCTTTTTTTTTTCTTCTATCTACTAGTTCTGTAAGTCATTTCATAGCATGTTTCTGGTTGCACTAACTTTTTTCCAAAATAAATACGCTTTCTGAAATTACAGAATTATTTTTCTTCCACTTTGCTTTTCATTATTAAATCTTTTCACATATATTTTAACCCTCTTTATTCTCCATCCTTCCCTTTCAGTTTACATCTACAGCCCTTCTTAATCTTTTATCAACTGCTCTTGGCACTTTTTCATTCCAAAAGCACTTCCTCTCATTCTTCAACCAGTCTGTGCTCCACCACAAACCACCTTAACATTCCCAATCAAACATTCCTTTTATACCTCCCAATGGCAGTAAAATTCATAATGTTAAAGTCTCTTGCTCCAATATCACTCGGTTCTCCTTCTGTATTTATCTTCAACTATTTGTCCTTTAAATTTTAAATATTTATCTCTTCACGTTTAACATTTCAATGAGGCGCCATCATCAATATATCCTATAATTTTATATTACATAGCACTATCATATGATCAGACAACTATACAGTCCTCTTGTCACTGTTTTATCACATACACACACAAATCAATTAAAAATAAAATAGTTATATATTGTACACCCAATACTGTAAATATTTTTATGATGTAATTTAAAAAATTAAAATGTTTCTATTTTTTACTTTACATAATTAAAATGTCAATTCATAGTACATGTATTCTAATACCATAACCAGCAACTGGGAAAATACCTTTTCCGGTTAAAAAGGAATTTCATATTAAATTTTGCATGTCCACCTTGACGGACCCACTGATCGCAGAAGACTGTGATGTCTTTTCCAGTCACCGTGAAAATTGCCTGTTGGAACAAAAAATTTGCACATAGTATTCTGAAGAATATTATAAGCTTTCAAAACTGCTCAAAGGATAAAGCATGCAAATAATACAGCATATTCTACAATTATTGGGCATGTGTGATAAATATGAATACATCTGCTATGAGCCTTATTTAAATACTACATAGTACCGACCACTAACTAAAATTCCCCTTAAAATTAAATATTTAAACTTATTTCCATCCTATCTAGCCAGATACTTTTGTTCAATAGTTAACACTACTGTAAGTGCCTATTTTTATTTTGTTTGCTTATCAAAGCCTTCAGAAACACATCATTAATGTTACGCATGTGACTGAAGACAGTTAACAGTTGGTGTGACATAGCACTATGTGAATTTTACTGCTTCTTATCAAGATTATCGTGTGCTACAAAAACAAACAATTTTGGCATTATTATTTATAGGCACACAAAACCATTGTTTACATATTGTTTTTATAAAAACATGAATACAAATTTATTGTATCACTTCCTATAATAAAAAAAAAAATGAGGATAAATAGCCCGAAAGGGAATATTTCAAGAAATAGAGAATTTATGCAAACTCAAATTGGGTTTGAAATTATATTATCCTTTAACAATTATTTTAGAAATCTGGGTATGATGTTTGACAACCATAAAAAAAAAAAAAGCATTGAATGTAATGAAACGTCATTTTCTGGGTGAGCCCCGGAGGCTCCTTGGAGCTATCATGCTAATATGCAATCTTTAGACTAGGGCAATAATCAATGGGGTTCTGCCTACCAGAGACCACTAGCCAGAACATGGCCCCCCTTCAGAGAGATGAAAGGAGCAATGGCCCTGGAAACCCCCTTCCTCCCTGTGGTTAGGGGTTAGCCTTATCTGCTATTGACCGGAGTAGAAGGTAGGCATAACAAAACAGCCCCTACATGGCAAGAAAATTACAACCAAAAGCCTAACAGAGAGGTAGAATTCCCTCAATTCCCAAAGAAACAAGGAAACAAGCAAACAGCACACCACACCGTCGCGTTGCTCTTCTGCACAGCTCCTCCCCACCCCCAGGAGGGGGTCGTCATACCCCCCATAGTCGTCATCTCTGGCCTCAGTATCTCAAGCAGTATTTCCCTTCAAGGCATACTCTGCTGTTTTGTGGTGTGGTGGCCAGGTGTACCTGAACTGTACTGGGGCTGCATGCACTTAGGGTGGCCTTCCTTAAGTTCCCCTTGAGTGTCAGGGTTATCTTCCCTGGTGTGTTCGGGAACCACTTCCGTAGGGGTTCTTGCTGCTCGGCTTTTACCCCGCCCTTCTTGCCAGCTGGGGTTTTCATGGCTCTTGTTTGGCCTTGGGTAGGCAGCGGTATTGTTGCTGGTTTTGTTATCAAGGTGTTGCGCAGCTTGCCTACCTACAGCAGCGACCAGTTACTGTTTTCCCTGGTGACTTGGGCACAGCCTCTGGTTTTCACTTTCCTTGGACCTCCTGGCAGTTTCCTTTCTTGTTTTGCTGGATCCTACTCTTTTTGTGGTTAGCATGGTACCATGGACTGCTAGTTCTTTATACATGTACATGGTTCCTTCATCCTGGGGTTTGCCTTACCTTAGGGCCCGGTGACTGCACTTCTGTGTTTTCAGCAGGCATTACAGGCGAGTGGACATAACTATGTTGTTGATGTCTATTGTGATTATGCCAGAATACTATATCCAATCATCTTGACTTAATCTTAAGGATTAAGTCCAACATAGTCACTGACTATAAATACTGTATAATATTCTTCTACCAGGATAGTTGGGGCAAGTTTGATTGGCAGTGTTTGTGGTTAGCAATAATGAGAGTAATGGTATGACTCTATATTCCCAACTACACACAAACAGAAGAGACCACCAAATTATTATTTGTAACAAGAACAGTTATTGTTACTTAAGTGCTATGTGGTTATCTCTCGTGTTGTATGTCTTCATCTATCTCTTATGAATCATATTTAATTTAAAAATTTATAAATTAAATTTATTTGTTGATATTAAATAGTATAATTAATCAAGGTGAACACTGATCTTTCCAAGCTTCAGTATATCTGCCTTTTTACATATTCACCAATTACAAAATATTCATTATTGAAATACTCTTCAATGTATCCTCAATGTATCTTAACTATAAATGAATAACTTAACCACCCAGACAACCAGCGAGATAAATAAATGTGAATAACAAATGATACAGAAAGCAAGTTATCCATACCTTTGTGAAGGTAGCAGTTGACACAAGCATGTGAGACCAGCCTGCTGGGTGACCTTTGTTGCCAACTGCGATCAGTGCCAGTGACAGATGTTTATTAAAAACCTAAAGAAATAAAGACAAAATAAGTTTCATATATACCCTGAAACTATATCATGAACACAATAAGAGTAATTTCATGAAATCGTCAAGAGACTAGACGTGATAGAAGCAATAGATGAAGTGATATGATAAGAATGGAAAAAAGTATAAAAAATTCTCATGGTGTAGTTACAGGATTTTATAATCCTGTAATATTCAATAGTACACAGAAATGCACCTGAAGGGCTGAAGGAAAGTAGCAAAGACACATTAATTAACTGACATAAACCTGTGAGATTTTCTAAAGTGCTTGGACAAATCCATAAGATGGTCAGTTCACTTATCTGAGTAAATACAGAGGTCTCGGCCAGGACCTGGATAAATCTATTTACATCCGCACCATGAAAGTGTACAAGGTGATCACCTACTCAGGCTTTTAGTGGACATGGCCTAAACCTGGTGTGGGACAGGCAAAGTCTAATAGTAGTTCAGTTCTGTTTGGCGATTCGATGTTGCCAAACATCACTCTGAAGGAGGTCGAGTGTTTTGATGCCCCCCTCTGTTTTTGAGGGGCAGTACACTTTTGTAGTCGATTGATCTGATCCCTACATGCTTCTAACACCATAAAGGAGAAAAAGATTTGGATGAATACTTGTTAACTGTGAGTCGAGATAGTCACCAGAAGCCCAGTGTATTCATAATGTCCTGTCCATACCAGTGACAAACTAAAGGAAGCTTGGAAGGGCTTTGAGTGTACAGTAGTTGAATGAGCATTCTAGAGTTCATTCCAGGTTGGATTAATTGTTCTACATTGTCTCTACATCATGTGATTACCTGACCTGACAAGGATGTTTAAAAAGATCTGTTGTGCTGGTGCAGAATTTTGACCTGTCCTGACTGTACACTGTCCTGCCCACGTTAACAGAAGAATCTTGCTTTAGACACCAACCAAGAAGTACATCTCAGAAAAACTATTGGTGTTATCAAAATGTGTGTAACAGAGTATTTATATATCTTCCTCACTTTAAATATTACAAATATTATTAAATAATGTATTACTTACATTAAATATTACATTATATTATTACTAAATATTACTAGGAGTGTGTGTATTACACACACACTCCTTATTACTAAAATTAAATATTACTAATAAAAATATTACTAAATATTACTTATTTTACTATAAGTAAAATACAGTATTACTTTAATAATATTTATTTATATTCATTTTCTGAACTCATGAGTCATTACTAGTAATAAACTACAAGGTATACTTTACCTGCATCATTAGTTCTTGACCAATACGAAACTCTAACATTCGAATAATCAGATGTGCTTTTTTATAATAAACACTAATATAGTGAGGAGACGATGCATGTGGATTCTTAACAGAGAAATAGAATGTATCTTTGTTAGAGCTGCTGTTTGAGGTCATTGGCATATTTGGTCCATTCTGAGGTTCATTTGGCGAAGAACTTGGATCCAGTACTATACCCCCAAACCTTTCTTCGTATTCGATGATCTCTTGCAATTCCTGGAATAATCATAAAAATGGATATGCTAATTTCCTTACAAAAAATTAAGCATTCAGTGTAATATAACACCTCTCTTACAGACCCCACCTGAAGCCAGGTGGGGTCAAAACATGAACACACACCCTCTCAAATAACAAATGGGCTCCAACTTCAAGGCATTCAACCAGACCCCAACCACCAGCTCCCCACCTCAAGATAACCTCAAGATAACCCCTCCCACCCCATCGCTGCCTCCCTGGAGCTAGCTCTACTTGAATCATGCCACACCAGGCCCTTGTGGGTTATAAAAGGTCCAGACCAGAGCCAAAAATTGGTCCGCTCAATGGAGGCACAGGGAACTGGGGAAAGAAATATCACCAGAAAGAAAGAGTGCTCCAAAACACACAATTGCAAGGAAAATATGATAAACCCTGACAACATGGAATACAGTAGTTAGGGCATTGATACCACTACTTACAAGAAGCCTACCAAAAAAGAAAAATACAAACGAAAAAATTGCCCATCCAAAGTTCAGTTAAGCCCCAAAACCAGGAAGACCAAGAAAGTCCAAAGAAACCCACCAGGAAGATGAAACGAACTAACTAAATGGTGTCACCTGGAAGATCAAACAGGTAACTGAAGAACCGAAAACCCAACAATGGGATCAGAACCAATGGAACGTGCACCAAAAGAGAAAACTCACAAACCAACCAACCCAGCCACAAGCACACTGCAATGACCAGTGGATCCATGATACCACTAAGTATTCAACACCACAGGTCAACACTTGAAATGCCCAAGCTAAGCAAGTCCGGAAAAAAGGGCAACCATTGCCCATCGTGCTGACACGAGCAAACCACGAATGGCCAGCGCAAAGATCTCAACCCGCCGTCCCTGCCTGTGATGAACAAGACCATCCCAGATAGGAAAGCGAGGAAGTCCAAGGTAGCGTCACTGTCTGAGAACCAGCACTACCTCAACTAGGAAGGAGTGAGGCCCAAATCCCTGAAGACAGCGCCAGTGGAGCAGGGGGAAGAATCCCCCTGCTCCAGGGAAATTTAGTGCACATAAACCCTGTGCACCATCAAACAAGAATAACCCTGTCTGCTCCAACCTCAGTCTCACAGAAGAGTCAGACATATGCACTACTCAGAGGTAGACCATCTGAGAGGATACAGTCTTGAAGGAAAAGACACCTGAACACTCCAGGAAAGTAACTACCTGGGAAGAGGGCAATGCCAGCAAACAATTAGAAAAGGCAACCCTAAATACATGTAGCTTGAGGCAAACGAGTGACTCAAGGTCCACACAACAGTAAGACTTATAAACACTCGCATAAGCACAAAAAACTGGAACAAACACAAGCAGAAGCTATCTGCATGACAGGGTTCAACGGCTAGCCAACACCTGCTTTAAAAAAAAAACTTGGGACCAATAAGTTGATGGTGACACGATGAGCACATGCATTGGTAGCACCCTTATGTGACTAATATGCCATTACAGGATTGAGACCAAGCTTCTAGTGTTGCCACTTGGTGGTTGGAAAGTAAAGGGGAAAGGGGGGTGGACTTGTGGTGGTATTGAATAAAACACCACATTCCTTGTTATCAGAGTTCATATCTTTCTTGCAATTGTGTGTTTTGGAGTGCTCTAACTTTCTGGTGGTATTTCTTCATGGTTTGGGTCAATCTAGTATCCCCAGCTCCCTGTGCCTCTATTGAGTGGGCCAGACTCTAACTGTGGTCAGCAGTAGGCAATTTATAACTTGCAAGGATCTGGTATGACATGGTATATGTAGAGCTATCTAGCTCTAGGGAGCCATTAGTGCCCACTAGAAAAATCCATAGAATATGAAGATATATATTTTTTTTAAATATCAAAGACTGCCCAAAAAATTTATTAAAATACTATTAGGCTTCCCTTTATATCCAAAAGATATATGCCTGAAAAATTATCTGTTTAGCAATATTACAGTCAGATCGTGATTCCCAGTTGGCTGTGAAAGTCTCGGGATCCTGATAACAAATGGATGGCCTTGTAATACCAGTTCCCTAAGCTCTGGGGACTTACCAAGAGGATGCACAGAAAGTAGTGGCTTTTCAATTCACTCAACTATTTTTACACCAATAAATTCTGGTATACTGCTAGTACAGCGCAGCACAATTTAATTCATAAATATTCAGCTATATACTATGTAAAAATTCCACTGAATAACCAAGATTAGCCTATGCTACAAAATGTTCAGTAAAAAATAAAGTGAAATACAATATATACAGTACTGTATTGCAAACCAATTGTTAATTACTGTACATACAGTATAAAGAAAATCCTTTATATAAATTATATATTTCTAAATATGCAGAAAGATGTGTTCTGCAATTTGCTATAAGAAAATTCCAAGACACTTGCTGATAAATAGCCAAGGAAGAATTTTGGAATGTGGATTTTTCACTAATGCAGATTATACTGTGCTGAAGATAAATTATATTAAACCAATATTACATGTACAGTAATCATATTGGTAACTATTCACATACTTACACTATGTATCCAATCCTTGTAATCATTAAAGCCAAAATGTTTTTTAACATAGAGACTCATGAGATAGTTTGAGATCCCTGTGGTGAGCCAGGCATCGGCCCAGGCATGCCGAGAGAGAAAGCACCCAAAGAACTGTTGGGCCACACATAGTGCCATAGTTTTTCTAGTTTCATAGACTTGATCTATAATTCTGTTGCTGCACAGAAGATTAACACTGAGGAAAAGAAAAGACACTTTAGTACAGTATTGTGTTATATGATGGTATTTGTAAATGCTGAATACAGTACAGAAGTATTTCAATCACACAACTTTACAAAAGAAACATCTCTGTCATGGCTACATCTTGGGCTAAACAAAATAATGTGTTTATGACTTGCATTTAGGGAGGACTATACTTTGAGGGTTGGTCCAATTCCTAAGTGTATTTACACAATGTGAGCAACACTTATGGTGTTTCATCTTCCAGATTCCTTTTGTCATATAAAACTTTAAAGCTTAAAATGATGATGACACTTCTCACTCATTTAATTTGTTCCATCCATTTACCACTCTGTAATAACTGAATTTCCATACAACCTCTCTGGCATGTTTGTTATCATAACTTTAACCTTTGACTTCTTGTTCTTTTCGTTGTCCGCAGGAACATACCCAGCATTGAATGTAATGAAATCCATTTTCTGGAGGAGCCCCAGTGGCTCCTTGAAGCTATCTTGTTGAGGTTACATACTAAAGGCTCACATCAGTCGTGGAAGTTCTGCTTGGCCTACTAGGGACCAGAGCCAGTACCTGGCCTCCCTGACTGAGGTACAGGGAGCAGGTGACAATTCACCACTCCATTGGAAATAGCCTCCAGAAAGTCAGATACGCTTTACAGACAACTGAAGGAGTCACAAAAAACAGCCTTGAAACTTGTAAACAATTCACATAGAACCAGGATTCACTCAAACTTGTTCGAAACTCAAAAGATTTTGCCGGATTTCCTGCAAAATTTCCTTCACAACATTCCATACCCTTCACCATCTTTCCTACCATTCACCATCTTCCCTACCCTTCCCCACCCTTCATTGCCAATTTATTTTTATTTGGCACAAAATAATAAACATAATTCTCCACTAAATTCAAATCTCTAAATGATGCAACAAGGATCTGGTCACAATTTAGATAAATGGTAACTTACTGAACCATAAGATAATTAAATATACATAACAGACTTACTCAAGAATGCTCATGGTGGCATAAGAATGCAGTGTGCTATATGCTTCATCAACATATACTTGTTTGTAGCAAGAATAGGGGTACCTGAAAAATATAATACAAACATTACAGGGAAGAATTACATACATCTATGACCAGCAGCAATAAAAGATATATTCCTTCAATCAAGAGTACATTTAAAGTAAGATTTGTTAAATATTTTTATATCTATGACCAGCTGCGGTAATATAAATATTCCTTTAACTAGAACACATTTAAAATAAGATTTGTTAAATATTTAATCACCACAACCTTTATTATATCTACATGGGCCAACAAATAACAAAGAGGCATCTACACCTTTGAGTTGTGGAAGGTGGCTTGGGAAGAAAGTGTGTAATTGAGTTAAGTGAAGATATAGGAAGAGAGGTATGCTTCTGATGCCCCGTTTTCCCCCAATAATCTTTGCCTAAGATGCTTTGAAACTACTAATGGTTTTGGATTCCACCATCACCTTGCTTAACTTGTTATAACTATCTACCACTCTTCTTGCAAAGGGAAATTTTCTATGCTTCTTTGGCACAATTTGTTTCCTTAACTTGAATCTATGATTCTTGCCTTGAAGTTAGATTTAAAAAATTCCTCCTCATCTATTTTGTCAATTCATGTTATTATTTTGTGTGTAGTGATTATATTACCTCCATTCCTCCTATCTTGTTGCTTTGGAATGTTCAATTCCTCCAACCTCTGCTCATAGTTCATATTCAAGTTCTGGGACCCATTTAGCAGCACATCTTCATACCCTTTCTAAATTCCTTATGTACTTCTGAAGATATGGGCACTACACTACTGTCGCATATTCCAATTTTTGTCTTGCGTGTTGCATGCGCATTTTTTTTTTTTAGCATTTCTCCATCCATATATTTAAACATAGTTCTGAAATTTGGTAGTGTAGGTAGGTAGTGTAGACTAAAAAGGCCCTTTACGTGGTCCACTTGTGACAGACAGCTTACTATACGGAACAACTCCCAGATCTCTTCAATGTCAGGAGTTTTAAACAAAATTTCACATAATTTGTAGGCTAAGTGTTCCCCCTATTCTGCATTTCATTATGTGACACTTATGTTGAATTCCATCTGCCATGTGTTGGTTATTTTGTCCTGGTCATTTTTAAGGGTAATACAGTCACTAAAGTCCCTGACCTTCCCCTAGCAATTTTGCATAATTTGTGAACGTATTCTGGTAACTCAGTATTCTTTCTGGTAGGTTATTTATATAGATAATAAACATTACTGGTGCAAGACCTGAACCTTCAGGTATTCCACTAGTGACACTTTTACAATCAGGTATATTTCCTCTCATTACTGCTTGCATTTGCCTGTTTGTTAAGAATTTTATCATCCAATTTACACTCACATGCCACATATTTTCCATAACATTTTTATTCTTTATAAAGTCTATTGGTCTAACATGCCATGTTTCACAAGTTACCCATCTCTACTCCTCTAATAGCCAAAGTAAGAATGAATTTATAAGAGTACAGTACTTTAAAGCAGGATTCTAACCAGGGTCCAAGATGTGCAATGTATACATGGCTACCATTCCTCCTGATTTTACCTGGATATGTGATAGTCCCCTCTCTTGCTCAGGAACAATGACAACATTGTCCAAATTTGTCTTAATATCTCTTCCTGGAGAAAAGGTAGTGTGTGGCTCCATGTATATTGGAGCCCAGTTTGACAGTTTGACTCATATTGCCTAAAGTATATACGTTTCTAAAAAAAAAAAAATCAGAAAGCTACTCCACCCAATTTGAATAAAAGAATCATTGTTGTGATCATACAAGTGTGTTTAAATTTGAAGTCAATATGGTGAAGTTATCAAATTCTCATAGAATGCAACGCATATTATTCAACAAAAAAAAAAAACTCATCCTTCTGAAATTATAGTATTTATAGTAACTATTTGGTTGAAAATACTCGTATGTAGTAAATGACCACCAGAAAGTTGATATAATTTTATATTACTGAATTCTGGCAAACCAGAAACTTTTTTTTAACTGCAACATAAATATAAGACCTAACCTCTCCTAGCAATCCTAGGCCCAATACATGCTATCTTAGGCCTAACATAATACATATGTGCAATACTAGACCTAGGAATATTAAATTTTTTGTTTTTAGTTTTATTGATTTTTCCAGACTATATATAAACTAGTGGTTCAGCACTACATATTAGTACTTTCGACCAAATAGTTACTGTAAGTACTATCATTTCAAAAAGGATGGGTTGGAAAAAAACATTTTGCGCCCCTACTAGGTTTACCTAATAAGACATACCTAGTGGATAGAAGTTCTTCATAAAATTCAAATGCTTCATGCAGGTATTTACTAGTTGCTTTCATGAGAGGTAACAACTGTGGAAGGCAGAAGTGGGTGATCTCATTCATGAAGGGATCCACATAGATCTCAAATGGCCTGTAAAAAGAATCAATGGCAATTTATTTATTTTGGTGAATAAGCATAATAAAAATATTTATATGAAAATGTAATCAATAAAAATTATAGTACAGTATAATACTCGGCATTACTTAAACTGTGGTTAAATATTATCTTCTTTTTAATGTGATCAAAAAGTGAACAGGAGCTATTTAACTTGAATGCTTACTCTAAGTCAAGCACAGTGAATGTTGCACTGGATAGATTAATGACAATCAGAAAAATTTACAAATAAATCTTGATGCTTCTGATGTCACCAATATTTTTGTAATGGAAGAAAAAGTTTCCAGTCCAAGCAGCAGTCTAAAGAAATGAGTTCCATGCATGCAATCATACAGTGTATTGTTTGATTATAAACACACACTCTCCACCCACCACTAGCAACATGATCACAATGACAAATTTCCATCAGAATCAAATTTTGTAGCACATTGCCAAATACATCCCGCCAACACCTGAGGGGTAGGCAGACTCCGTATGCTCAAACTGGTAATTCGGGGAATAAGTATCTGCAGAATACTGCAGCATTGTGTCAAGTCACCACACACAAATGGTGAGTTTTAATCTCTTACCTTCTTCCTGCCCTGAGGTTTTGGAAATCAACTCTGTAGGACAATTTTTTTCCTTTCTTTTGATAGCCACTGCTGTATACTTTTGCCTTATGGAACATCAGAAATGAGCAGCTTGGAAATCAAACTCAGAGTGAATATAAAGAGAGCCTTTCTGAGCAAAGCACCTTTATACTGCCACTCATGAATGCTCACTGATTCTCCTATGCACAGTTTTTTCTCTGTGCCAATCAGAATATGACAGGGCTTGAGGCTGGGAACCTGGTGTTAGCTTGGGTTCTGACATCTGATGATGGTTGGAGGCATCAACCAGTTGGAAACTAACAGCTTATGTGATCCCCAAGAAGGCCCAGGTAAGGCTTTGTGTGTTTATGGTATTCTTTCTCTTGTCACTCTGGATTGGACCATGGAAACAGTCAAAAGAAGTGCTATGTGGCTTAATATGGAAAAAAACAAAAGTTATTAGTGTAGATATTGTTCACAAGCTATTTTATTTAGTGGGAGAAAACAGTTAACATGTTGAACTGTATACTCAAAATCTACTGTACAAACAACATAGGCTAATATAATTTTTCATTATAACTTACCCTACAACAAGAGCTATATTTGGTGCACAAGTAGGAGTCGAAAGGCAGTAATGGAATGTTTTACGCCTCATATCCTGAGTGTAGACAACTTCTACAAGGTCTCCACAACTAACAGCAGTCATAAAATCATCCACTGTGAATTCTAACCCCCATGTACACACCTCACTCCAAGTGTCAATACATGGAAACCACAGACGAGCACTGTTTTCATGTCCATAAGTGAACATATGAGCAGCTTTCTGTACGAGACAAAGAATTAGGTTTCAATGATGAGGAAATTATAAATAACAATATACACAGCAAAAACAACAGTAAATTAAGACTGCAACAGACCTTCATTATCATATATTAAAGGAAATTTAAAGTAATTTTTTCTCAGCCAAATTTATACAATACAGTAAATCCTAAAATTAACAAACCTTGTTTTGGCGAATCTCATGTTGAAACACACACTTTACAGGCCAGATTTACTCACCTGATTAGACAAACAAGAATTGACCATAGTGAGGGATGTAGGGGTTTGCTTAGGATGTTGAACCAGATTAACCACTGCACTGCGCAAAGCGCCTTTAGGCGCTCTGAGATTTGTGCTTTTTGTTTTTTAATTAGGCTATATTTTAATATTTTTAAATGTTTTTATTACTCTTTGTGTTTTGAAATAAAAATAGTTGACTTTCGAAACATTTAGACATTAACTTTACCTGAACAATTATAAAAATAACAAAAATATACCCTTGAGAATTGCACCAAGACATTTTTGCCGAAAATGGGTGAGCAGTGCAGGGGTTAAACACACTGGTGGTAAGTTACCCATCATATGATAGGTTGAAATTCAAATTTCACTCAGTGAAGTTAGACCATAGAGTATGTGAAATATTAAGATTTGAATGGTAACTCTCGTAATATGGCTTCAATCACTTTTTAATGATTTTTCATAGATGAGAGCAACATTAGAAGAAACAGCTGAAGCAATGCCATTTTCTTGTCTGAAAAAAATCAGACATCTCACAAATGTCTCCAAAAGACATCTTCGGTTCCAACGAACCCCCTCACTCCAATGAGGGGAGTGAATCAGGGGCTTGTCCCATATAATTCGGCAAATCAAGGTTGTATTGAAAGCCATCCAATCACCCCATGCCTATTATATTACTCAGTAATTTGTTCTATAAATCTTCAATGCTACTCCCAAGTCATTACAATACTGTATTTAATAGATATTTTCAGAACCTAGATTACAGTATTCATCCAAAAACCTATCCAAACATTATAACTATTCTTTCATTGTCCATTTTTGTGTTTAACCCTTGGCCTACACCCTCGTTTATGTGAAACAATGCCCTGGTGCATGAGAAATAAATAAATTCCTTCTAATATTGTTAAAAAGCAATCCCTGATCACAGGGAAAACGAAATTGAATGAATTACTGTGGCCACTGTGAAGCCAGGAAATCTCGCAATAACATCACCATTAATGAGCATTCATGAAGCAATTTCCTTGTGGTCGTCGCCCTGGGCCAGGCATGGAACAAAAGTTGCCATAATGATAGTTTAACATATTGTATTTATTTTGATGTCCAATTTATCTTTCTGATTTTTTGCATGATTATTATTCAATAGCATGTCATTTGAGAAATTTATATATAGTAATAAAATGTATGGAACATTGGAATGATAAAATATAATCATGTCACTAAATGCACACCATATTATACTTTTTAGAACAATAAAACAATGTTTTTCCCTGTTATTACACTGTATATACAGTTTAAGTATAACTATCTACATTTTCATGCACCATTACGAACCATTAAGTATTTCTGGTGGGTGTAATCTTGCAACCAGTTAACAGAGTTCAGTCTAGCCCCCACATGTTTTGCACCAGAAAACAGGATGGGTCTCAGTACTGACATTTATGATATCAAATGGAAGTATGAATATGGTACCTTGATGATGGTAGAGCAGTTCCTTGGTAAATTACCAAAGAGATACAATGATCAAACACATACAGTGCACTGCATCACACCCAGATACAAGTCTTAAGTATGAAGCAAATCTGGTGAGGTATTCTTTCCTTTGAAAATTTGGAAATTATTTGGAAATTTCTTAGAACAAAAATACAAGGCATAACCATTAAAAGCACTTATGTAAGGATATCTAATACTGTAAAATATTTACGTACCTCAACTAATGTACCTTCGGTATTAGGAACCACAAAGTGTAAACCAGATTGAGGTTTTTCCAGAGAAAACTCGACTCCAACTCTCAATGGCTTTCCTTCCTGGATCATGTGCTGTGCTTCTGAAGGAACAACGATCACCAGCTCCCCGCGCCCCACTTCAGGATCCACCGAGGTCACTCCAGTAGACTGGCATTTGTTTAAATAATCCAGATTTCTCCTGTTGTTTTAAAGAGATAACGTGCATAAAAATTAATTGCCAAATGTAATGAAATTATGAGATATTAACCTATAAAGAAAACCCAGTGATGAAATACATACCCAAGAACTTGACAATATTGTTAGTAAAATAAAAGTTCTTGATAAAATAGCAGTGCAGAAACCCTGCCCCCCTCCCCCACCCCACAAAAAAAAATTAGTTCTTTCCAGTTCATATTGATTTTATCACTGTATGTGACATTCATAGCACCACTTACTGTTTGGAGTCTTGTTGACATACTTCCAGTAATGGGTCAAAATACTGGAATTGTACCTCCAAAGCATCATTGAGGGTAACACGGTACACACAGCACTGTTTGCAGTTCAGCCAAATATATCGAATGCTGTCCTTTGAGGGAATGAGTGTAAGTTCAGTGAAGCCCTAAGGAAAATGAGAAAAGAAGTTATTTTGTGAGAATAGTTTCCAGTAATGATTTATTACCTCCCATCTATACCCATAAACTCAGAAAGGAAAAAAAACAAGGGAAATTTGTATGGACACCACACAGAAATAATTGTTATAAGCACACACACAAATATGATACCTTCATCATTATGGACAAGATTAGCAAATATATGAATAGAAGTAAAAAATCTAAAAAAGAAATTATTCAGGATACTATGTACAACATGTGTGAAACTAACAGTAAACGGGGAAATATATGTATTATGGAACCATACCTTCAATGAAACAAGAAAGTTTGAGAAACTAAACATTGTACCTTCTGTTTTTTTTATAGCTGTTCTATCATAGCCTGGCCTGGGGCCAGCCTATCCTGGTGATTGCCTAGTCTATGAAGCTGTCTGTATTCAGAGCCCAAATGCCACATAACCATCACAGCCAGGTTGATCCAATAACAGAAACAAGTCAAGTTCCTTCCTTAAAGCTTCTACTGTTGTTCCAGTGATTTTTTTTATATTTGTTGGTAGGAGGTTAAAGATTTGCTGGGGTGCTTATATTTAGTTTAGGTCATTTATTATGTACCCAATACCCATTCTGTGGAGAGTAATGGAAAAGATTACAGAGGCTTATGGAACCTCACTTTCTCATCGAGTATATTTTACACTTCCACTCCAATATGTTGAAATTTCACTGTGGAGGTTTAGAATATGGTGCACAGTCAATCAGGGAGATCCTATGTAACAAATCTATTTAGTTTCTATGACAGGCCCACAGGAAAGAAATGGTTCAGTGAGTATATTCATCTGAACCTAAAAAGGCTTTCAAGAGTGTCTGACATAAGAGGTTGTTCTGGAAATTGGAACATACCGGAGGAATGACAAGAAGGCTTCTAACATGGATGAAAAATTATCTGAGAGGAAAATGAGAGTGGTAATCAGAGGCAATGTTTTAGACTGGAGAAAAATCACTAGTGTAGTACAACATGGTTCAGTTCATTTTTTATATAAATGAACTACCAGAAAGGATACAGAATTATAAGAATATGTTTGCTGATGATGCTAGGATAAGAAATTTAGATGATTATCATGCCCTACAAGAAGACCTGACAAAATAAGTATCGAGCAACACTTTGCAAATGGAATTTAATGCGAATAAATGCTACGTTATGGAATGCAAAACAGAAGAAAATAGGCCACACACAATGTGCAAATTATGTGAACAAATTTTAAAGAATTCTGATAAAGATCTGAGGGTGGTTCTAGACAGAAAACTGTCATCTAAGGACCACAAAGAATAATCTACAACTATAATAATTATTATTATAATCTAATACAGTACTTCAAATAAAGTTGAAATACAGTAGAACACATTTCATTATTTCGTGTCTCAATTACAGTACCTGTGAAAATCCTAAAATTAGTATAAATGAGGTTTGATATAAATATCTGTACAGATACTTACAATAACAGTCTGTCTTATAAAGTTGATGCCAGTCAAACTCAGGATTTGGTGTGACGTACTGAAATTATTTAAATCAGTTAGTGAAGGAATTTGTATGGCAATACAGTGCAACCTCAATTCAGTGAACTATATGGGACTAACCCAAATTCATTAGAGCGAGAGACTCATTGCAACTGCAAATGTCTTCAGCAGATACAGTACTTGTATGATGCAATTTTTTTTTAAGACAAGAGAAATATACTGCTATGCCTGTTTCATTCTTCTAATACTTCATTCATCTACAATAAATGTAAAAACGTGATTGAACCATATTAAGAGAATTACCATTCATACCTTAATATTTTCCATGCTCTACAGGCTAATTTCACATGGCAAAATTTTAATTTGTCATATGATGGACAACTTCCCGGAGGTCCTGATTGCAAATAGATTTCACCCTTATTACAGTATTTCGCAGGATCCAGCCCCCTTGAAACTTATTTTTTAAAGGTAGGGCCAAGACCCCAAAATGGTGTAAATGAACCAGGCTCACCAACTTTCACACAAGTCTCTGAACTCTAGCCTTGCATCTCAAGCAACTTCGCATGTCTCCCACTTTGCTGAACACTTGTTCTGCAAAGTGGGTAAATCTAGCCTGGAAAGTATGCAGAGCAATAGGTGGTTTGCAGAATTGAGGCTCCCCAAATCAAGGTTACACTGTATTATACATATACAATACAATATACAAGATCTAGCTCTATATCAAAATTTGTCTCAGATTATATATAGCACAGTTCAAACACCTATCATCTTTAACACATATTCCTACTGCAACAATAAACCAAGATGAAAAAAAATTATAAGCACTTAGATCGGTAAGTATTTCTTTACATTTAGATACTTAAGTGAAACTAATGTGATAGAAGGGCACATCTCCATAACCTGGCTGGATATTTGTGAATCAAGTGAATTTATAAACCCAGCACATATTATTTCTAGTGTCTAAACTTTGCAATACTAGAAACTACACTGTCTTCCTCAGGAAGATTCTAATTCTCACTGTACAGCATAGCCCCTTACCTCTACAATTAGAAGTAATAAGAGACAATTATACTGATATAAGTGAGGAAAGGTTACTTGAGAAGGGAATTACAGAAAAATGTAAAGCTCAACTAACTGCACGCATTCTTCAAATATGTAATGGCTATAGACAAAAAATAAAATACACAAGTTAATGGTAGAGAAAAACAGTGTTAAAATTATGTCAGCAAAAGGACTAAAGTAAAATTATCAGCATTTAAAAAAAAAAAAAGATAATTCAGGCATCAGATGATTGTCTAGAAATTAGATAATATAATTATGACAAGAGAAGATGTTAGGAATTTTCTTAAGAGAAATAAAAATGTTAACGACCAAATAAAGTTTCTTTATGGGTATGGAATGAAAGTGCAGAGGTAATGAGTCTACTGTTATGGGTTATATTTATGGTATCACTATATGAAGGCAAAATACATGTGGTTGGAAGCTAGCTAACAGTTCTTGTTTAAAATGTAAATGAGACAGAAGAGATCTGCAGCCCACCTTTAGAAATACTGTACACAAAATGAAGAATGGGTCAAGGCCATGTAAACATATGAATCCCAGAATTTAATAATATAATCCATGAGAAATGACTAATGCAATTAAAAATTACCAGTGTAGAGAAATGATATTGATGAGTTGATCACTACATCTAAGATGGTGAAGAAATGTAAAAAATTTACAAACATGAAAAATAAAAACAAAAAAGAATGAAGAGTCACCAATGTATACTGAAGCAGCAAAGAAGCAATGGAAATATCAGAAGATTCTTATTGCAGCAGAATGGTAAATAAGGAATACTTGTATATTTTAAATAACTTTAAAAAATATACTGTATATAATAAGAGACTTTAAAGAAGGGATACCACATGAATAGACCTCATTCTGTAACAATTAGTCACACAGTATTGTACTTCTATATTGAAAATTGAAAATTATTTATAATTTTTTATGGACTATTTAAAATGTAATAAAGTAATTAGGATACTTATAATTTATATGCTTTCTGTATTTCTCTGTCTTTCTTCATTTTTCAAATTTTTGTAGTTTCTCTCTGCTACGTTTCAGTGTCTGATATCATCTGAAAATAATACACAAGTATAATAATACAAAGTTGAATGCAAATATAATGTAATCTATTCTAAAACATGTTACACTTTCATTTTTTATACTTAAGCCAAAAAAGTGCAGAAACAGTAAATTTAATCTCTTTATATTCGTGATTGCAAAAAGTTTATTAGAGCATCAATTCATTTTTAAATCTAACACTAAATTTTTTTCCCAGTATATAAACTGCCAATTAATTTCCACAAAGGTCTGTAATTATGACAGATGCACACAAATGAATAAAGTAAAGAAACTGTTCATACTGTTCCACCCAGCAATTAAAGGAACTTTCAGGAAAACATGTGTGAATAAAAGAATACTGCAGAAAAAAATAAAAATAATAAAGTACAAAAAATTCATGGTAGAGAGAGGGCTGTAATGGGCTTGGTTTAGACATAGCCATAATGAAATGTATAAGTAGTTACAACTGTGCCAAGAGCATGGCTTGTGGACTGACAGGATAGCAAGACTGAATAAACCTTGTTATGGGATACAGTTTGGTAGAGGAAATGTTGGAACCACAGGTGCATGCATCATGGAACACCTGTGAAGATGGAACAAATGATCACCAGAATAGTAACTGTCATTCATAATTGTTAACTGGATGGTACACGGACCATTCGCTAATTCCAACCTCAGTAATTCAAAACTCCAAATAAATCAGCCAAAAAACTACTTTCGAGACCTTGCTTAAATTGTCCTTCTTACGAGTTAAATTAAATTAAAATTAAATTTTTTATTTAGGTAAGGTACATACATACAAGGTAAGATACAAAGTTGATGGATTTATAGATAGAGCTAGTACATACAATGCCTAAAGCCACTATTACGCTAAGCGTTTCGGGCAGGAAAAACATTAAAGACTAAATCTTAATACTAATTGAGTTTAAAGTATAAAATGTGTTGAGAACAAATAAAAATAAAAAAAAAGAAAGGGGGGAATATGGCTGAAAAAGCAGCACAAATACAATTAGGTCGACAAACAGCGTTGTTTAAAAAAAAACAGACATGGGTTGACAATAGAGGGGTAAGGTAGGTTACAGGGAATTTATTAGGTAGTGCTTCGTTTTTATCTTAAACTGGTTGAGAGAGGTACAGTCTTTAACATGGTTGGGAAGGTCATTCCACATTCTGGGTCCCTTGATTTGTAGAGCATTTCTAGTTTGATTAAGTCGTACTCTTGGAATATCAAAACTGTATTTGTTTCTGGTGTGGTGCTCATGGGCTCTGTTACAACCTTCAATGAAGCTTTTGAGGTCAGGATTGGCATTACAGTTCAGCGTTTTATATATGTATAATACACATGAGAGAATGTGCAGTGATTTAATATCTAACATATTCAGAGATTTGAGTAGGGGTACTGAGTGATGTCTGGGGCCAGAGTTGGATATTGTCCTAATAGCAGCTTTGTGTTGAGTAATAAGAGGACGTAAATGATTTTGGGTAGTAGAACCCCAAGCACAAATACCATAGTTGAGATATGGATAGATGAGGGAGTAATAGAGAGTCACCAGGGCAGGGCGGGGTACATAATATCTGATCTTAGAACGAATGCCAACAGTTGTTATTGATGATTAAGGGGCGATAACAAACTTTGAGCTAGCCTTAAATCGGACCTGGGAGACGTTGAAAGGGAGCGAGGTCCCTAACAGCCACTTCTTTTCTCCTTCGCAACACGTGCAGTTTGCATGAGCAGCCACTTCAAATAGCAGGGGTGTCTGATGATGCGTCCATTTACATCTGTATCCTTCTCAGGGTAGTGTTATTGTGGCGTCAGACCGTCCGTCGTAACGGGGTAAAACGGTCCATTTTCTATGATTGGCAGTTTGTGCTGGACGACTTGGATACATAATATTTATGTGTGATGGTGAATTTGTCGATTTAGATTATCTATTTAATTATAACCTCATAATTTATGTAAACAGCATATGTCAACTATAATAACTTAATTACATACACCGAAATTCTTGGGCACGTTTCCTGTGTAGCAAATAGTACCCGGTTGTCAAATCAAATCAAATATTTATTCAGGTAAAGTACATACATACAAGGTGAGATACAAAACGTTGATGGATTTATAGATAGAGCTAGAACATACAATGCCTAAAGCCACTATTACGTAAAGCGTTTCAGGCTTTTATTGGTGTGAAATAGGGGGCGACGAAGATCGGGGGGATCGGATGTGCCCCGGCGTATCCGTAAAGGGTTAATCACAAATCCTAATGGCGAAACGAATGACGCGTATCACCAGACACCAAGATGCCTCGCATAAAAAAACGCAGACAGGCAGATGATTGGAGAGCCCCAAGAGTTTCCCTCAGGGTGACGAGCACCAGCCCCGACCCACACAGAGAACACCGGGTAGCAAAACCAAAAACTCTGCCCCAGCTAAAACGCAAAGGTCATTCGATGCCCTCCGGCAGAGCAGATGCCACCACGGCTGAGGGTGCCCACCAACTCGCGGAACCTCTCGGCCAAGTTTGCGCCGGACACCGTCACCCCGCCAGGAGAACCAGCCAGAAAAACTTTCAAAACCTATCAACCGTCTTGTGACCCAAGGCCATGTGTGCGCTAGTCGTCGTATAAACCGTACCATTGAATAAGGATGTCAAACAGCAATATCAAATCCAAATCGCGAAAACAGAACGCGATCCGACGGTTCCCAGGCGGAGGTGGTACCCAGACGTCTGCTCATCGGCAAGGTTAAACCAGATGTCCCAATATCCGGGTATCAGGCCACTGTTGTGAGGTTGCATCCTGGAGTGGGTCTGTAGTCCTCGATACAGGACTACAGATAGGTGAACAGGTGCATTAGGCAATAGGAAACGCGCTCAACCGTTTCTGTCCCGCCAGGGATTAGAACTGATTGCGAGTCGAGAACGAACCCGACTGTACCCGACTGTAAAAAGAAACCCGAATTTCTAGCAAACATATAAACAAAGCCCTAGCAAACAAACCTGAAGCACTAGTACACAAACAACCACTGAAGCACAACCATGTACGAACCGGAGCACAACCATGTGCAACCCAAAGCCCAACAAGTCACACCCCTGGATTTATGTAATCGGAACCCGACAAGTTATGAAACCGGAGCCCGACCAGTTGTCTAACCGCAAGCCTAGCATGAACGAACCAAACAAACAACCTCTGAAGCACAACCATGCACGAACGGAAGCCCGACCATGCACAACCCATAGCCCAAGTGACACCCCCGGAGCCCGACCAGTTATTTAACCGGAGCCCGGCCAGTTATTTAACCGGAGCCCGACCAGTTATTTAACCGGAGCCCGACCAGTTGTGTAACCGAAGCTTGACCAGTTGTGTAACCAGACCCCGACCAGTTGTGTAACCGTAAGCCTAGCAAGTATACATCTCATCCAACCCCCATAAAGCTAAACAGTCCCAGAGCACAACCAAACTCCATTCCTAGCTCGACCAAACAAAATTCTTAGCGCTACCTAAAACCCTCTGTAGCGAGTAGATTATCCCAATAATATACTCGCTCCAAATATAGTGTTAATGTTCCTGTCAACCTTTGGAGATGAATGAGGTGAGGCGTTGCCCGGGCAACACGGTGAGATGTTGCCCGAGCAATATAAGCAGCAAGAATAGCAAACATTAACTAGTCTACTTTCAAGTGTGGTCTAGAGCAGACACTTGCGAGATACTGTACCGACGCTCAGTGCGCTCAACTCACACCAACTTATCACCGGTGTACTTCTGTATATTCGACCAAATATATATATAGTATCTTAGTGTCTGTGTTTATTTGTCACCATACTTTACGTAACAATAGAACCGTTACATTGGTGACCCCAGAGAGTTTCGACGATACCCAGCCACGATGGACTACAACATGGACTCTCACTGGACCTCCACTGCTGCTGCTTGCTGTGGACCGCAGCCACCTGTCGTGGAACGTTGCCAACACCCTTGCCACAGCTATGATTTTCATCGCGATCATCTCTGCATTTTCATCTACTACGGCTTGCTGCTCCACGATCACTACTCACTCATCTGGCAGCTTCATCAGTAACTACATAATGTGGGATCTACAGCCTGCCCTGCCGACTCTCCGTCGCTGCCAGGGCACTGCTTGTTCTACAGGGGCGCCCACGAAAGCTGCTCTTTCGTCAGATTCATCTACACGTTCACTGCATTTTGATACTCTGCCGACTCAAGCCCTTTGCGCAGTACAGGACTTACAGCTTGCGTTTCCGACTCTTCGTCGCCTCCAGGACAATTCAGCTCTAGCAGTGATTCCCTCGTTGTCCTAACTACGTGCCTACATTACCTCCTAATGTCCTAGTGCCCGAGCCCATCCGCCCCGGATCTAAATGCTCCACCAGCGACCCAAGGACGCAACAATTATGCACATTCTTCTCTCCTGCTATACCGAGCTTGTCCACACACTGCCTACATCTTTTAGTACCAGACTACAATTTCCACAGTCAACAATGTAGTACTCGGCGTGTACAGTCCTAATCAACCCAAGACGCTACAGCTTCGACACAGAGCAGACAGCAGACTACGACCGCATCGAGCCGCCACGCTCTCGCTCCCCGAGTTTAGACACTCACAATTCTCAATCGAGCCGCCACGCTCTCGCTCCCCGAGTTTAGACACTCACAAATCTCAATCGAGCCGCCACGCTCTCCCACATAGAGCTCCACGACTCCGGCCTCACTCAGCTCTCTGCTCTGCTCCAGGCTTCGTCTCAACGTCTGCGACACTGCTAAATCCAGAGACACATCCGCCGACTACGCAGTTCACTTTTCGACCCCAGTTACCAGCCGCACCACAACCTGATCCTACGACGACGGACGATCCTGTACGACCTCTCACCCTACAACCCCAGTTACCAGCTGCACCACAACCTGATCCTACGACGACGGACGATCCTGTGCGACCTCCCACCCTACGACCCCAGTTAGATGACATCAGCGAAGAGGAGGAAGTTAACTTTGATGGTTATGTAACGCGAGCAGGGCGTACAATTCACCGACCAGCTAAGTTCCTTGATCAAGTATTTTTCCTTTCATCCCCTGGGAGGGGGAGTTCTGTAGCGAGTAGATTATCCCAATAATATACTCGCTCCAAATATAGTGTTAATGTTCCTGTCAACCTTTGGAGATGAATGAGGTGAGGCGTTGCCCGGGCAACACGGTGAGATGTTGCCCGAGCAATATAAGCAGCAAGAATAGCAAACATTAACTAGTCTACTTTCAAGTGTGGTCTAGAGCAGACACTTGCGAGATACTGTACCGACGCTCAGTGCGCTCAACTCACACCAACGTATCACCGGTGTACTTCTGTATATTCGACCAAATATATATATAGTATCTTAGTGTCTGTGTTTATTTGTCACCATACTTTACGTAACAATAGAACCGCTACACCTCCACTTGCCCTAGAAACCAACTATGGAGCCATATCAAACAATTGAACTATACACAAAAAAAGAAACCCAAATTTCTAGCAAACAAACATAAAGCCCTTGCAAAGAAACAAAGCCCTAGCAAACAAACCTGGAGCACTAGTACACAAACAACCACTGGAGCACAACCATGTACGAACAGGAGCACAACCATGTACGAACCGGAGCACAACCATGCACAACTCAAAGCCCAACAAGTCACACCCCCGGAGTAACGCAATCGGAACCCGACAAGTTGTGTAACCGGAGCCCAACCAGTTGTATAACTGCAAGCCTAACATGAACGAACCAAACATACAGCCTCTGGATCACAACCATGCACGAACGGAAGCCCGACCATGCACAACCCAAAACTCAGGTGACACCCCCGGAGCCCGACCAGTTACTTAACCGGAGCCCGACCAGTTATTTAACCGGAGCCCGACCAGTTATTAACCGGAGCCCGACCAGTTGTGTAACCTGAGCCCCACCAGTTGTGTAACCGGACCCCGACCAGTTGTGTAACCATAAGCCTAGCACGTATACATCTCATCCAACCCCCACCATTAAGCTAAACAGTCCCAGAATACAACCAAACTCCATTCCTAGCTCGACCAAACAAAAATCTGCTTAGAGCTACCTAAAACCCTCCACTTGCCCTAGAAACCAACTATGGAGCCATATCAAACAATTGAACTATATACAAAAAAAGAAACTCAAATTTCTAGGAAACATATAAACAGAGCCCTTGCAAACAAACCTGGAGCACTAATACACAAACAACCACTGGTGCACAACCATATACGAACCGGAGCACAACCATGTACGAACCGGAGCACAACCATGTGCAACCCAAAGCCCAACAAGTCACACCACTGGTGTTATGTAATCGGAACCCGACAAGTTATGAAACCGGAGCCCGACAAGTTATGAAACCGGAGCCCGACCAGTTGTCTAACCGCAAGCCTAGCATGAACGAACCAATCAAACAACCTCTGAAGCACAACCATGCACGAACGGAAGCCCGACCATGCACAACCCATAGCCTAAGTGACACCCCCGGAGCCCGACCAGTTATTTAACCGGAGCCCGACCAGTTATTTAACCGGAGCCCGACCAGTTATTTAACCGGAGCCCGACCAGTTATTTAACCGGAGCCCGACCAGTTATTTAACCGGAGCCCGACCAGTTGTGTAACCGAAGCTTGACCAGTTGTGTAACCAGACCCCGACCAGTTGTGTAACCGTAAGCCTAGCAAGTATACATCTCATCCAACCCCCATAAAGCTAAACAGTCCCAGAGCACAACCAAACTCCATTCCTAGCTCGACCAAACAAAATTCTTAGCGCTACCTAAAACCCTCCACTTGCCCTAGAAACCAACTATGGAGCCATATCAAACAATTGAACTATACACAAAAAAAGAAACCCAAATTTCTAGCAAACAAACATAAAGCCCTTGCAAAGAAACAAGCTAATCTTGTTGTATTACTGTACCTTTTTTGCGTTATAATTTTGTGGTCCCCTGTGGTGCAATGGTAAAGCGCTCGCCCGGCGCTTCGCGAGCACTGTGGCCTGGGTTCGTATCCTGGGCAGGGAGGATTAACTCAGATTCAGATTCAGATTCAGATGTTTATTCAGGTAAGGTATTTACATACAAGTGATGTTACTTAATGGATTGATATATAGATAGAGCTAGTACATACAATGCCTAAAGCCACTATTACGCAATGCGTTCGGGCAAGAAAACATTAATATCTAGAACTTAATACTAATTGAGCATAAAGAATAAAAGATGTTGAGAACAAATACAAATAAAGATAAAAAAAAAGGGGGAAACCTGACTGAAAAAGCAGCACAAATACAATAGGTTGACAAACAGTGTTGATTAAAAAAAAAAAGAAAATAACAGACATGGGTTGACAATAGAGGAGTGAGGTAGATTACAGGGAATTTATTAGGTAGTGTTTAGTTTTTATCTTAAACTGGTTGAGAGAGGTACAGTCTTTAACATGGTTGGGAAGGTCATTCCACATTCTGGGCCCCTTGATTTGCAGAGCATTTCTAGTTTGATTAAGACGTACTCTAGGAATATCAAAACTGTATTTATTTCTGGTGTGGTGCTCATGGGTTCTGTTACAACCTACTATGAAGCTTTTAAGATCAGGATTGGCATTATAGTTTAGCGTTTTATATATGTATAATACACATGAGAGAATGTGCAGTGACTTAATATCTAACATATTAAGAGATTTGAGTAGGGGTACCGAGTGATGTCTGGGGCCAGAGTTGGATATTGTTCTAATAGCGGCTTTGTGTTGGGTAATTAGAGGACGTAAGTGATTTTGGGTAGTAGAACCCCAAGCACAAATACCATAGTTGAGATAAGGATAGATAAGGGAGTAATAGAGAGTCACCAGGGCAGGGCGTGGTACTGGGCGCCAATCCTAATTGTAGCCTCTGTTCACCCAGCAGTAAATGGGTACCTGGTTGTTAAACGATTTAGCGGGTCGTATTCCGGGGAAAATTAAGATTAAGGAACTGCCGAAACGCTTTGCGTGCTAGTGGCTGTACAAGAATGTCAGAACTCTATTGATTTGTTCATAAGAACAAATTCTTAAGTTCGTATTGATTTGTTCGTAAGGATTTGTTCTTAAGAATTCTATTTTGAAGTTCGCATTCTTATTCGATTATCTTTGGGTTGTGGGGGGGGGGGAGAGGGAGAGTTAGTGTTTGTTTACCAAGCTGTGTTAGGCTGTTCGGGCCGCGAGACCTCTCTTGTAGTAATCTCTACAGCAACTCTTGCAAGGTGTTATACAGTATTGTGTAACTACGTGTAGTGTCGTCTATACTGTATTAACATGAAGACAGGGAAGTAGAGGCTGGTACAGGTGTCGACACAAGGCCACAGGTATGGATATCGCGGGGCCTCTCCTGAGAACTTCTTCCAGAAATAAGGTGAAAATGCAGGAAATTTAGTTAGTTTGATTCTTATTATTATAAACACTATACAAACTTTAACTGTGAGCGTTGGTGGAATGGTTACCGAGGTATATTTATGGGCTCATGGACAGTCGGGTTCGTTCTAGACTCTCAATCGGAATTCCGGGGTTCGAATCCCGGGCAGGACAGAAATGCTTGGGCATTTTTCCTATCACCTATTGCTCCCTGTTCACCTTGCAGTAAATAGGTATTCAATGGCTGCCTGTCACCCGAGTTTTATTATTATTCTGTTTGAGTTCCAATTACTAAGGACAGGAAGCCAGTTAGGCTAATCAGTTAAACAAATTAAAACTGATACAAGGTCCAGACTTTATTATTGCTTGATAATGCCCTGTATATTATGATGTGAATAGGCCTAATTTAAAATCGGTGGATGGCAAACAAATGTGCATATTTGGCATTTCTACCAAACATGATGTTTCTGAAGGATGTACAGTATTGTTGGTATTTGATTAGGAGAATGAGGACACATGAGATGGACACATCCAGTTTCCAAACTTCTGCGAGGGAGTTTGAAATATTTAAATGTAACTAGTTAGCTATGGGTAAGAAATTGAAATTGAAATAAGTTTATTGAAGTAAAATACACACAAAGGTACGTGTGTGTATTTGTACGTGTGTGTATACTGTATGGGTGTGTACACCCATACAGTACGTGTTCATATATATATATGTATAATATATATATATATATATATATATATATATATATATATATATATATATATATATATACATATATACATATGGGTAAGAGGTTCAAGGCAAATATTATTATCAGCAAATTCAGATTTAATTAACATATGATAAATTGACGTTAGATTTATTCAGGTGATATTTATAAAGCTTTACAATACTGTACAATATTTGTGATTGGTATCCAGGCCTAATATGCAGTATACAATAGTCTTTACATTTTACTGAAAACTTTGTTTTTGTTGCACAGGTTGAAGTGCAGAGGCAGTTATTACAGAAGAGTAAGTTATTATTTAATTTTTGTTCATTATGCACTTAAGCATCATAATTTAATCATCCTACTGTATTGTATAATGTGCAGTACAGTATTATAAAACATATAAATATAATTTTTATTACATGCTGACATAATAAAGTGAGTTACTAAAAGTCGGGTATTCCCAGTAAGGATACCGTGTAGTTTTCATGAGATTATTCATTTTTCTTGTGTGTTGCTGACATAGATGTACAGAGAGAGGACTCGCATGTTCACCTTGGGTATTTTTATGTTTGTTGCTTCACTTACTAGTCTACAAAATTTTCAAATACAGTAGTTTGAATTTTCAAATAGTTATTCAACACAAACATAAATAGTGTTTGTGTTGAATAACTCAATTTATGTACACATAATTGATAAGAATAGTGATTGAGCACTGTATACAATTCTGTAGTGTAAATTCTAATTCCTTTTTGTCGGAGACAGAAAGCCTGTGTATATACTGTATTATTTATTTTATATAATGTTGCATTGAAATTGTTTTCTTTATATTTCCAGAATTCATTATTATTACTGTGTTGGTGTTAACAGTAAGATCGAGCTTTGGGGAAGACTTGAATGAATTGCAAGATATCAATATAGATGGCTCTGTTAATTGCTATGAGAAATCTAATTGTCCTTTAAGCAGTAAAGATACTTCACCATCAGAGGATAGTAAATATACATCAACATTAGAAAACGTAAATGATATTTCACTTCATAATGAAAAGTCAGACACTGTGATTGACTCCCCATTATTAGATGAATATGACCAAAGTGAACTATCATTACTGGAACAAGATGACAAACAACCCTCAACAACTGAAGGAGATGCTGGGTCACAAGAATATTGTGAGAAGACAGCAGAAGTAAGCACCGACAATTGCCAACAACAGGCTTCTCCCATCACAACCATAGCACAAGGTGATCAAGAATCTATTGAGCAAGATGAAGTGAAATGTGAATTTGTAGAAGAAAATATTAATAATTGTTACAAAATACAAAATGAAAACAGTGAGGGTGAGACTCGTGCAGAAGTAAGCAGAGAAAAGACTTTGATAGCTGACAGTACTGGAAGAGAAACAGATCAAGTGGAATTGGATCCTGAACTTGAAAATGTTCCCCTCAGAGAAATTCTCCTGAAACTTAAGGTTTGTTATAATTTAGTTTTTTGTTTACCTTTAACCTGGCTCTTTCCTGGCGCTATATGATCTTTTTCAGTATGTAGAATTTTCCTTTGTAAATTGTCTGAATAAAAAGTGATCTTATTTCCAGGGTTTTCATGCCCTCTTGTTAAAGGAGCCTGACTGTAAACATCATGAGCTTCTCAACACTGCTCAGTGATGCCAAAAATGTTTAGTGTACTATTTTTATGTTTGTTTTCTAAGTTACTTTTTATAGGTTATAACTATATGTAAATATCTTCACAAATAGATGTTCTAGAGTATAGGTGCAAACAAATACAGTGTGTATTGATAAAAATATACGTAGTGGCACTGATTGTTCAGATGTTTATGAATTTTCCAATATTTCTCATTTACTTTTTAATTTAAATAAGAATAACAAAATATGGAAACATGCGCACATGATCAGTCTGTATAGTTACTCATTACTCATTAAATATATAGATTAGGTGAATAACATCTGTAACAAAGTGGTGCATTATAATTTATGTATGTTTTTGTTTTCAGCCAGAAGGTCTGACTGATGATGAGGATGAGCAGTCACCTGATTATTCTGTATCACAGACAAATATGGAGGAAGATATTGAGGTAGGTTCAGTAGTAATAATAATAATAAACTGTCATCCACACTTCCGTGGAAATAAACATTTCATTCACCTGGACTGTAGAAGACTCGAACTGCCGACCCCACTCTAGGCATAAGGCATACCATGCTAGGTGTGTTAGGCATAATATTATCTTATTATCTATAATAATAATAATAATAATAATAATTTTTATTTAGGTAAGGTACATACATAAAGAGATTTTACAAAGTTTGTTGGCTTTATAGATAGAGCTAGTACATACAATGCCTAAAGCCACTATTACGCAAAGCGTTTCGGGCAGATGATGGTAATGATGCAAAAGTAAAAGTACATATGATATATGACTTTCTATCCATTTCCTTTTCTAGGGACAGTGTTTTCTGTGCCCTCTGTTTAGAGTATCTTTGCAGTTTTTAGGGCCTGTCTTTTTTTTTTCAGCCTTTGGAGTGTGGTGCCTGTTAGCACTGGTGGGAGGGGCTCTGCCCTCTTGGCATATATGTTCATGGGAGGGCAGTTCTTTTGGCATTGCATCATAGAGGTTATTGCTCCGTGGTTGCTTATTCTCTATTTGGCCCATTTTGGTGATCCATTTTTGGGCTTGCTCACTCTAGACTGCCTATTCATATCATTTTTCAGGTGACTTGTTTCTTCTTTTCCCCTACTTCTCCTCCTTGCTGTTGGATGAAGCATGGTGACAAATTTTTTGCTGGGTCTACAGTTTTTCTACTTCCCCTACTCAGGCTTTTTTGGCTACCACAGTTTGATTTGCAAAGTTTACCTTTTTGTTCCCAATACCTCCTGGAATGTCACTGCTTCTGCACTCGCTCCCCTCCCATTCTCCTCCCCACCAACAGGGGGCATTTGGGGGGGGGGATTCTGGTAGGAATAGGGGTAATGTGTTTTTCATTGAGCTTCATTTATAGCACCTTGGGAGTTTACTTTATTAGTGACCTTTTAGGTCATTGCAACGGATCCTGCAGCTAGTCTGCTGTTTCCGGCTGGGGTTTGTTGGCTCTTGACATATTCCTTGCTCCTAGTTCATTGCAGGGTTGGTTTCTGGCTCTGTGCCCTCATTTCCCTGTCTGAGGGCACAGACTTAAGTCATGCGAGTTTAGTTGAAATTGGTTGTTATAACCTTAGACTTAATTCATTAATAATAATTTTGTTTGGAGACAGGCAGCCAATGTTACTTATATCGAGGTATCGCCCAATGTTGAATTACTAACCCAAGCCAGGATGCAACCCCACAACAAGCAGTCTAACTTCTGGTTACCTATTTACTGCTAGGTGAACAGGGCATTAGGTGATAGGAAATGTGCCCAACCATTTCTGTCCCACTCAGGATACAAACCCGGAATTCCTGATTGAGTCGAGAATGAACTTGACTGTACTACCGAGCTCTTGCATAACAGTGTACACACTTACTGCAGTAGATTATTTTGCACCATATTCTTCTACCAACTAGCAAAACTGTTTTCTATACATTATGTTTGTTAAAAAATGTTTCTCATGTACTGTATATAAGAGAAGAGAATGATCCAGGAGAACTAACAGGCATGTTACTTAAATTCTTGTTTGATATCTAGAGAGGGTAATTTTTTGTTTTTTTTTGTTTGTTTTTAAGGTTGAAGAGGAAGTACTTGTGTCTTCAGGATCAGCAGATAAACAAGAACTGACTCTTGATGATAACATCAGTAGTAGCAGTAACAGTAGTAATGGAGGCAGTGACAGTAGCAGTGGAGGCAGTAACAGTAATAGTGGAGGCAGCAAAAAGGCTGTTTGCTTAGAGCTTAATATGACTGACCCTATTACTGATGTTGAGGTAATACATTTACAGTATATGATTATAGTTACATGTATTGTCTTTTCTAGAAATAAAGTATCATGCTATTATTTACAAATTTTTAAATGTTTTAAATATGAATATAAATGTTTAAATATTTAACACAATTAAAAATGTAAATGAACAGCATTGCTGAAAACAAATTATAGTTTTGTATTTCTAAAATTTATGTTTATTATAAAAAAGTTTTTCGTGCTTCTTTCTCTGCAAAGTCTTTTAGGATTTAGTCTTAAGATTAAACTCCTGCTAATTTTACATTCAGTAGACATAATTGCCAAACTATTCAAACATTCTACCTAGATTGATGATTTCAAGTAAGTTTTGATCATTTTCAACTTAGGAAAAATTCCTTTCTTTTGATCTCAGTCACATTAAGTGCCAATCATCATTGAACTGATTAAAAACAAAGCATACTGTATTCAATGTTTAACTCGTATCTGTATTCTGTCATAAAGAATTCAGCAGATATAAACATTAGCTTGCAAGTCTGCATTGGTTTATGACAAGCCTTTACACCTTTGGCTCTGTTCGAAGGCAATTTTACTTGACAATATTAGAGTAGGTTGCCCTAGTTTGGGCCTCCCCTTGAGTGAGGGGGGAAGGGGGAGAGCCCATTTGACTTAAAGCCTGCCCTGCCCATGTTTGATAACAATGCTCTTTCATGTACAGATTAAAAACGATACAGGTAAAATAAGGTTTTAGCAATTGAGAATTGTCACAGAGCTTTTCTGTACTTTCAGATTATCAATGCAACTACACTAATGAAGATACTAGCAGTTGATCTTAATGTAACAAGCAGAGCATCTGCTGGCCCATGTTACCTTATCTACTTTTTCAGTCCCTACTGTCCTTTTTCTGTCATGGGGTCGGCATATGTAAATGCTCTTGCACGTTCACTGCCAAATATTCCTGTCTATGGTCTGGATAGCATTGAACATCATAGGTAAGCTCTTTATACATTCAACAATTATTATTAAGCTCCTCTCTATTATATTAAAAATCTGTTCTGTTAGATTATTTGTTTTAGCTTTCATTAATTTATGAATTAAATTACAGTTGTTTTGTTTGTTTTGTTGATTGTATTAAATTATAGTTTATTTTCAAAGTTGATACCTTTAAGAATACAGTACTGTAGCTTTATATGTTTTATGAATTAATTCATGAATTATGGGATTCTCTGATCCTCTGCAGCCTATTTTAGTTTCCCTCTACTTCTTACACACTGGAGAAGACAAAATGGGCTTGATACTCAAAACACCAATGAGACATTTTATTAAATAAAGAAAAGGGCCTTTCCAAATCACCTGTTCAATATTCTCTCTTTCCCAACCACCTGTGCATGCAATGTCCCACCAGATCTGCAAATGACAGACAAGATCACAGAGGATGTCTAGAGATTAAGTGAAAAAATATGCTTAGGGCAACTGCATGAAGACTAATTCCAACGAATCCCACCTCTATGACATCTCGCCAGGATTCATAGAATATGTCATCTAATTAATACTACTAGTAATGAGGACTTCATTATTATAGGTGCAGTCATCATAATTTACTTAAGATGTGAGCTAGCACATCTTAGGATCCAGAAGACATGCAATTTAATTTTGAGAAAGAATGAATCGTGGCTACACTTGTGTTTGCTTAACGTTGGTTTACTGAAGAATCTTAACATTTAAGAGTATCTATAGGATTACATGTTTCAACATGCTAGATAGTTGGAAGTGGTGCTCAGTTACAGATACCTTAGTTAAACATTAATAGTGTATGAGTTGTATTCAAATAAAATGATAGATAGTATATACTCTACTGCCATTAAATTGATTAACATGTCACTATTCTCATTATTGTGTCTTTGAGCATGCTGTTCTTATTCTGTCATTTGATTTTGATACTTAATAATCTTTTCAGTGTAAATGCTCGCTATGGTGTGATGGGAACTCCAACATTATTACTGTTCCATAATGGAAATGGAGTGGGACGATACAATGCCTCTGAATACTCTGTGTCACAGCTGTTGTCTTTTATAAGGCATTATACAGACCAAGAAATTATCAACATTAATGTCACTTCATTAGATTTCCGGGTATGTTTATTATATTGTTTAGATTTCTTTCTGATGTTAAATGACTTGGTTGCTCTCTTAGCCCAGATTTACTTTTCTAGGGGCTCAGCAAACCTTAGCCAAAGTCAGTATGCCCTTCATTATCCCTAATGCAGCAATTCTTGATTGGCTTGGAATTCTTGGTACCCTCTGCAGAGGATCTGATGCCGCAGGGGGATAATTTTTCGTACCCCCCCTGCCAAGAATGAGTTGGATCATTCGGCTCCTTTCCCCTCGGGTTTATTTCCATGTTCTATTAAGTGACTCTGATTCATCCTTTTTCCTGAGGTTTCTGTCCTCCTGTACTGCACCTTCGGTTATTCAGTCAGGATTGTTATCAGGAAGTTTGCCAAGTGCCTGGAATACTCATGATAAAAATCTTGTTAAAACTCATGTTGGCTCAGGTTAAGTGTCCGCCTCTTCACCCTTGTTCTCTTCTTCCACTCATATTTCATTTATTTAACCTCTTCATTGGTTAATGGTTGTGTGTGTGTGAGTTAAAGACTTCCTGTACGTCATCCTCATCAACTTCCTTAAAACCAACTTTGTGAGCTAATTTCATACTGAATCTCCAGCTAAAATCTTGCTAAAAACCATGAAAAGTATTATCACTATCAGCACAGATATTATCTCCAGCTACTGGAAGCATCAAGTTTCTTGACTCTTTCCCCATAATTTCGATAGCATCTTTAATGTTAATTTTTTTTCCATAATTCCCTAACTATACTTTGGCAATATTTAAGTTGCTCTCATGTATAGTACAGTGCTTAGTTTTCTATAAGTTCCATAGGCTTCCATGTCATTTTCTGTTCTTCTCTATGAAGCTTAATAAACAGGGCTGCCTATCTATGTTAATTTTTTATTTATTTATTTTTTCTAACGATGTAAAAATGTAAAATGTGAACTGGGGCAATGTTAAACGAGATTCACTTGTACTTTGTAAGTACATATTCTTATTTATTGTATTTTGATGACCAAACTTCACATCAGTAGATGGAGAAACGACTGATGTGTGGTTTGGTAATCATATCTTCACCCACGTTATTGTGACTCATCAACTGCATATTGTATTTTGATGATATTCTATATACTGTACAATATTTGGAGCACTTATGGCTTGATTTTGAGTAATTTGTGTACTGTATTTTTTATATAATTGTTTTCCCATAGTGATCTTATTCTCTCAGTAATAATGTGTGTATTTTTGCATCTATTTCAGGCCAGCCTCCCAACACAAGTAGCTGAGGGCCGTCCATATGCACTCTGGGCAGCATGGACATTTCTTATAAGCTTTGCTTCATGGTTATTCATGACTTCGGAACTTTGTGCCAGACTTACCGAGGCAGTACTGAACAACTGGCGAGAAGCTGAAGCACAGAATGATCACCAAGATTAAATCTGTCATTTAGAGTGTGAATAGAGAAATAATTAATATTTAAGTGGGTATTGTATCAAAATTATCAAGAATGGGTGATCAAGTTATCAAATAGGAGTGATAGCTCAAATATGAAGAGAAAGCTAAAAAGAAATGGTATGAATTGCATAAAAGGTATGTATCTAGGTGTACTTGTCTTGTATGTGCGTGGTTGAGAGAAAGTGTGCCTGTTGGTATGTGTGTTTGTATGAATGTATACTATATAAATACACCTTCCCTTTAACATACAAAATGTGATTAAAAATATATATAATATCATACCTAATAGCCAGAACTGCTATACTTGCCTTAGTAATTAGGCCAGTTTTGCCAAACAACCAGACTGTTTTGCATATTTTCAAATATATCTTTTTAAAATTAGATTGTCTCTAATAATATACAGTATATGAATTGATAACATGAATTTCAAACTTAACTAGTCCTAGGTTTACCTATATTAAGCAGTTTGATTAGTTCAAGTTTCAAAAGTTTTTTTTTTTTACTAAAAAATCTCTGCTTTGTATATTTATAATGAATACTACACTCCATAAGATAATTTATTTAAAGTTATACAGCCTTTAAGAAAATTCAGTTTGTTAGCCAAATTTTTCTGAAATTATATACTGTATTTGTATATATTTTTCAAACAAGTTTCTTATGGAATGATAAAGTTTTCCATTACATTATATGTGATTTGATTTTTTTTTATTAAAGTTAACAAATTTTACCTAATGTGTTCTAACTTAGCATAACTAAGTTAGTAATTCATGTTCTTAATATATAATAATATTAATTGGAATAAGTCAATTTAAATAGAAATAGATAAAAATAAGGAAAAACATTGCTTGTTAGGCAAATTGGACCTTAAATACTAGGCCAAGTACTCTAGCTATTAGCTATTAGACATGACATTATATATATAATATTATATTATATTGTGTGTGTGTAAATCACAAAAATTAGCCTTCATTAACACGTGATGAAAAATGTGACAGTGTCAGACCACCACGAAGGAAGAATTGAAACAGGAATTTCCTTAAGTGCTTTCGTATTTAATAATACATCTTCAGAAGGAATGTTTCAATTCTTCCTTCGTGGTCTGACACTGTCATTTATATATTAGTATATATATATATATATATATATATATATATATATATATATATATATATATATATATATATATATATATATATATATATATATATAATAAATAAATAATATAATTATGTAATGTAACATAATACCAAATAGCCACAACTGAACATCTAGGCCTTGTAAGCAAGCACCATTTTTCCTATTAGTCATACTTGTATTTTTCAAATTTCTCTTCCCTTAATAATGTCTTGCTCATTACAGTAAACGTACATTGTCTGTCAATGCACAAGTTAAATTATATTAAAATTTAAATTTGTAATAACACATGAACTGTTAAGTGACTGGTTATTAGTTTCAACATACTGTACGTTACACACACAAACATGCATTGTACTGTATTTGTGATCTTTTTTGAAAGTTGTTATTATTTATTTTAACAAGACATGTGTTATTATTTTAACACATTCATAACTTTGAAGACATGTTTAATACAGCTGTATAAAATGTATATAAGAATTTTATTCTTTTTGTACTTACCTTTTGTAGCGAAGCTCCATTTGCCTTGTGACTCACAAGTGGCTAAGTCTGGTGTCCCTGTAGTAAAGGAATATACTTACACTAAGTACATTTTTCACTTACTGTTTTGCATCGGAAACAGTGCTGTTTGCCACCTTTACCTGGCTAGTTACACTAAGACTACTCAAGTTTCATTACAAATTCTCTCAATTCTTGAATAACCTTAGTTATATTTTTCCTGTTTCTTAGCTACTACATATTCTCGGTAATGTTGCTGCTAGACATCATAACCACTGAGTCAAAAAACTGGGAAGCGTACACAAAACCAAGTCTATTAGGTATTTCTTAGAAAAAATACATGTCATACATTACTGTATTTACCATTCCTAATTTTTTTTTTCCATGATGCTTACTCTTATTTTTGGTACAATTAGTAATTTTAGTGTATTTGAGTATAATCTTGCCAAATTTTGGTAGTTTTATGAATTTCTGACATTTTACAAAAATGTTCAGTGAACCTGATGGCACTTGCATTTACCAATGGAAGTATAATCTTCTGTTGCCAAAAAAAAAGAAGTGTTCTGTTTGAGCTGGCATACATGTGGCATACACATATCACTGTATTGCATATTCATATAGTGTCCACATTGGTCAGGACTATGAGCCGGCAGTCAGCCTACATTCCCAATTTCCAAAGAGCAGTGTCCATAGGAGTAAAAGATAACTGAAGAAGGTGGTGGTGGTGTAGGAGCAGGAAGAAGTGCTATGTGAACCCGAGAGAGAAGATTAGGAAGATTGTTAAGCTTACTGGGTTCCCCCTTGGCCAACGTCTGACCTTTTCAAGATACACGATACAATCTACAATACTTGTCTAGATCCTAGGTACCTATTTACTGGCAGTGATAAGAGGTATCAGGTGAAAGGAAACTTTTTCCAAATGCCTTTGCCTTGGAACTTCCCAAATCATATTTCACACTTTTTTAGTATTGGAATGCACTTACTTTGTATTCCTTTCATTTGACCTTTACAGTATATTCCCATATATATTCTACTAGATGGAATACCAAACGGTGCCTTGTCTCCCTCCCTCAGTGCCTTCCATTCTCCCCATTCTCCCTTCATCCCATCCTCCCTCTAATCTTTATCCCTCCCATTCTATTTCAGTAGGCAAAACATGCACGAGCAGCATAGAATCAACATTATTGATGTTGAATAAATTTGACTGACAGAATCAATGGGATAAAAATGCAAACTTGTGGATTTGTGAAATTTATATAAAGAATTTACACCAAGTCTTTTGCACTCTCCTGAATGCTTTGTCAAGGCTTGAATATGTGATTAGAACAAGACTTATGTCTTGTCATAACAAGAACCTAATCACATACTCAGACCTTGACAAAGCATTCAGGAGAATGCAAAAGACTTGTTTTAAATTCTTTACATAAATTTCACATACACAAGTTTGCATTTTTATCCTATTGATTCTATGTCAGTAAAATTTATTCAACATCAACAATTTTGATTCTATGCATGTGCTGCAATTTTGTATGGTGGAGGTTAGTAAATGTAATGCACTAGGAAGTGATGTGGTGGAGGCTGACTCCATACACAGTTTCAAATATAGATATGATAGAGCCCACATGCTCAGGAATCTGTACACCTGTTGATTGAACCAAAGAGCCAGAGCTCAACCCCTGCAAGCACAACTAGGTAAGTACGTACACACACACACACACACACACAGATCTTCCAGAGGGTATAGACTCATTCCTCTCGATGTTTGCTGATGATGCAAAAATTATGAGAAGAATCAAGACGGATGAAGATAGGCAGAGACTACAGGATGACCTGGATAAACTGGAGGAATGGTCTAGAAAATGGCTGCTGAAGTTCAACTCTGGAAAGTGTAAGGTGATGAAATTAGGCGAAGGGAGCAGGAGGCTGAACACAAGGTATCATCTGGGAGGGGAAATCCTGCAAGAATCAAATAGAGAGAAGGATCTGGGGGTTGATATCACACCGAACCTGTCCCCAGAGGCCCACATCAAAAGAATATCATCAGCGGCATATGCTAGACTGGCCAACATAAGAACTGCCTTCAGAAACTTGTGTAAGGAATCTTTCAGAACCCTGTATACCACTTATGTAAGACCAATCCTGGAGTATGCAGCTCCAGCCTGGAGTCCATACCTAGTTAAACACAAGACAAAGTTAGAGAAGATTCAGCGGTATGCCACCAGGCTCGTCCCGGAACTGAGAGGATTGAGCTACGAGGAAAGGCTAAAGGAGCTGAACCTCACATCCCTGGAAAACAGAAGAGTAAGGGGAGACATGATAACCACCTACAAAATTCTCAGGGGAATTGACAGGGTGGACAAAGACAAACTCTTCAGCACGGGTGGGACACGAACAAGGGGACACAGGTGGAAACTTAGTACCCAGATGAGCCACAGAGACGTTAGAAAGAATTTTTTCAGTGTCAGAGTAGTTAATAAATGGAATGCACTAGGAAGTGATGTGGTGGAGGCTGACTCCATACACAGTTTCAAATGTAGGTATGATAGAGCCCAGTAGGCTCAGGAATCTGTACACCAGTTGATTGACAGTTGAGAGGCGGGACCAAAGAGCCAAAGCTCAACCCCCGCAAGCACAATTAGGTGAGTACAATTAGGTGAGTACGGGCCTGACAGCTGAGTGGAAAGTGTTCGGGATTCGCAGTCCTAAGGTTTCCGCCCCGGTGAAGGAAACAAATGGGCAGATGAGTTTCTTTCACACTGATGCCACCGTTACTAGCAGTAAATAGGTACCTGGGAGTTAGACAGCTGCTACGTGCTGCTTCCTGTGTGTGTATATATACTCACCTAATCACCAAATTGTGCTTGTGGAGGTTGAGCTGTGTGTGTGTGTGTATTCACTTAGTTGTGTTTGCGGGGGTTGAGCTTTGCTCTTTCGGCCCGCCTCTCAACTGTCAATCAACTGTTTACTAAGTACTATTTTTTTCACACCACACACACACACCCCAGGAAGCTGACTATCTCCCAGGTATCTATTTACTGTTAGGTAACAGGGGCATTCAGGGTGAAAGAAACTTTGCCCATTTGTTTCTGCCTGGTGCGGGAATCGAACCCGCGCCACAGAATTACGAGTCCTGCGTGCTATCCACCAGGCTACCAGGCCCCCTGTGTGTGTGTGTGTGTGTGGAAAAAAAATCAGTTGATTGACAGTTGAGAGACGCGGGCCCAAAGAACCAGAGCTCAACCCCCGCAAGCACAACTAGGTGAATACACACACACACACACACACACATGCATGCATACATACATACATACATACATACATACATACATACATACATACATACATACATACATACATACATACACACGCTCTCACTCTCTCATTCATTCACTCACTGTAGGCTCGTATCAAGTCCTCCTTCCCCCCTACGTCGAATTACTGCCCTTCCCTAGAATTCAACAACGGTTGCATAACTCAGGTATCTATTTACTGAAAGAGTGAACAAAGGCATTAGGTGAAAGGAAACGCGCCAAAACTTTTCTGCCTCGCCTGGGAACCGAATCGGGGATTGTGAGTCGAGAAGGAAGCCCGCTATAATAGGAGTGAGAGGAAGTGTGCGTGTGTGCGTGTGTTGAGTGAGAGAGATATACAGAGTGGTGCAACGTGGCAAGGGTCACTCCCCGGAGCTCCTTCACACCGACAGGTTCGTGTCTCCCCGTGTTTGGTGTCTCCCTGTGTTTGGTGTCTCCTTGTGCTTGGTGTCTCCCTGTGTTTGGTGTCTCCCTGTGTTTGGTGTCTCCCCGTGTTTGGTGTCTCCCCGTGTTTGGTATATCCCCGTGTTTGGTGACTCCCTGTGTCTAATGTCTCCTTGTGTCTATAGTCTCTCAGTAGCAACGGTTTACCTAATCTTTCAACATTTCTATGTCCAGTCATTATTTCTCATGTTGTGTCACAACATTATATTATCTCCCATGTCGTGTCTCAGTATTATTTCTCGTGTCGTGTCGCAGCATTATCTCATTGCTCGTGTCTCATCATTATTTCTGGCAAATGTTGTTTGAATATCGAAAACTGCAAGAACTTACATGTGGAGCATAAGAACCCACGTCAAAACTATCACATTAGCAACATTACCTTGCATCAGATTGAGGAAGAAACGGACCTTTGAGTCAGAATCCGTCATTCACTGAAAGTTGCACAACAAGTGAAAGCAGGGGTAAAACAAATGCTTATAAAACCCTAGGAGTAACCTAGCGAATCTTTAACTTTTAGGAAAAGGAAGTATTATTAAACTGTATACAAATCTGGTGCGCCTCCTCTTGGGTTATTGTGTCCATGCAAGGAGACCTCATCTTCAGAAGGACTTACCTATATTGCATAAAGTTCAACACTGGGCAACCAAAATCATTCCTGAAATAAGTCTACTCTTATGCCAATAACGGTTGAGGGCATTAGGGCTAACATTACTGCAAACCAGGCATTGGCAGGACTGATCTCATCGAAACTAAAAATACTGAACAATTTGGAGGATGTTGATCCAGAGAATTCCTTCAAAAGGTTAGTTGTAACACACACAAAAACCGTTGGTCCTTGTTTGTGTTACATCAGAAACCTGGGTAAGGAATCATTCAGAACCTTGTATTCCACATATGTAAGACCAATCCTGGAGTATGCGGCCTCACCATGGAGTCCGTATCTTGTTAAGCACAAGATGAAGCTGGAAAAAGTTCAGAGGTATGCCACTAGGTTAATCCCAGAACTAAGAGGTATAAGTTACGAGGAAATGCTGTGTGAAATGCACCTCACGTCACTGGAAAACACTATAGCTCGGGGAAGCATGAGCACCACATACAAAATTCTCAGGGGAATTAACTGGGTAGATAAGGTTAGATTATGTAATACGGATGGCTCTCGAACAAGGGGACGCAGGTGGAAGTTGAGTACCAAAATAAGCCACAGAGACATTAGAAAGAAATTTTTCAGTGTCAGAGTAGTAAGTAAGTGGAATGCACTAGGAAGTGATGTGATGGAGGCTGACTCCATACACAATTTCAAATGTAGATATGATAGAGCTTGAGAAGCTCAGGAACCTGCACACCAGTAGATTGACAGTTGAGAGGCGGGGACCAAAGAGCCGCAGCTCAATCCCCGCAAGCACAGTTAGGTGAGTGCGGTTTCAAGCTCAACAAGCCACAGTGCAGGACTAAAAACAGGAGATGCTTTGTCACCCACAAGGTTACCGCCCATGGAACAGCCTAACAGCCGAAGCGGTAAATCCCAAAACTGTTGAACTTTAAAATTCAGGTTGAAAAAAATCCTCAGGACAAATAAGGGGACCTTTGACAAGCCGCCGGCTTCCTGTCTTCGTTGGGGCCACTAGAATGTTAGCGGCCCCTCGGGTAACCTCAGGTAAATATCGTGTCTCACCAATATCTTTCATATCGCGTCTTAGAATTATCTCAGCTCGTGTCTCAGCATTATCTCTCAGCTCGTGTCTCAGCATTATCTCTCAGCTTGTGTCTCAGCATTATCTCTCAGCTCGTGTCTCAGCATTATCTCTCAGCTTGTGTCTCAGCATTATCTCTCAGCTCGTGTTCCAGCATTATCTCTCAGCTTGTGTCTCAACATTATCTCTCAGCTCGTGTCTCAGCATTATCTCTCAGCTTGTGTCTCAACATTATCTCTCAGCTCGTGTCTCAGCATTATCTCTCAGCTCGTGTCTCAGCATTATCTCTCAGCTCGTGTCTCAGCATTATCTCTCAGCTCGTGTCTCAGCATTATCTCTCAGCTTGTGTCTAGCATTATCTCTCAGCTCGTGTCTCAGCATTATATCTCAGCTTGTGTCTCAACATTATCTCTCAGCTCGTGTCTCAACATTATCTCTCAGCTCGTGTCTCAACATTATCTCTCAGCTCGTGTCTCAGCATTATCTCTCAGCTCGTGTCTCAGTATTATCTCTCAGCTCGTGTCTCAGCATTATCTCTCAGCTCGTGTCTCAGCATTATCTCTCAGCTCGTGTCTCAGCATTATCTCTCAGCTCGTGTCTCAGCATTATCTCTCAGCTTGTGTCTCAGTAGATGGAGTTCGTCATTGCAGATGGCGTTACTTCTTGCTCACAGCCTCAGTCAGGTCTCACAAGACCTGGGGGTCTGGGTCCAGATTCAAGAAGCAGTTACGCAAGCACTTACGAACGTGTACATCTTTCCTCAATCTTTGACGGCTTTGGTTACATTTATTAAACAGTTTACAAGCATAAAAACTTCCCAATCAACTGTGGTAATTCTTATAAACAGCCTCCTGGTGCTTCGGAGCTCATTAACTTTTTAATAATTGTAAACAAAGCTGCCAAAGATTGAGAAAAGATGTACAGGTTCGTAAGTGTTTCCGTAACTGCCTCGTGAATCTCACCCCTGATCTCTATCGTCAACTCCACATACAACTTTGATGAACAAAATGTTACGAGGATCAACAGTTGCGAGGAGCAACGGATGTGAGGAACATTTGTAACGAGGCACAGCAATAGTTGCATAATACAGCTGGGCTTTCTCTTTTCATCGATACAATGAAAGAACAACAAGAGAAAGTTTGGGAGCGACCTCTTCTGGCCACTTTCACTGTCTCTTTCAGTGTCATTAAAATCTGCAAGTTTTTATACGCGTGGTGTGGCTTCCCGTTGCTTGGGCAAGGAAACTTGTTGGGGCTTATAGAGGTCCCCCCTGGCAATTGGCCATTCGCTAGATTGCAAAACACAACGATTAAATAATTAACTTTCAAGCACCCAGTTACTGCTACGTGAACAGCGGCATTGGATGTAAGAAAACTCGGTTCCAATCAGCTATGAACAGACTGCGCTAACTGCAGCTCTTTTGTATGTGTATATATTCTGGAGAACTGCTAGCTCTGCGCTACAGCACAGAGCTTATTATCGATGAGAACACCAAGGAATTTACCATCTACTTTGTTACTAATGTGGATGTTGTTTATTCTTAGATTAATTTGATCTGAGGATTTATTTCAAGCAAAATATAGAAGGTTTTTGCCAATGTTAAGGGTGAGTTTGTTACAAGTTAGCCAACTTAACGGTGATATAAATGAATCTCTAATCCCCGAGACGCAGCACCATTACACGAGAGAAAGTCAGGAAGGAGTTCATCTCCCAGAGAGCAAGTAACCCCGGGAACCTTGCGCTTGCCCAAGTTCTTGAACCAATTTTAAAATGCAACTGGAAAACGTATTGTACAATATATGAATGACACACAGGCTGACTGACAACATTTCAGGGAAAATGAGTCATACATAAAAATAATGACCTTTGCTGTCACAGGTGGCAGTGTGTTGACAAGTGTTGTCACAGGTGGCGGTGTGTTGACAAGCGCTGCCAAACCTCGCCTCTGACTTCGCAGCTTCTCGGCGATTACTGACAGCATCATTTCTTATGTTCGATGATTTCTGTTTATTTTTACAGTTGCTTCCGCCTCCTGTTAGGGCTTAATGCACCACGATCCCCTGGTGCACCATTACTTTGCCATATCTAGTATTCTGCCCGTGATTCTACGAGCATGTGATTTCAAAATAAATTTCCTGTAATTTGATCAAACGTCTTTGAGGAATTCCAACACAGCACATCAGCGGGAAATATTGTTCCACTAGGCTTTATAAAGAAACATATACACGTTTATCGTACAATGTTTTTTTTTAATTCAAGCTGTGATGTGTCTATTAGCCTTGCTGGACGTTTTTTAATGACGTATTGACGTTGTGAAGGAAGGTGGCTTCCTTAATTGTTTATAATGGCGTATTTTACTTGTAGCGATTTTTTTTAAAGAACCCGTTGACGTGGAATGCTGACTTACTGGAAGGTAGTTTTATGCTCCGTCTCTGCTTCACCTTCTGATAATTTGCGATTAAATAGTTTATATACAATCTAAATGCGTTATTCCTTTGTATACATAATATAATAACAGAGGAAAATGCAAGGGATATTGACCCATACGTAATAGTACTAGTTCCTATTTATAATCAGCCACATCCACCTATGTATAGTCCACTCATGAAATACATAAATCAACAATCTTATTCTAAACTAATATTTGCCCAGGGTTTTTCTGAATCTAATCCTATCTAATTTGTATTAACGTTTGGTGTTCTGTTTTGTGTCGATATATTTAGTAGTAGCCAGTATACTCAACCTCAGAGAATATTAGTGTTTCGAGCATAATTTTCTCCCGATGTGCAGGATGCAGGTGCGTGTGTGCGTGTCCGTGGTGGCTGTGTGTCTGTGGGCAGCGGCAGCGCAGCAGCAGGAAGCGCTGAAGGTGGAGGTGCTGAGCCGGCCAGCCGTGTGTCGCACCCAGGGAGTTGCTGGGGATAAAATACAGGTCCACTATACTGGTCGACTGGCTGACGGCACCATCTTCGACCAGAGGTAAACTGCCTTGTGTTTCTTATCCGTATAATCTCTTCCCTGAACTATATTTAATCCAATGCATTTACACGGGAGACATCTCCCGTCACGTCACGCAGGGTGCAGTCGCACCTCCACAGATCTCCAGTATCAGCTCTTGATACTGGTAATGGCTCAAAAGGGCCACCACTTACGGGCTATTCATGCCCGTGCCACCATTTGGGTGGCTTAATCCTCATCAATCAATGCATTTACGATGATTATGTTTGTTTTAAATGACAAGAAAAAGACTCAGTGAATCATTTGATAAAGGTGAACATCTTTGCAATTCACGAAGGGCTAGGGGTATTCCAACAAATTACTGCACCAGCATATTACAAAGGAAATTTGAGATTTCACACAGCTTTGAGTCACAGATGTCTAGAGTGTAAAAGGCAATGAATTTGTTGACGTGATTTTGAAACACTCTTGGAGCTGTATCCGAAGAATTCAGTATGGCGTCCAAATGACGTAATTTATTATATTAACAAGCCAAAGTACACACAATAATGTGCTTCTACGCTATATTCTAAATTGCGGTTTGTATAGTATAGACATAGAGCTAGCTATGAGGTCATCTAATATCCCCATCTCACAGAATGGTTTGTCATGCGTAGTCAGGAGAAAACATGAACTGAGAGTCTAGTCTACTAGCAAACAACCCTGGGTAGAGCACAAAAATTTTCTTTCAATATTCGTGAGTGTATGAAGTTGAAGCTCAAAGTATATCATACCATTTGGTCTGCAATCATTAATAATCACAGATATAGTGTTGGAGAGTATGTCCTATGCACAATGAAATCACATTAACGTGATGTATCAGTGAGAAAATCAGTAGGAGCCATTTGAAGGATTCGAACCCGCACACTTGGTACTCTCAAATACACGCCTTAGACAATTATGGGGCGCAATGCGTGAAACCCTGGCTGGGCTACAGTGGAAACCTCAGGACCCATAGAGGATGCAGCTGAATCCCAGGTTACATTGCTTTTACATGACGTGGTCTAGGAGGGGTGTATTTGGGAGTAGCAAGTGAGAGGGTTCGAATCCTCCTAATGGCGCCTACTGATTTTCTCAGTGTGCCCTAGCTCATGTTCACATTGTTCATAACTGGAAAGCTTACCGTTGGGAGAGTACCTGCAGCCATCTTCTGTAAGCATCGATACCCTAGACTAATTGTGGCAGTTACAATGTCACACTAGTGGATATTTTGTGCTGTGCGTACATATATTTCTCGGTTCTAAACATATCATAACTTTATATACTAGTGCTTTCTGCCCTTTGAGTGTTAGTGATTGCTCTCCTATGTCAGCCCAAGTTTCATGAAACAGTGCGGGTTTGACAACAGAGACTGGAATACCCAGGTTGATCACATCCAGCTGTAATGACTTTGTCCGTCAAGCCCATAATTGGCTGCCCTAATCGCATTTTATATATTATGATCTTCCTGTCTTTGATTCTGAAAGTCTCTCTCCCTTTATTTTTCATTTTATAATAGCCATATTGATTATTATTTTTAAGGGTCTTGTGATAACTGGCCACTAGGCTTGTAGTACATGTTCATTCCCTCCTGCACTGAACTCCTCATGACATGACGCCTTATTTATTCCTCCATGGCCAGCGCAAATCGAGGCGAACCCTTCGAGTTCCGGCTGGGGTCTGGTCAGGTGATCAAGGGCTGGGACCGGGGCCTGGACGGCATGTGTGTGGGAGAACGCAGGAGACTCACCATCCCACCCAACCTGGCCTACGGCAGGAGGGGCGCCGGGGGCGTCATCCCCCCAGGTGAGTACGATGCTCAGTCCCCCATATGTGTAAGCTACTAGTCTTCAAGGGATAAGAAGGTCATAAGCCTTCCCATTGGAACAACAAAGGCTGTTGACTTGTGATCAAAATAAGACGGAAAACTGAAGGCGGCGTCAAAATGTGTCGAGATAAACATTAAAGGTCAATACACGAGGCAGCCAGCCAGGAGTGGACTGTTCAAGCTTATGATGATGCAGTCATTCATGAGTGAAATGGTTTAGTGTTATCATGGGAGTTTAGTTGCTTAAAGTCATAAACGTACAGGCATTTTACATTATATATATGTTACATGGAACATAAATAATGAAATTACAGCTTTATATAATGAAACAGACATATAATGACATAAACATGGAGCTTACAATACAACATATTTATATGTATAAACACTGTATATAAAATATAACTAAGAAATTAAGAGATTTTACACTATTAGCAGAGTCTGGGGTTAGCTAGAATCAAACTCACTTTTAACACAAAGCTCATAAAACAGGAACTCACTTCAACAGTGAGCATTTCGCAGGTCACATAGTTCTCAGCCATATAAGTATATCTGGCTGAGAACAGCCATATAAATAATTTGACTTGCGACCAGGTATCATGATGACCACATTCATTTAGTATGAAATGTGTCCTGACTCGCAGGTCGAATAACATCAGAGAAGTTGACAAGTGGGCGTGCCCTTTAGGTCATAATATGACCCAGATGCTTTTGAGATTATTTTACGGGAATCTCTCTGCTGAGAAGTATAAGTTCAAGATCTGATAAACCGATTGAAGTGAATTAAAATATTACAACATTTGCTTGGATTGAATGTGAAGAAAACAGACGCCATAAATTATTATGGGTTCATATATATATATGCTTGAGCCTTACGAATACACTCACTACACACCAATACTGCAGCTAATGTTGCTTCACTATCGTAGACGCAACGCTGACGTTCGAGGTGGAGCTGGTGGAGGTGCCGGACAAGGTGGTGAGGGTGGACGAGGAGCCGGAGCGCAGACCCGCGCCCACCGCAGACGTCTCCTCCGCCCCAACAAAGCTGGTGACACAGACCCTGGTGCGGCCCCCGACCTGCTCCAAGGTGGCCGCTCCGGGAGACTCTCTCAGTGTCCACTACACTGGCCAACTTATTGATGCCAAGAAATTTGATTCCAGGTACCAACATGCAATTATTTTTCTTATAAGAAATAGAATTTGTTGTCATATGCCTCGAACGTAATCTACTCTTTGGAATTATTGGGGACATCACAATTTATTGACTGTTAGGCAGTGTGTTGATGCAAGAATAGCAAGTTCAACCTTAGGAAGTAAACAAAGAATTAACGAGCATTTCTTTAGTGTTTCAGTTAAGATTTTATATTTACCTGAATTTACCTGAGTCATTATCTCTAGTCCCCGACGAGAACAGGAAATCGGCGACCTCCAAACTGTTCAGTATTTTAAGTTTCGAAGCCATATTGTTGGCCCTGTGGCCCCCCTTAATCGTTTCTGATATGGGTGTTGACTTAGTTCTGGAAGGATTTTTGTCGCCCGGTGTTGAACTTTCTCCCAAGCAGCTACGTCTTTCTGGAGATGAGGTCTCCATGCTTGGATACAATAATCCAAGTGCACCAGAGATTTAAATACATTTAAAATATAGTATATGTAAAATTACTTTAGTGTCTCTCTTGTTATGCTAGTGACCCACTCTTGTACCCCAGAAGTCACTCCGATAACCCAATAGTGACTCCCGTGCCTGAGCAGTGACCGCCTCCTGTATCCAAACAGCGGCCGGTCACAGGAGTTGGACCGACTCCAACAGTGGCCGTCGAAGTACTCCCTGTACCCCGACAATGACCCACTTCTGTAACCCCTACAGCGTGGACCGCGGGGAGCCCTTCGTATTCAAGCTGGGTGAGGGAGCAGTGATCCGGGGATGGGAGGAGGGGGTGGCCGGCATGTGTGTGGGTGAGAGTCGTCTGCTCGTCGTGCCCCCCTCCCTCGCCTACGGCAGGAGAGGCGCCGGCTCCGTCATACCTCCAGGTGAGTCCATCCACCAAATGAGTCAATACCCCCAGGTGAGTCCATGCACCAAATGAGTCATTACACTCAGGTGAGTCCATGCACCAAATGAGTCAATACCCCCAGGTGAGTCTATGCACCAAATGAGTCATTACACTCAGGTGAGTCAATACCCCCAGGTGAGTCCATGCACCAAATGAGTCAATACCCCCCAGGTGAGTCATTGCTCCCAAAGGAGTTATACACCAAATTAATGATTTCACCTAGGCGAGTCATATATATATATAAAATGAGTAATTACACCCAGGTGAGTCATTACACACAGGTGATTCATACACAGTATAGTGGTGAATTATTACAGTATAGTAGTTATGTATTACAATATAATGGCGACTTATTATAGTATAATGGCGACTTATTTCTGTGTCATGGCGACTTTTTATAGTATAGTTGTGACTTATTACAGTTTAGTGGTGACTTATGACAGTATAATGGTGACTTCTTACAGTATAATAGTGACTTATTACAATATAGTGGTGACTTATTACAGCTTCAGATGGCATTTTCCATAAGGTATGTTTTACCTATGAATATTGGACCTGTAAATGTGGTTACATCATGCAGTTATGGTGGGTAATATTACAGGTTTACCCCTGGCAGGTTTACCCCTGGCAGGTTTACCCCTGACAGCTTTACCCTTGGCAGGTTTACCCCTGGCAGGGACAGAGGGGCCCAGACATTACTTTTCCAGATTCCACTGTCCAAAATGTGTCTAAGGTCACCCGTTAAGTTACTGGCAACACCCAAAAACACTTACCCTGACTGACCGAGAGACGTGCACATTCGTCCCCTTGACTTTTAAGATGCTGATTGCAATGCAAACCAATGAACTAGAGTGTACTGTTGTTACAGATGCGACGTTGATCTTCACCATCCAGCTGCTGAAAATCAACTGAGGCGCGAACTTCTGCCGCAGGATGGCGACGTGGCGCTAGTGTCCTGCTTTTGTTATCTTCCTTCGTGTATTCTTTGTTACTTTGTTAAGCTTGTAAAGCATTAGCTGGGCTGTGAGTAAACGTTAAAAAAAGACAACTTAACATTTCATTACATCCTGTAATAGACAAGGTTACATGAGGAATCTGACCAGTACCGGACCTCGAGTATCCTAGTACAGTACTAATATTTGCTAAAATTATTGTATTGCAAATTATGAATGCATTATGAGAATATCATCAAGAACACGAGAATGAATGAAGCCAGACGAGCACGATTCCCCCCACCTCTCCTCTCTCTCACACACATACTCGAATATACGATTAATCCGTCAACATCTTTTATGTTTCAAAATATAGTTTAACGCATATTTACAATAAAGAAGCATCAGTAAAGAACATGTTATATAAAGATGCATAGGCTAGTCGTGTAATATTAATTTATTATAACGAACTCATTGATATAAAATGTTGTAGGTCAATACTTATATCTTATTTTAGCTACTAACGCTATTTTCAACCGAAAGGATCGTTAGACCTACGCATTATTATTATTATTATTAACAAGCAAATATTAGATTAAATAAATGTTGATTGCAGTTTAGACCTTTATTAATTCACTAAATTTTTGTATTCTTACTTAAGGCTGAAGAAATTGACTTAAAACTTTAAATTTGCCGCCTTTAAAGGCTGTCCGTATGGCTGCACGAGCCTTGGACACAGACAATATAGAGCCTCGCTAGGATAATATACTCGCTTCTAAAGCGCTAAGTAACAAACCACTCATCATGGAAGTGCTAAAATAAAGTGCGTTGTGTGGCGTAGAGGAGAGCATGTGTAAGGGAGAGGCCCGAGGGGCGACAGCGACCATCGGGACGCCTCCGGCGGGAACCTGACCGAGGTTATATGTAAGAGACCCGTCAGATGTCGCGTCAGTCCCCCACACGACACCACCAGAGGCAGGGTATAGCATGAGGTAATTTTATGTTATTTATTCCCTATTTAGCCGTCTTTGTTCTGTATACTCGAACAGTTGTTTAAGTAGAACACTGTAAACGATGTATTCAACCAAATCATTTGGTATCTCCTTTATTTGAGAAATAGATGTTGTCAAGACATGCAGCAGAAGTGTTGTTTGATGGTATTTAATACTCTCCTTAACTTTTGGTGTTGATATAAGTATTGTACTGAGGCTACAGGCTGTGTGGTCAACGGGACTATTGTTATTGAATGACGTCCTTTTGTACGTCAGTGCTGTAATAAATGAGGCCTTCGTCTTCCTCATTAAAAAATGGCTGCTAGGTTTGGCCACATAATAATGCCTTTGACAACTAGATTGGCGTATTAATTTAGAGTACTGCATTTTGGCTTATAATTGAACCGGTGAGAATGCAGTTGTGGGAGTTGCCCCTTTCAGCTACGTAAAAGATCACGGTACGACCAAGACGGCAGGATATTCTTGGGGCCGTAATTTTTATTTTGTGGAAAGAAATTGTGAGAATCTCGCAGATTCCTCCAATGACTAGCCTATGTTCCTCCCCCCCCCTTTTCATTTCTTTCCTAGTAACTCTCGTCATATACCTGCTTCAGGCCCAGGATAACTAGACTAGACTTGTGTAGCCTAACAAAACTTCATATGATAGGGGGGTAGATATAACCTAAGCTATTCTATCCCTTTGAGATGTATTTCTTTCTTGTCTCGATAAACATACTTGAACTTTGACTTCATATGCGGCTGAATATCTTTGTATGCAGGCATGTCAAGAATCGCTGGCAAGATGGTGTCGGTCAGAATCAATTGTACCACATTTACTCTATTGTGCAGTGTGACTTGGCCCGCCAGGTGTTGACTAATTGCTAACAATGAATGTGGACAGGTCATAGCTAAAGAGTTTTGAGATGCCACGAAAGTATGCTAAAATAATCCTTACCTAACTGCACACTTAATGGTAAAAAATATATACCGCGATATTTATGCCCCAAAATTAGCCAGGCATCGGCCGTATTTCCTTATTTTTATGAGCCCAATTAAATGTAAAATTTGTTGGTAGAAAATAGCATCAAATAAGGCCAATTACTTGGATCGCAGTACAATGAGCTGCTACGGTATTTTCTTTTTTGTAGTTCTAAATCCGTAAAAGGTCAAAAGAAAAGTAACCCGAAATTTCCCATTATAGTGCATGTATGCACGAAATAAGGCTTAAGAGTTAAGTTTGTGAATATTTTGGTTTATTCCCTCTTAAAATTCCAGGAGCAACTATCGGTATTTTGTGTATTTCGTCCACAGGTTCTATCTATTCATTCTATTTTTTTATGTAGTTTACGTAATATATCATGGTTTTTGTCAAATTTAATTTTAGGAACCAAATTATGTAATTCGTCGCACAATTGAATGATGTAAAATTAGCTATACAGTGTAGCAAATTCATATAAGTATTGTCGGTTTAGGCAACTAATAACTATTGATGTTTTAAACGGTATAAGCAATAACTGTTGCTTTGGGAATTAATTCTAGCAGTTCTCGGTAAATTAAATGATAACCATAATATTACCCTTTTTAATGAAAAGGGTCTTGTTTATTTACATGTATCTGTTTTACTAACAAAAGTATAACATTGAAGTAAATGGAAAGCTTTTTAAAAATCTTGTTAAAAAATTGTAAAAATTTAAAACTAATTACATAATTTACTTTAAGCAACAAGGTGAACGTGATATTATAACTTTGTATTCATATAAAAATATATTAATTTTTTTCAAATGACCTGAATATAGTGAATCTTAAAGAAAATTGATCAGCAGTTAAATCAATGACCGAAAATTGCATTTGAAGGAGCTGGATTTGTGTTCTCGTGAATTTAAGGATGTGTTTTATTGTGAAAATTTGGCTTTAAAGGGCTTTTATAATAAGTGAGGGAAAAATTTGGAAAGCAATCTGCACAACGTCAGGTTATTCTTGACCATACAATTTTTAATGGGCATTCACCTTGAATAATTCTTAAGTCCCTGCACAAATATAATTAATGGATGCAATTTTCGTTCCTTGGTTAAAGGCCAGGTTTTGCACACTGCCGCCTTTTATAGTACTGTACAATACAAAGAGCCTACCAGTGAACGTGCAACATTTTGCAAAACATAAAATCCTGCTTTGCCAATAATGCCGTGTGCACCATCATTTGTTACAAATTATCTTCATAAAGTCAGCCTGATGATTATACAATATTAAACTTGTGGGTATTATGGATAGGGGTTTAGCAATAAAAGCGCCAACAAAATTTGCCCGGGTGCCGTTGTTACACCCCTGGCCTAGAAATCAACTCCCTCCCCTCGTTTAATACTGTACTTTAATTTTATAAAAATAATTTTTGATTGGTAGTTATAAAATGTATTTAAAAATAATCGTAATGTAATTTCCTTGAGTATCTGTCGGCTGAACTGAAAGTGCCGTCACTGAACCTGGATATTAACATGGTTTCTGGATAGACCCCCTCCCCGGTCACCATTCCTTAACAGATCATGAGAGCAGTTTGCTGGCACGCATTGAAACTCTGGTAGGTAGTTTATTCTAACTATTCTAAATAATTGTAGGCTTTAAAATTTGAGCTTCGGTTACTTTTGCCTTTTTAATATAGATTTTCAGAGACGGTGCTGAAACGTGTCGGTAATTTTTTATCATATTTGAAGCCATTGCTTTGCGTTTAGTATGAAACAAATGGTTGTCGTAATTTTTAAGCTGTAGTGCTTTTCGGCTGCCCTAATGGTGTTTAGTATGACAAATGTTAAGAAGTGTCAAAAAGAGTAGGTAATTAAACTATAGTAGTTTACCTTTGGTGTAGGTTTTAAATTTTGGCAAGCCCCTTCCCTACAAAGGGTAGGAATGAGGCTGCAGTAAATGCCCTGGCTAGGTTAGGAAGATAAACGGTGGGGTGGGACGAGACATTGTTAGGACTTTGAGAATCTATTTTAGAAATGGACTAGACCTATAAAAGGCGCAATTTTCAATTGCATTCTTATTTTAAGATTGACTGAAGTAGACAAATCTTGCCTATTTGGTAATGTTGAACGAATGTAGGAACATTAGGTTATCTACAGTAGTACAGAAAGGTAAAGGTTAAATCATAAAAAGAGAAGATGTGAAGCGCAGATAATATAGAAACCTTTCCACAAGTTTGTATATAGCAACTGGATCGAGTTATGAAGATGTGGTGGTGGTGCTGCTGCTATGAGGAAGATGTGAATAGTTCGTATTTTGCCCATATATACGTGGTGATTGTGGGGGGGGGGATAAGTCTGAAAGTGTTTCCTAGTTGAATAAATTGGATGATCAGGTATGGCAATGAAATATATTAAAGGGGGAAAACACACATCTTGTGTGCTAGAACACACAGGATCTGCTACAAAACTCGAAACTTTCGATTGGAATTCTTCTGGCCGAAAAGTTGCGGATTGCAGCTTGTGTAAGGGGATGGGGGGCTGCTGGCGTGTTCGGGCTAGGCTAGCGGTGTGGTGATTGGGAGGGGGGGACTATCTGTAGACAGCGTAAAGCCATTACAATATACTGCAGGTCACTTGGAAGGGATAAGGATTTGGGATGGGACGGTGGAGAAGAGCGGTGCCCAATGACTTGGACGGTTGGGAATTGAACAGACCTGCATGGAAAGAGACCGTTTATTATTATTATTATTATTATTATTTATTATTATTATTATTATTAACAACTTTATTGACAGTCAATGACAATTTTGCCTAATCTGAGGATTTCATAAGCGATGCAGCTTAGAAGTAATATAAATACAATTGTTCTTCATTCCTTAAAATGGACAAGCACATTTTGGATAAATTGTTAAGACCGTTGCTCTACCCTCCATCACTAGCAGGGAATGGAGGGGGTGAAGAAATTTTATCTAGTCCTCAATTTTTTTATACAGCTGATTTATAAGGGCTTTAAACACTAGGCACTGTCCATAACAGCCTAGCCCAGGGGTGTCAAATTTACTATGACGGGCTAGATTTAATTTGACTACATGAAGCTGGCTATATGATAACTTGTTGCCCAGTATTCGGCTTCTTACGCTTGGCATATCTTGGTTTGGCACATTCCATCAACGTTTAGAGCGATCTTAAATACTGAATTAGACTCTATTAGCAAGTTGAGAACAAAAAAGGTTAAAATAAATGATGTTTGGACATGTGCTTCCAAAAATGGACACAATGTAGGGCAAAACACTGAATCCTGGTATAATTTGGATCCAGATATTGGTAACAGGCACGCACTAATAATCTAAACTTTTTAGAAACCATTACTACTTCATCATTTCATGCTGAAGAAGTGTCATTCATTAACAGAGAATAGGGTTTCGGTAAATCTTTAAAGAGGTATGTCAACTTCGTAACACTTTCCTTATTCTTCCGACAGCAATTATGTGCAGGTATTGGCATAACACTTGGGTTATATGCTGTAGGAATTTTAATGGATTACTCTAAAAGTTGCCTTTTAAAAATAAGCAAGTCTTTTCTGCTTTTCACTTGCCTCAGAAAAGCACAAGAGACTTTTGCATAGAGTTGACTATTAATATTCTGAATTCGCCAATTTTTTTGTAAATTGTTTCTAGAGGCAAGTTTGCAAAACTTGGTTTCTTACGGTCTAGTACCTTCTGAAGTAATTTTTTTCTCTCGTAGGTTTACTTCGAAGCCTTTTTCTTAAGTGTTTTTGAGCAGATCTGTAACATGCCTTATTGGAGCCTCGGACCTATTACCTACAGCTTTTCTTTACCATGTTTTTTTTTTTTTTTTTTTTTTTTTTTTTTTTTTTTTAACCAAAACTACAGAAACGGCCAGTGGCTGTATATCGTTCTGCCCGTTCTCGACAAAATAGCCACTACGTAATCGGTGCGATGAATTCGCGTTAGTGTGGAATTGGGGCTTTGCTTTATGCGTATTAACTTGGTTCTTGCAACTGCAGACAACGGTTAATTTTTTCGCTAGTTTCGAAGTACAAAGACAAAATGGTTGTAACGATCTACTAGAGGTGCATAATTATAGCAAATGGCTCCCGTTGTGAATTTATTAGTTATGTGGATTTAAAACATTTTTCTAGTTTGTTTTTTTAAGATTTCACGTAGTTCCTCGCAACTTTAATGTAACTTTGATATAGCATATAATAATGGTGTCTGTAGATTATGTGGGAAGCGATAAATCTCGTTTGCAACTTGCAGATATGGCATTGGGAAGCCTTTAATGACTGTTCCTGCGTTCTAATAGTTTACTACAGTCACTAAAATTAGTCGTATTTGTTTAGCGTGTGTGTGTGTTGGGGGGGGGGGGGGGCAGGTGAGGGGCATGCAGGTAGTCTGGTGGCTTCCGGAGGATAAAGTTCATCACGTTCTAAATTTCAGGGTCGAGAACTCCAGTCGACAATTTTCAATGGGGCACCGTAGAAGTAGTGGTCGTTCAGCTGGAAATTCCTTTCTAGCTAGCAGGAAGAATTCAAACAGAGCAAGTCAAACAGATGGATTGAGGCCACTGCACCCTTCAAACAATTTGCCTCAACCCAGCCCTCGGCGTCGGCCCAGCCCACGACGGCGACCCAGCCCCCGGCGCAGGCTCAGCCCCGGGCGCAGCCCCCATCCCAGCCCCCGGCGCAGCTCCCGTCGTCGGCCTAGCCCTCTGCGTCGACTAGACCCTCTAATCAACAAACCCCCTCATCATCAAACACGTATTTTAAACTGTAATAATGACGGCAACCACAGGAGCTGCACACCAAAACAAGACATAAGAGGCACCCCATCTCATTTTAGTCCAAAGCAGACTTCGTTATGGAGAGAGTGTGAAGATGGTGGCGGCAGCAGCAGCTGTTGCAGTACTAGCACTGTTACCTTGAGCACAAATAGCATTGGTAATTGTAATGAGAGCAGTAGCAGCAACGACAGTAATACCAATGGAAGCGGCAACAGTAAGAAAACTGGCAGGGCAATACCAGCTCGTCCATCCAATCCCTTGCGCTACAAAACGGAGTTGTGCAGAAGCTTTGAAGAGAATGAAGTTTGCAAGTGAGTCTGTTTCATTGCATATACAATATAATTATTTGAGAAGGAAATAGCACGGTCAAATATTGTAGGTAGATTTTCTTACATGGGTAGGGTGGCGGTTCTTTTCACTTTTAAACTTCACTGTTCTTACTATATTTAGATAAATTTGCTTCAGGGATTGCATAGCCTCCACGGTTTGGCGTCTTTGGATAATTACTTTCTTAAATGCTTGGTCATAAATAAGAATAAAATTGGATGAGATGGTCACAATTTATATAAAAATCAAATTCTCAACTTATCAGTAATTGTTTGTCCTAATCCGTCAAAATCGTTAAACATAAGACCAGGTGTAGTTCTGCTAGCAAGATGCCATGTAAAGTACAAAACAAATTCACAATTTTCACCCACATTTATCCTCATTGTGGAAACTTTACCAAACCACAAAACAAAATGTCCTTTTAATCATCCTGGTCTTCCCCTCCTACCTTCAGATACAGTTCGGTGCCGGCTTCACCAGTCGACCATCGTCTATTCGTTCAAAAGGTCCAAACATCTGTGTTTTCCCATATCTTGAGTTTCATCTACTTTATATTACTTCTTGCATAGCCTTCCCGGTTTGGTGCGTTCTTTTTGGTAATTACTTGTGCTTCTGTAGTCTTTTTCATTATTTCTAAATACTACACATGGTGGTTGTAAATCTCTACTCCTCGTATTCTTTTATTATTAGTGTTCATACTAAGATAGCCTTATATTCAAAGGTTGGCATTATTTATTAATCTAGTTTTTTTTTTCTCAGAATTTGTTGTATAAACTAATTTCCTTCCATGACACTATCTTTTGAGTCAAACTTCCTGCAAAACTACATACACAATACAGAATTAGAATTCTGTATTGTTAGAATTCTTAATGCAGCTATAAATCTATAATTAGGATAATTATAGCCATAATTTGGATAATCGTAGTCTTGCAGTTGAATCTTCCGAATTAGCGTTGAATCAGTTGAAATAAGTGTGCACAACTCTAATACAGTATGAAAAGTGGTGGAAATACTCGTAAATTAGCTGGCTAATAGTCTGAACAAAGCCGTAGGCTTAATGACTTATAAATGGTTGCCTTTTTGTTACTCTACTGTAGGTTGTGAATACTCTGGGTGATTATTTGTAGTACTAAATGGGGGCGGGTACCCGGTCTGCACGTTTCAATGCAATATTTACGTCCAGCAAACTCTTAAACTCGGCCACTTTATTAAGTCGTTGGTTGTCGCAATGGGAGCAAATCCTACTCTGGGGTAGACTCCTCCTAACCACCTTATGAAACTCATTAATCACAAATGACCATTGCAAAGTTCTTAAGAGGCTAGCCCACAGCGTCTGGTTTCAAACCTTGGAACCATTTTTTTAGAAAAGTACTTGTGTGCGCTTGACGCCTATCTTTCATCACCATAAACTTGCTGAAATAGTCCTTTGAAAATTTTTAAGGGCATTATTCTATCGGTCATAAATTAACTAGTCAGCTGTCATTGAAAGTAAATCTGCAGGCTCAAATGACGTACGAAAGTGTTTAATAATTTCTAGCATTATTTTATTGGTAGATTTTAAAATTGATTAGACGGGGCCCTTCCCTTAGGATTAGTTGTCTTTATCTGCATATTAGAAAAACTTGGCAAGTCGGGTATTTATTTCCACGTGAGTGATCGAAAAGGCAGAGTCTTCAAACCAAGGGACTCTTAAGATTTTTCCTTTTATCATAAATTACCAGTGTGCCTTAGTTTTCCTGAGTTTGATGCACAACACTCGCTTATAGTAATTGGTACATTAACTAGTTTCCTTAATTTTTTGAACATATAGTCGGTATCTGCATATGGAAGTTTTGCATTTGCTTTTAGTTTTGTAGTCTACCCCTACCCACCACTTTATCTCGCCCTCCCTTTTGAATCGATGCAAATTTGCTTGCTTTATTTTTCCAGGCTTTTTATTTACTTTCAAATTGTTCTCCAAATTTCTCATGGCAAGTTTAGTCTGCTTCTGGCATTCTCTGCCCATTTTCGAATCTAAAGTTTGCTTTAATAAGCTCGTCTAGTTAAATTAATCACTTTGTATAACTTTGCACGATCCTGTTCTCGTCAGTTTAATTTGTTACCATGATATAGTTTAGGTCAGTGACATTTAATCTACCGCATCCACTGAAAATCCCAGTTACTTGAACCAATCCATAAACTCCATTGGCGATATAAGTGTATATCGATATGTCATTCCCTTATTGTTTAGTGTCCCTTCATTATTCTTGGCCAGCCTAGTTGACCCATACACAACATGGTGTTGGATTCATTCTTATAAGTTCATTTATGTGTTTTTGTTTAACCTCCATGCAAAGCCTGTTTAACTTTGTCCTATATGAATCTGAAGTGGTTCGGTTTCAACCCCTTAGATTCGTCAGATTCGGTTAGATTCGTCAATTTGCTATCTTTAATAATCTCCCTATTTACCGACATTAATTACTTATCTCAAACATTTAAAAATATTTTTGCTACATCTTTACCGTGATTCTGGAAGTTGGTTCTATATTAATGATTTGGGTTTGATTTGTACTTAACATACTATTATTGCTGTAAAAGTTTTGAGTATACTTTAGTCTTATATTGTCAGGTTTGGAAGCACTTGCACCTTCGCTCATGGACTGAATGAACTACGTGCTGTGCCTCGTCATCCCCGCTACAAGACGGATCTGTGCCGCACCTATCATAGTTTAGGTTACTGTCAGTATGGGACTCGCTGTCACTTCGTTCATGACCTAGAAGAGGCTGCAGGAATATCTCCCATGAGAGGTCACAGACTGCGTTCTCGACAAGATAGACTAGGTTCAGCGTTATTGGCCTTGGCTAAAAATGCTGGCGTTTCTCCCGACCCATCTGCTAGTGATGTTCTTTTAGCAAACTTGCGGCGGCTCTATGCAATTAGAATTATGGAAGGAAATTCTGATGGCTCCGATGCATCTGGAACTTTAATTGGGAATGCAATAGACAAAATAACAAAGACTGAACTAGAGCAAATTCCATCCAGGATAAGAGTTTCTTCCACTGGCAGTAGTATCTTGGATAATTCACTGGGCTCTTTGGCAGAGACCAGTGAAGAGTGGAGTGTGGACAAAAGTGTGGGTGCATGTGTGGACAAAAGTGTGGATGCATGTGTAGACAAAAGTGTGGATGCATGTGCAGACAACTCTGCTGAGGAAAGCGTGTGGTCAGCTTATTCTGATGTGTGTACCTCTCCTCCAGGAGATAGCTGGTGGGAATCTTGGTTTAGCATATTAACACCACCTCTTTCGCCAGATTATGACGACTCTTTGGAATTGCTTTCTTCATTTGCATTCCCAGAATGTAAAATAGTAGAAATAAGCTCACGTGGGGCCGAACCTCTGATTTCGAATCCAATGGAAATGTCTCGTAGACTTCGGCTGCCTTCTATTACAGAGCTTTCTAAAAATAATGCATTGATTTAATTGGTTTTATTAATTTCAATTTCTAATTTCAATGAAGGAATAATGCTTTAATTGTAATTGAAATTTCTATGGTATGCTATAGATTATTGCTTTTAGTAAAATATTTCTTTAGAGTAAGACTCGCTAAATATTTAATATTTGCCAAGTATTCGGTGGGATTGCATTAATTCTCCTGTCCTGGAGGATAATGCAACTAGGATAATGTAGACCCGAAGTATACTTTTTTCTTTTAGTTAGTTTTTATGGAACACTTTTGTACATTATATTATTTTTATCTTCCAATGCTTTTTATTCTTAAGGACTGTCTTAATTTTTCTAAGACCATTAAAAATTCCTAATGAAGTGTGTGTGTGGTCCGGTGAAACTGTAACTTGTATTAATAATTGTGACGATCTCCTATGGAGATATTTATCCAGGTAATACTTCTGTGCCTACTAAGGACAATAAATGTTTTTTTTTTCTAGCTTGTATTTACTTTTCCTTGAGTTTTCTCTTGCGGTAATATTAAAATATTTTAATCTTGAATACCAGAAAAGAGATTTATGTTCACATCGTTATCCAGGGGAAATAAGAGTATCACATTTTTGTGCAGTATAGGCAACATTGCAGTGGGCAAAATATCAGAGCAACGCAGAATAGGTCGAACCAACACCTTTATATTATTCCCACTTGATATGCTATTTAATGGCATTTATTTCCCTTGAAATTTTGCAGTGATTGGTCAGATTAATACCTGGGAAACCACCGTTCTTACAAAGATTAAGAACTCGTCGCTACAATGAGTTAGGCGGTAGGTGCGAATTAAAGGTATCCAATAAAAAAAGATAATGGCATGGTGTAGTAATTTGTTCTAAGCACGCAGTCTGGTCAGTAACAGGTTGACCGACAGCAGATCCCTTAGCAAAGATACCTTTTGTAAACCCAATAAGCCTACTGTTCTAAATTTGGTATAAAACTTTGGTTAAAAACTAATGTCCTTGACAAGACACATTAGTGATTGGTAATGTCACAAACGCAGACTTTAGTAGCTGATAACACTACCGAAATGTTACTGTGTAAATGTGTAACTTCACTTTAAAGGGCATACGGTAACTTAAGAGTTCGCTCGTCTTGTGTAAATTGTCTTAGACAGTAACCAAGATATTCTGCGACAAAAGTGCTAAAGCGTCTCCTCGGCATCGCGGCGCCTTTCGATAATTGGAATATTTTCTCGCCAGAAACCCTTAAGCTTGTACCTAAGAGACGCGATATTTCAATAACCGTGTTATATCACGCCGACTTTAGTGCTCTCTCATAATTACTTTCAGTATCTATGTACGTAAACTTAAATGCTCATCAGGTATAGGATAAACCTGATATAGGAGTGTGGAGACCAGGTAACACGAAATGCCTGTAATTTTTCTTACATATCATTGCTTCACTTGTTTTAAATCGGTAAAGTGCAATAGTGCGTTCTAAAGCACATTGGTGAATCTTCCGGAAAAATAGTTGGGTGAAAAAGCTTGCTTGAATCTATAACATTTCGAGTGCAGTAGGATGGAAACGTGGGTTTGTGAATTTAAGCTTGTAATATAAAAAATTGCACGGGCAAATAGGCAGTCGGTATTTTTAATTGCCAATGAATGTTGGACCACCTGGTAGAATCCCAGAGGTATTGCCCCGACATGACTTCCCAGATGGTCCACAATCTGCAATACAAAAATGCTGGTTTATAAAGTTAGACTCGCATGTGTACACAAAAATGAACTTAAGTGCTCAGTCCAAGTTTTATACTATTATAAAGGGCTTGAAAATAGGAGACTAACATCTCGGCCTAGTTTAGCATATTGCAGTCATTAGACCTAGTACAGGATACAAGTTTAGGTTTTTAAGCCCTTTCCCCCTCTCGAATAGCCCGTTGTCGGCGTGAGGGGTCTTAACCGGAGTGCGATGCTCGAAAGAACGGCATTTAATTGGTTCTTTTTTATCCTAGTGCTCCTATAGCCTCCTTTACTAATTTTGTTAAACCTTTTTCTCTTCCTCGTGTTTTTCTTTCCTCCCCATTTCTCGATGAAAGAAAAGTAGCGACGGAAAAAAAGCTCTGGTCCCTAGTATCCAAACTGCATAGTCTCCTACAGTTGTGCAAATCCCTGTAGAATGTCCCAATTTTCAAGAAGGTCGTGTCCTGCTTTCTTAATGTCCATTTAAGTTATTTGTTCCTAGATATAATTTTTGGTGAGAAGATACCTTCGATATCGCTTCCCTAAGTGTTTTTGGTTCTCGTATTGGCATCCTCGGTAATATTTAACACCTTTTCTATATCTTGAGACACTGATGGTGGCAATTAATTTCACAGGCTTGGTGCCTTCTTTAGACTATTATTTGTTAATCCAGCTGTCAGACTATAGTAATATTTTTTTCTGATCACCTTATCTGAATCTCGCGTACTCCAAAATATCTACCTATCCTAGGTCCAACTACACAATTATAATACGCATTATTTTATATTAAAAAAGCGATTTTGGGTTACTCGGTATTTACAAATGTCTGAAGTCGGCTGCATTGTTGTTTTTAGATTCGACTACTCAGAACAAAAAGTCCAAGTAGCACGGGCAATATATGGTGAGCCCGTAGTGGACTTACCTGGCATAGGAGCGGGGCTGTAACTAATGATGGGCTGCAGCTTGGAGGAGCAAAGCTAGATAAAGGGTTGTCATCAACCTGTCCTCTTAAAAAGAACGTCGCTTTTGGCCGTTTGCCCGTATGGCCGAATTTGGACGTAATTTGAAAATGAAAAAAAAATTAAAATAAATTTGGGATTTCTTTTTTCAACAACAGTAAGTTAAGGGTCCTCTGATAGGTTAGGTGGGCAGGAAATTCTCATAAAGTTTCAAAACGTTATGAAAAACGTGAATTTAAAGTGTCCTCTTATAACCTCTGCGCGTAAGGCGGACGACTCAAATAGAAAACGGAACAGAACGTCACTTTTGTGAGTCGATTTCATTTCAAATTACGTCCAAATTTAGCCATATCGCGCATACGGGCCAAAAGTGACGTTCTTTTTAAGAGGACGGGTTGGTCATCTAACGGGCAATAGTATAATATTTACTTTAGGATAGTTATACCTACTTATCTAAATTATTGGTTTCTTTGTGAACAAATATTCTGCACGTGGATTGAATTATACGAAAATATTATTTAATTAAGATTTGCAGTTCATTAATTTGTGGCATCTAGATAAATATTAGCTGACCAGAGGTCTATACCAGTTAGATAAATAAGTGTAACCAATTTCTCTGCATCCCAAGCATAAATGTGAAAAATTTAAAGTACATTAACTTGTAAAACCATTAATTTTATTGGTAGCAGGGTGTAGTCAGCCAATTGTTTTTCGTTAGTTAAAGGGTTTGGAATGGCGTTCAGCTGGTCAGATGAGGTGGGTATACCTTAATTTCATTAGAGGTGACTTTAAAGTAAGGTGCTTTAAACTTTTCTAAACATTGTTGCTACATTCTCTTGATTCGGCATCCGGATACTCATTTTCCACTAGCCTAATGCGAAACTCGTTTAATTTGGTCAGCCGGTTCCTTGGAAGTATCATGGATGTAAATTGCTGACCTCCATTCTTCAGGGCAAAGGTGCATCTTTCGGGGGCATAGGTGCATTCTTTGGGCACAGGTGATGTCGCTATTGTGCCGTGTAGGTAGCTTCTGAATCGAGTGTACCATGACGGAGTGGAGTGTGAAGGCACGTACTTGCATGGTTGGGAGGCGGCGGTGGAGGGCATGTGCATTCTTGAGAAGTCATGTGCATGTATGGTCGGTGGGAGGCTGCGGACATGTGTGTACATGGTTTGAGAAAGGTGCCAGGGATGTGCATACGGATTTGTTGTTGTTGTTGTTGTGTTGATTTAGGGGCGACGACGATCGTGGGATCGGATGCGCCCCGGCTGCCCGATACCGGGAAATAGCGAAGGGATGGGGCCCCTATAGTCTCTTCAGGCCACAGACCCTACAATCTCCTCAGGCGACAAATTTTACAGTCTCTTCAGGCCGCGGACATGACGGATGAAGCGGAAGGTATGGCGAAGGATGTCATGACGGACGTCTTCGTCTCTCGCACCTGCCCCGTCAAGGAGAACGGGAACTGTGAGGCGGGGAATATTCAGCCTACGAACGGAACTCTGTAGTCTGACGCGAGCGCTATGAAATCGAGGGCAGTGAAGTAGAAGGTGCTCCACTGTATCCTCCTGGGTCGGACACCACTGGCAATATGGGGAATCTACCAGCCGTAGACGATGGAGATGTGCGGCCAGGCAAGTGTGCCCAATCCGGAGACGAGTGATGGCAGTGTCGAGGAGTCGAGAATGATGACGACGATAAAATTGCGTAAAAATTGCGTCTTCTTAAAAAGGGAGCGGGCATTCCAAAACACCACAGTATTCTCAGGATGGGGCGCCATTATCCCTGAAATACAACAGCTAACTTTTTGACCACCAGTGCACAGACGTCTCCAAAGGGGGAACCACTAGAAAAAGCCATAAAACCTTCATACAAAGTAAGTAAAATATGTGGTATCAATGACTTCCAGTCAAGAGGATGTTGATCTATGTTTCTCTCTGCCTGACGGAAGCGGTGGTCGGCTCGCGAACTCTCTTGACGGCGTCTGCGACTGGTGGGAGCCTCACTCTGGGCCTCATGTTCCCCCGGTGTCACAATCCCTTCGGAAAGTGCCTGGGGGACCAGAGGATCATCAGGGCTGTCTGTTGGAGCAGTACCTCCTGATCGATGGGTGTGTCGACGACGCCGGTGTTGGCTTCTTTGAGGAAAGGCAGGAGGGTGACGAGTGCTAGGCTCCGGCCGAGACTGAGCGTCCATGTCTGTATCCGTGGATGAGTTTCCGTCAGTGTCAAGGCTACCCAGGAGGGAAAATCGATTAGCAACCTGGGCGTATGTGGCATGTGACTGGGACAGGCAAGAGCGTCTGCTAGTTCCTACTTGTGAAGAGGCCCGACCAGGGGGAACCTGGAGGCGAGAAGAAGCGATAGGCTGATTGAGGGTACGCAACTTCTGGAACAGCTCATGTCGAGGTGTCCCCGCTGTTTTGTGATCGATGTCCAACTGGAGGGCCTCAAGATATACAGGGCAACTCTTAGACGTAACCTTATGATGGCCATGGCATAAAAAGCAGCGGGGTGCAGCAGAGCACCCACCGTCATCTCTGTCTGAATGGCCAGTTTTGCCGCAGTTTGCACACCGTGCTGTATTACGGCAGGTCAGGCGACTGTGGCCCAATAGATGACAAGCGTAACATCGTAAAACAGGGAAATTGTAGGGCTGAACCTGATACGAGGTCCTGTGTAGTGCCACTCGGTCAGGGAGGTGCCCATCGAACTTTACACGGACCATGGATGTCGGCCCTGCTGCTCCGCGAATCCTGGTAACTTCCAATAATCTCACTGATGCACCCCCTAATACCTGCAGAGCGGCCTGGATGTCATCCACATCTACACTCTGGTCAATTGGGCCAATCTTCCCATACCGGGCCCGAGACTCCTCCTCCTGCGACAATACCTGTCGGCACCTGACAGGCCAGTCCCCCAACTTATTAATGTCAGATACACAGATGTGTGATAGAGCCTCCTTTCTGATATGTAGCTTGAGTGCTGCACCCCTACCCAGGGTACGTATGGTCTCAGGCAGGCAATGTGGCCACAATACGGAAGCCTCGATTGCTGCACCTAAGGTACGAGGATTTGCAAAGACGCACTGACCTGATTCTGACTGGATTAGGACTACCACAAACGAGGAACGGGGTACCACAAGACTAAGGTCTTCTGAAGGGGAGGATATCCTCTTAGCATCTCGCTCTGGGGCAGCATCAGCCGACTCATCTTCTAGCAGACGTTTTCCTCTCTGGGACTTGCTGTCAACATCCATGGCGCCCCCGCTCGGGGAGGCGTCCATTTGGGAGGCTCCGGCCTCCCCCGGTCCTGTGAGCCCCTGGGTAGCTGCAGTGAGCACACACTGGCCCAAAGAAGCCAGCTGAATTAAAGATGAGTTCCAGGTAAGGTGTGGAAAGAAAGTCCAGCCAGGAGCGTTCAATCCGCGCGCCAAGATGGCCGACCTTCCCCCATACGGATTTGGGGAAGTGGGACGAGTACTTGCATTCTCGCTTGACGCGAGGGGTATGATCACAAGCGTACCCGGTTGTCTATTATGTTTGTCAATCTCAATAAATATATTAAAAAACGTATAGTTTATTTTACACAATTATAAATGAGAGAAAAGTCGGCTTCAACAAAATTAATTATACTTTACACATTGATAACTACCACCCTTAAATTATATACAGCCTGTCTATAACAAGCGGGTGGGCAGGCTGGAAGCACCATATTTCTTTAATTGTTTTATAAATGCTAGGAGATGCATTTCGCTTAAAAATTACTTTAGAAAGTGCAAGACAACGAAAGGCAGGAATATCCCTCGGACGTGATTGACGAGATAATATGTAAACAAAAATGAGAGGATTCTCCATAAGCTTAAGTTTTTCTTCGGCTGTCAGGTGAATGCGTTGGAAACTTTGTCCAGGAAGGAGGTTGGACAGGTCGGGTAGAGTCTGTCACACTGGCCGTAGGTCTTGCCGTAGTACTCTGCTGCCATGTATTTGTTGTATTCAGCGTGTTCGATGGGACTTCTTGATGCCCTGGATGCAAAAAGGAAATATTCTGGTAAATGTTAGGTGTAACCTTTGTGGCACATGTAGAGAGAAAACACAAGGCGCACACGTACAATATTAACTAAATAAAACCAGTGCAGAGAATGTCATAATATGGCTGACAATAACCCATCCCACACATTGAAAAAAAGGAAAATGACGACGTGTGTGGGTTAGGTTATTAAATATAACAAATTAGAGAACAGTCACCATTAAACGACTAATAGTTCAAATGGCAGGGGGGGGGCCTTAAAAACCGACGTTTGTCACTGTATTGCCATATTTGGAAAAGATCGTATTTTAGCATAATTTTATACATTCGACTTTAAGGACAATTATTCGCTATTCCTAAACATATTGCCAAATTGGATTAGTAGCTATTTAAAACTTAGAAAACATTACTTAAAATTTCGAAATTACTTTTTTTTTATATATACACACAGGCGGGTACAAGGACAGACGATGTCTGCCTTCTTTTAGCAGGCTAATAGCTTTCCCTTCCCTTAACTCACGGTAAGCTTTACCCACTAACTTTTCCCAGGAATACAACCCGTCAATCGTTAAACAACCAGGTACCCAATCACTGCTGGGTGAACATAGACTTAGTTAAAAAATTAGAACCTAGTCAATCCTCCCTGGCCAGGATTCGAACCTTGCCCTAGTCGCTCGCGAAACGCTGACCAAGGGTTACCACTGCACCACTAGGGTTAAAAAGATGATAAGAATTTGGTATCTAGAAACGTCAGCAATACAGCTAACAGCTATACTATGTATGCTTATTAGACTCAAATTGGATTATAGAGTACAGTTTTGGACACTGTTTTAGAATGTGAATTTTATAGAATTTATGAAGAGATGGATGGCTAAATTTATCCCTGGAATTGGGACGCTTCCATATGAAGAGTAAGAGAACACTCCATCCTGGCATATACTGCAGGGGACATGATTGGAGTGTACAAATGAATGAAATGGTTTACAAAGATGAGTATAAATAATCTACTTGAAAATATAAAACCAAAATAGAACACGAACGTTTAAAATTTTAATTCATAAAATAATACACTAGTTTGGAAAATTAGGCTGCGGTACAGTGGAATAAGTGATGAAACTCGCGGTAAAGTTGTTATGTGTAACGTTAAGACTAATTCATTGGTGTGAGTGTTTGGGTGTAAATTGGAGTGTTCTCCCATAGGCCAAAAGTCAGTCGGCAAACAACCGAATGGCTTCGGGTTAGATTCCCGGGCAGGATGATACTTTTGGGCACGTCTCCTTACACTTAATACTCAGTAAATAGGTTGCTGGGAGTCGAGCAGGTGTTGTGGCTGTGTCTACCAGACAATGCGATACAGAGAAATTATATTATTATAATATATATATATAGAGAGAATGAGATAGGTTCTGAAATTCAAGCCTGTATCCATAGGTACTAGTACCGTGTTTTGTCGATGAAAATATTAATATAAAAATATATGGCTATTTGGACCTTGTGATGAAACACAATTATAGATTCCTAGAAGGCAATCAGAGGAACCTAGTTCACAATATGAAAAAACAAGCCATAGTGTTAGTGTCAAGGTGATCTAATGGATAAAGAATCCAAGTAGCAGAGAGCAAAATCTCAGACTCAGGATGGTGACAAGTGACACGTAGCGTGCAACAAGCGTCAGTACTGAGACACATTCAATAACTGGTATACAGTAAGTGTACTAGATAAAAAAAAAATTTTTTTTTTTTTTGGGGGGGGGATTCTTACAGATTACTGAATATATTATATTCGGTAATATTTGTAATATTGTAATATCTGAATATTACTTTTATTTACTGAAAAGGAGGATAAGGACATAGGTATTGCAGAAAGCTATAAAATGACCTGAACAAATTGCAAGAGGACCTGAACAATTTAAAAGTACAGTATAACCGAACAATTGCAAAGTATTGAGGATGGGTACTCGAGAAAGAAGGCTAAATATTAAATACTGTTTGCAATGAAAACAGCTCTGGAAGTCAAAGAGAAAACCTTATAGCAGAAACAATGAACTTATCCCCTGAGGGGCACATAAACTAGATAACATCAGCGGTGCATGCAAAGTTAAATATAAACACTGCATTCATAACCCCTGAGCAAGGAATGATTCAGAATGCAGTATATGACATATTTTAAGAATTCATGAGTATGCAGCTCCAGCATGGAGCACTTACCTAGTCAAACAGAAAGAAACCGGAAAAAGTTCAGAGGTTCACTGCCAGACTGGTCCCAGAACTGAAAGACATGACCCAGGTTAGACTATAAGCATTTAGCTTTTCATGACAGGAGAGAAGAAACGGAGGACATGATAACAACATACAATTCTCGGGTATCGATAAAGAAGGCAAAAGAAAGACAGTCTGGTGTGAGAGGGCACATAAAGAGATGTAGGTTAATATCTCAATAGAGTGTATTCTAAAGCTATTGTAAACCTATGTAGTCTATATAGTCTTCCAGCCTTTGCGATTTAATTTGATAATTACGTACTTACTCTTTAGATATAATATTAACTATAAAATATAGGAAATATACTTACGACAAGACGAGATTAACTACTTCACCATAAAGGCTGTTTTCGAAGGGCGACTCGGCTATCTCACAGAGAGTCCTCAAGGTGCAGGCCTGGCCATCGTAGCCAAAACTTCAAAGAAAGGTACAATGGTGAGTGAAGAACAAAGAAACACTACAGTAGGCCTAATAGCATGTTTATGTGAGGTATACTGAGGATCACCATTTCTAGAGTATCTCTAGAGAGAGAGAGCAGGTTGGGTGGTGAATGTAAGGGGTGGGGGGAAGAGCAGGTTGGGTTGTGAATGTGGGAGAGAGAGCAGTTATGGTGGAGACTGGAGGGGGGGGGAGATAAGCGGAGGGGTAGAGATCGAAGCCCGGGGTGGGGTGTGTGTGTTTACTAGTTGTGTTTTTACGGGGGTTGAGCTTTGCTCTTTCGGCCCGCCTCTCAACTGTCAATCAACTGTTTACTAACTATTTTTTTTTTCCTACACCACACACACCCCAGGAAGCAGCCCGTGACAGCTGACTAACTCCCAGGTACCTATTTACTGCTAGGTAACAGGGGCACTTAGGGTGAAAGAAACTTTGCCCATTTGTTTCTGCCTCGTGCGGGAATCGAACCCGCGCCACAGAATTAAGAGTCCTGCGCGCTATCCACCAGGCTACGAGGCCCTAACTATGTATATGTATGTATGTATATGTATGTGTACATATATATATATTATATGTATGTGTACATATATATATATATATATATATATATATATATATATATATATATATATATATATATATATATATATATATATATATATATGTCGTACCTAGTAGCCAGAACGCACTTCTCAGCCTACTATGCAAGGCCCGATTTGCCTAATAAGCCAAGTTTTCCTGAATTAATATATTTTCTCTATTTTTTTTCTTATGAAATGATAAAGCTACCCATTTCATTATGTATTAGGTCAATTTTTTTTATTGCAGTTAAAATTAACGTAGATATATGACCGAACCTAACCAACCCTACCTAACCTAACCTATCTTTATAGGTTAGATTAGGTAGCCGAAAAAGTTAGGTTAGGTTAGGTAGGTTAGGTAGTCGAAAAACAATTAATTCATGAAAACTTGGCTTATTAGGCAAATCGGGCCTTGCATAGTATGCTGAGAAGTGCGTTCTGGCTACTAGGTACGACATATATATAAACCGAAAACTCCTCACCCCCTGAAGGATTCGAAGCCAGACTGCCAGGGCTCCATGCACATTAGCCTATCCAGTACTTTAACCACCAGACCACATTTGTGTTACTCACCTGGTCCCAACTTGCTAGGTGATTCGATTAAATATACGGACCCATAATTGACTACCGAGTACTGTCGGGGATTGGGTTAAGGGGTCTGACGACTTCCAATCTTTTTAACAGTGTGGTCTAGTGGATAAAGTACTGGATACACTAGGGTGCATTGGAGCTCTGGCTGTCTGGGTTATATGCACTTGGGCAGTAGGTGTTCCTTTAAGCATTTTTGGTTAAATATGACTGCATTGCTGGCATTGTTGATCTTATAAACTTTCTATGCATCAAACGGTTTTCTTATTCTCTGAATTAAGAAGAGCAATCAAGTTACCGAAAATCATGGTAAAAAAGTCTAATTATTATTGAGGGATATATTTTCGACAACGGTTCATTCCACTCTGGAACATCTTCGGATAATTCATTCCTTACCTGAAGATGTTCCAGAGTGGAACGAAACGTTGTAGAAAATATTATACTATTCAATAATCATTAGTTTCTGACCATTAATCATAAGCATAGAAAGCTTATATCAACAACGTCAGCAATGCGTTCATATTTAACCAAATATAAAAATATATAATATTGTATGGGAAATAACATAAACCAAGAGCCTTACATGATTGTATGTCAGAGATTAGTTATCTTGGAGTAGGGGTCTATCTTACTCACATATTGCGCACATTGTGTATATATAGAACATGTGGTGGTATATCATTATGTACTGTGAAGCGGACCCTTTACAGGCTATTCATGCCTATGCCACCTCTTGGGTGCCCTAATTCGTCAATTAATCAGCGGACCCACCTGTTGAGAAAGGTCTCTAGGCGACCGTAGATGTTGGTGCGGTCTGAGGCTCCGTGCTGGAAGTTCCTGCCGAAGTTGATGGTGTTATTGGGGAGGCGGAAGGTGGCGTTGGCGATGTGCTGCACATAGCCGATATCAGCAAGACCCGGCGCAGATATCGATAGCGTGAAAATTAACTGCGGGAGAGATATTATGTGGAATGTGTTGGTAGGTGGAGTGGGTGTGTCATTTGTCAATTAGTTCTCACCAAATTGAAATTGAAATAAGTTTATTGAGGTATAAATACACACAATTGGGGAGAGGGCTTCTTCAATAACGAATTGTAAAATCATTTTCAATAGGAACATTATTGAAGCTGCTTCAAAACCGATTGCAAAATCATGTAATTTGAACACTAGCAGAGGTTTGTAAAATTTAGATCCATTTTTGACTGATCAGTTAAAGGGTGATTTGAGTAGGATCATTGATATGCATTTATCTCACTGATACCTTATTAATATCCATTCCCTTTGTGGTCTGACACTATCTCCTATATATATAATTAAAATCATCCACCTGAACACGTGAAATAATCGGATTAAGGAACGTACACTTAAGATGCTGTTTGGGGGTAGGTTGATGAAGCGCCTTGCCCTGGACTTGACCACCTCGCTGTCTGTCTTGCCTGCACCCACCCAGCCGGGATCCTCTGCCTCTCCTCCTGGAGCCAACACAATAATATGAACTCTAAAACATAAATTAAAATCGCCTGGTTTAGGTATGTGTATAAGACATTTTACCCCAGGTAAGAACTTATGGATTAAGTTAAATGAAGCAGCCTACTAGGCAAAACGAGACGCAAATCCATTTTTCAGGTCTAGCTTATTATAGAAACAATCCATCGACTCTGTCTATTATGTTACCTGACAATTTGGTCCATGAAACAACTACCCTGTATTCAAACCAGTAATTCGAGTTATCTGTTTTGTTGATATATTTAATGTTATTTATATCCCTGTTGTTATAGCAAGAGGAGGATACGGATGTGCTTTCTAGGAGCATGTATTGTTGAGGATATTAAGAACAAGGAAAACATAATAGCTGGAAATACGAACACACCAATATTTTTTCCTCGTCATATGTGGCAGTGATATAGGGAAATGTAGGTGGAAATTGTTAGCCAAATTTAGTTTAGCAATTAGGACCAATGAAGAAATTTCAGTTATTGGTGATATTAGCCTAAAACAGGATTTTGCAGTGAATGTTTGTCTAAGGAAAATTATGTCAACTCATATATACACGGGACACAATATTTTTAGTACGAGTTCAGGTATATAGCAGGTTTAGTTCAGAGGGATGGCTTTAAGATTTCTGAGGGTTTAAAGCACGAGGTGACTAAGAAGATAGTAATCTGGGTGTGTTTGGAGGATTATTTTTGTAAACCTATTAACCGAGCTGGGATATGTTGCAGCATCTTAATGTCCCATCATACTTCAGCATTCTTGTTTTTCCATATAGTTTAGCCGAGATAAGTCGAGCCTATCCTCCGTATAGAAATTCGGCGAACTTGGCGGCAAGCAGATGAATCTACATCAGTCAAGCTAATTAGGTAACGGATTTTTAAATCACACAAAAAGATCAAGTTCCAAATCAAAACATCTAAGAGTTTAACCATTGGAGGATACAACTCGACCTTGTTATGTGTGATGAGAAACGATTTTGAATTGTGTTAACGTGATTATATTTAAGAAGAGGGAGCGACATTAAAATTGCGTAAAGTCAACTGCTTCACTTCTGCTACTGTTTTACGGCAGCTTTCCCTGAAACATTTCAGTTGGCATTCCCGTTCTGTCATTTTTACTAATGACGCTAAATCCGCGACTGGTGCAGAATTTTTGGTGGTTTTCCCATATAAATCGAAGGCCAGAGCCTTCATATTTTCGGTTGACCTCCCGCATATCTACATGTGGAGCGAACAGGTTCCAAATTCATGTTAGCGTAGGAATAAATTATCGCTGATAGAATGAGGTTCTTGAGAAACGATTAATGATATTGTTTATTGTACTTATATATTGCGGTGGAGATTATTAGTCACAGTGGAGACACTCATTCGTGTCTTTGTAGGCTTTTCGTGTGTAGTTAAAGACACCAGTTATAAGATTATTAATATTCCTGAGTGGTGAAGAGAGCAGTGCGAGAATCACCGGCAGTGTAAGAGTGCGCTAAAATTTTTAATCAGGCTCATAATTATGTTTATAGCTATTTGTGTATTCATAGGCGAATATTTTTCTGCATTAACTAATTTTTTGTGCATTTGAGAAAGTCTGTTGATGTATATATATTGTTCTTTTGAAAGCTTCAAGCCTGAAACTAAGCGAATGCTTAGCCTAGCATAAATTAAACGATCAAATTATCGTATAAATGCGTGTTATTGAAGAACCGCTACCGGATAAAGTAAGTAATAGATGACAGCTCCAGTAGTAATTTACATAAGAAACTAACCAACGCAAGTGAGTCATACATAAATTTGGTAAGTCTTAAGACAATGCCATCCTGTACTTACATTTAATACTCTACATTTTAAGTGCTTTAATGAGAGTACACGTACAGCAAAATTTAGGCCTCCTCTGTTTAATGAGTTTTGGCCTCGATAGTGAAAATGGGTTACCTAGCTCGTACGGTCATGGTTAAAAAAAAAAAAAAACATATTTATCGCTGGTCAAAACGTGAGAATGGAATGAATGAACTATGAGGAGAAAGTGCCAAGCCATTACGACTATATAGCACTTGTAAAGGGTCAAAATAAGGATTGGACAAAGACAAGATTGCAACCTTATCTTATGTGAGCTAGTTGGTAAAGTGCTGGACACGACTGATCATGTGGGATCCCTCATGGGGCTTGTAAACTTGCCCATGTTTGTTGTTGGAAAGTTTATGGGTTTTGTAAATCTGCCTACATTTGTGGTTTTGTAAATCTGCATTTACACTTAGGGTTCTGTAAACCAGCCTTCACTTGCGGTTTTGTAAACCTGCCTTCACCTGTGCTTTTGTAAATTTACACTTGGTTTTGTAAACTTGCCTGTACTTATTGTGGTTTTGTAAACTTGCCAACACTTGTTGAAGTTTTGTAAACTTGCCTACACTTGTTGGAGTTTTGTTAGCCAACTTGTACACGTCGATGACATCTTTGTCGTAAAGCGAGGCGGTTGCCTGGCCGAGCACCACAAGGAGTAGTAGGCCAGCAAAGATCTTCATGCCTGCCGTACACACAGGAAGGACTTCTGCACTGACTTGCTTCTTCCAATAGGACACGATAATATCGCGAAAACTTTGGTGGAAATTATTTACAGTGGATGAATTTTTACAATCTACTTGCTTCTCAAAGTACTTCCTTCAACAAGACACGGCAGAATACTGAAGCGCAAATCTCCTCTCCAGCTTATAAGTAGGGCCGAGCGACCCTTCAGACAATTACCATGGACAATAGAAGACGTCACCGCCTGACCCAATAACTTTAAGCAACGGCTGCACTATTTTTTAAACCTGGACCGCTAACCCGGTTACTTGACTTCCTGCCTCAATAAAAAATTATGTACCCAATAACTATTTCTCCTCCCCCATATCTCTGAGATTAACAGACTATTCATTTTGAGCTAACAACGTTAGCAGTAGCCTATTATCCGGTATGAATTGACCTGATGCTTAGAAACTCATTACGCATGGCCTATTGTTCACGGTCTCCTAGCCAGTGACTGGGACGGTAAGGTCAATACTTGGTGAAGAGGAGTCTGATATCTCGAGAGCAGAATGAAATTTTAACCTAAAAAAATCTACAGTATGATAATAGAATAAAAAATATACATTTCATGCAAATATATAATTCACGTAGTGCGCAAGTATTGTTCTGTATATGCCTGTGTAAACCTCAAGGTTAAGCTTAATTTAAGCGAGAAATATCAAAATTTGCATCCTGTTAATGGTTATTACATTTCCTTCTGGCCCACGCTTGAGAAAACAAAAATCACAGCCACACGTGTTTAAGATATATATAAAATTTATAGTGACAACATATACCATTACAGAACGCGTTATAACCATAATGAATAAATAAATATATATACCAATAGGTATATAATAAGTACAACATTCATATTAGTACGTAATAAGCCAAGTTGCCTAACAGGCAGAGTTTTCTCTAAGTTTTTTTCCCAGAGTTTTTTCTAAGAAAAATTCGGAAGGAATGATGAAACTTTCCATTACATTATATAGGATTTAAACTTTTTAATTTGAGTTAAAGTCAACATAGAAATTTGATGAAACCTATCCTAACATAGGTAAGTCAGTAATTCATGTTCCTAATACAATTGTTTCTTTTTCATAACAATAATAATCTATCTGGAAAGAAATTTGTCAAAATAACGAAAATCATTCGGTCTGTTAGTTCGGACTATGTATACTAGGCCATGTAGATCTTAGTGACCTTAACTGGCTATTAGGCATAAAATTATATATAAATGACATCATTGAATGAGAGTAAAAGAAATGTGGAATAAAGCTACAAGTTAAGCATTGAAAATAGAGTCGGGTAACTTAGTGAGAATTAGTTAATTTAGCATTGTTTTCCAGCCGTCCAATAATGCACGAGTAGATTTGGATTGAATGTCTGATTTTCAGGATGTTCGGAAATTTTTATTCCCGCTTCATTTGAGTCGGTTATCCATCGATAAAATCCTCTGTGAATTTACCTCCGTTGACAATGCCTATCATATATCCTGCTCTCGTTTTGCTTTTCGGAAAGAAATCTAGGACCTTTTTAATATTCTGTAACATAGTGCTATATTATCACCTAGACTGGCAACTGGTACTCTGAGAGAGAACTCTATCAACATCAGAGGTCCGAGACTGTTCAACACGCTTCCACTACACATAAGGGGCATAACTGGCCGACCCCTCACAGTGTTCAAGAGAGAACTGGATAAGCACCTCCAAAGGATACCTGATCAACCAGGCTGTGACTCATACGTCAGGCTGCGAGCAGCCGCGTCCAACAGCCTGGTTGATCAGTCCGGCAACCAGGAGGCCTGGTCGACGACCGGGCCGCGGGGACGCTAAGCCCCGGAAACACCTCAAGGTAACCTCAAGGTAGACGATACACTTTCCTTTGAAATTTTTTTAGTATGTTTGGGTAGGTGAATTAGAAAATTATCAATGAAATATGAAGTGCTACCAAAATGAGAACATTACTTGCCAATGATATCTGGCTGAAGGTTGGTCTCGTGCAGAGAGGCTTAGGTAGTGTGAGCGTAAGACTAAAGCTTCTCTACATGCTCTCCACCGGACGTCACGGAATGTGGTTCTCGTCTCCTGGTTCTCTATTACTTATATGGGCATGTATTGTACTTATAAGGGCATATGTATTGTAGTTATAAGGGTATATGTATGATACTTATAAGAACATATGTATTGTTCAAATAAGGGCATATATATGGTACTTATTTGGGCATATGTATGTTACTTATAAGAGCTTTAGCATGGTACCTCTATGGGCATATGTATGGTACTTATATAGGCACATGTATGGCACGTATTTGGACATTTTTTGGTACTTATATGGGCATGTGTATGGTTCTTATATGGGCATGTGTATGGTACATATATAGGCATGTGTATGGTATGTATATAGTCATATGTTTGGTACTGATAAGGGCACATGTATGGTACTTACAAAGACTTATATATGGTTCTTATAAGGGCACATGTGTGTTACTTATATGGGCATATGTAAGGTACTTATAGCAGCATATGTATGGTACCTTTGTCGGCATATGTATGGTTCTTATTTGGGTATGTATGGTACTTATAAGGGAATATGTATGAAACGTATAAGCACATATGTATTGTACATATAAAGGCATAAGTATGGTACTAATTTGGGCATATGTATGTTACTTATAAGAGTTTTTGTATGGTACCTCAAAGGGCATATGAATTGTTCTTATATGGGTATATGTATGATACTTATATGGGTATGAATATGGTACTCATATGGGTATGAGTTTGGTACTTATGTACTTACGTACCTGTATGGTACATACGTACCTTTTTACCTTACACAGACAGTCATCCTTATTTTATAGATATAGAAGATAGACAATGATTAAATCAAGTAATAAAAACTCGACCAGCGGACGAAGACAAAGATGGGGTACATACAGCCCGCCGCCTGCAAAGAATCCGAGCCCTGGCGAAATCGTCATTTTTCACAAAACTCAAAATCAAAACCAGCCATAGAATCGTTTTGAAAATGGTACCATTGTGTTTACCACAGCAATTTACCTTTCTTTCTATAAAGTCTTTCTTTGCTAATTTTAAATATTAACGCCTATACAGCCATATTTACTGAGATACAGCCACCTCAAATATCAAACCTATCATCGTGTTTTCTCAACAAATTACTAAGGAAAATGAGTTTTAAAAAATGTTATAATAATTAAAATGAGCTAAACAATAAATGGATAATCAAAATAACATTATATCTATATTCCTCATATACTTAGAGACTACTATGCATGGTGCGTATATGGGCATATGTATGCTACTTATATAGGCATATGTATGGTACTTATATTGGCATATGAATGGTACTTATATGGTCAAGTATGGTACTTATAAGGGCATATGTATGGTAGTTAAAAGGATATATGTATGATAGATATAAAAACATATATATATTGTTCTTATAAGGGCATAAGTATGGTACGTATTTTGGCATATGTATGTTGCTTATAAGAACTTTTGTATGGTACCTCAATGGGCATATATATTGTTCTTATATGGGCATATGTATGACACTTATATGGGCATGAGTATGGTACATATATGGATATGTATTTGGTACTTATGTACTTACGTACCTCAATGGTACTTACGTACCTTTTACCTTACACAGACAGTCATCCGTATTTTATAGATATAGAAGATAGACAATGATTAAATCAAGTAATAAAAACTTGACCAGCGGACGAAGACAAAGATGGGGTACATACAGCCCGCCGCCTGCATAGAATCCGAGCCCTGGCGAAATCGTCATTTTTCACAAAACTCAAAATCAAAACCAGCCATAGAATCGTTTTGAAAATGGTACCATTGTGTTTACCACACCAATTTACCTTTCTTTCTATAAAATCTTTCTTTGCTAATTTTAAATATTAACGCCTATACAGCCATATTTACTGAGATACAGCCACCTCAAATATCAAACCTATCATCGTGTTTTCTCAACAAATTACTAAGGAAAATGAGTTTTAAAATATGTAATAATAATCAAAATGAGCTAAATAATAAATGGATAATCAAAATAACATTATATCAATATTCCTCATGTATTTAGAGACTACTATGCATGGTGCGTATATGGGCATATGTATGCTACTTATAAAGGCATTTGTATGGTACCTATATTGGCATATGAATGGTACTTATATGGGCATTTATGGTACTTATAAGGGCATATGTATGGTAGTTATAAGGGTATATGTATGATACTTATAAGAACATATGTATTGTTCTTATAAGGGCATAAGTATGGTACCTTTTTGGGCATATGTATGTTACTTATAAGAGCTTTTGTATGGTACCTCAATGGGCATATGTATTGTTCTTATATGGGCATATGTATGACACTTATATGGGATTGAGTATGGTACCTTTATGGGTATGTGTTTGGTACTTATGTACTTACGTACCTCTATGGTACTTACGTACCTTTTACCTTACACAGACAGTCATCCGTATTTTATAGATATAGAAGATAGATAATGATTAAATCAAGTAATAAAAACTTGACCAGCGGACGAAGACAAAGATGGGGTACATACAGCCCGCCGCCTGCAAAGAATCCGAGCCCTGGCAAAATCGTCATTTTTCACAAAACTCAAAATCAAAACCAGCCATAGAATCGTTTTGAAAATGGTACCATTGTGTTTACCACAGCAATTTACCTTTCTTTCTATAAAGTCTTTCTTTGCTAATTTTAAATATTAACGCCTATACAGCCATATTTACTGAGATACAGCCACCTCAAATATCAAACCTATCATCGTGTTTTCTCAACAAATTACTAAGGAAAATGAGTTTTAAAAAATGTAATAATAATCAAAATGAGCTAAATAATAAATGGATAATCAAAATAACATTATATCAATATTCCTCATGTATTTAGAGACTACTATGCATGGTGCGTATATGGGCATATG